AGGGATGTGGCTGCCGACACTAGTAAAAACGGCAGGACCTCGGCATCCACGTGTGATCGCTGAAGCGATGCCAATTAACTCGCCCGTTTTTTGGTCAAAGAGCGGACCGCCACTGTCATAACGGCATACATTCTTGCCATCTCCACCAGCGCATACTATTGTATCTATACCGGCAAGTCGTTCTTCAATATTTGAGCAGACGTCTCGTGTGTGAATAGTAAGAGCGACCTTGCTTAGTTTGCGAGCCGGTTCGTCTCCCCCAATGATAGATTGTACGCCCCTAGTCCTTATTAGCGTCTGCTAACTATATCTCTATAGTACTAAGCTTAGTAGCACTTACCAACCTACGGCTATTGCGGTTGAACCAGAGACAGGGTCAGACCCGTTCGCCGGTAGAGTAGAATAGCCTACTATATCACTCCGCTCAATCGAAGGTGATATTGTCAAGATAGAAAGTTCATCAATAGGAGGATCACCAGGCCTAGGAGGAGAACCAAGTTCTGGAGAAAATCTCATATCAGGGTGCACCGTAATAGATGTAACATGTGCATTTACTCCGCCTGTCGTACTGTCCTATACAAATAAATATTCTGTTAGCCGCACTGACGTAGTAGACACTCCAGACAAGACACCTAATAAAGAAGGGGAGTAGATTTACCAGCGTTCCTGCCTTTACGTAGTATCTCTCTGGTTGACTCGTATCATATCTAAGGCAATGGAAAGCAGTAAGAACAGTATTGCTATTCAATAAAACGCCTCCGCAAATATGACCTGTTTCCTTGGTCTGGAGACTAATAGTGGATGGAAATTCACCACTCTTAGCATTCTCTCCGTTAATAATCCTTTTGTCAATAGTTACTGCCCTTGCCGAAATAGCAGAAAACGCGACAGCTAATGTAATAGCAAGTTTGTAATACATTGTAAAGCTAGGAGTTAGATTGCTAATATTAGGCTTGTTGAAGAGAAATAAGAAGTTACGATAAATAGATACCGACGCAATAATATTCTTAGAGGCAGCTTTCGGTATTTGTCCTCGCGCCTATATATATATTAACAGTTAAGACGTTACATATAGAACAAGCTTATAACACTTTCTAATATGACTAAGCATTAGCGACTTAAGAGCATAATCTATAATCTTAGATTTACATACCTTGCAACGTAGATAGCTGATACTGTCGGCTTAGCGAGTTATGATAGGCAACTACTTAATATGAGATAGCCCCCAGAATAATAATGCATAATATTATGTTAGTCTTCGCATTATGCAAAAGAGACATTGTTATAGCCTGAGTTATGCTTGACCTTAACGCGACGCGATGCAATGGGACATAGCCTGTGACATATATAGTGCTAGATAATTGAGAGTTATGCAGCTTGTTTATTACGTACTCTTTTAGCTCAATAGTCAAGGGTCCAGCACACCACTAGGATAACTGCGGCTATGTCAGAGACCCAACGCCTGAGGGTGTGTGGGGCGCACTCACCTTCAATTCAACCCGACACGATGGTGCGCTAATAGTGCGGCAGCCACTATATTAGCTGCGAGCTAGTTCCTAGCAAGCATATGTATACAAAGAAGAGAATTTCCTGCTGAGATAGAGGGAGGTTCAGAGATTAATACAGTCATCACCACCGACCTACTAGCTACAAAGTCACTGCGAGCATCCCGTGCGACCCACTGTCTACTCTGCTTAGAACACCCACCTTGACAGGCTAGCACCTGCTACAGACTAATAGGGCTAGTCTATCACACATACTAAAAGCTATAATTAGCTAGTACAGTGAACTAAACGAGTCATAATAGGCAACTACTTAATATAAGATAGCCCCTAGAATAATAATGCATATTTTTTGTCTTAGCATTATGCAAAATAGGCATACTAAAAGCTGTAATCAGCTAGTACAGTGAACTTAACGAGTCATAATAGGCAACTACTTAATATAAGATAGCCCCTAGAATAATAATGCATAATATTAGTCTTGGCATTATGCAAAATAGGCATACTAAAAGCTATAATTAGCTAGTACAGTGAACTTAATGAGTCATAATAGGCAACCACTTAATATGAGATAGCCCCTAGAATAATGCTTAATTTCTACTAAGATAGAGCTATTTAATGCAAACCTGTGATGGACTAGCCCTATTAGGCCATAGCGGGTGTCAGCCGCAGTGGTCGTATCCATAACGGTTACATTCCCTCTCGACGTCGTGAAAACGAGACTGCACAGCGACTTGTATCATCAACTTATCGGAGGAGGCAGAATTGGTACAGAAACACCAAGTCGAGGGACCTATCGGCTGTTGGGGTGGGTGTTTTACCGCGCTTGGGAATAACCCCCCTCTTGCTCATCTATCCAGAAACATTTACAGGCGTGAGGGATGGCGAAGTCTCTTCACAGGTCTTGCCCCCGACTCATAGAGCTTTGTTTGTACCTGAGACCATAATCGCGTTCTACGCTGATGGAAACACTAAGCGTATGCTTGTCAAAATATTCAACCATGGCCATGAGCCAGCAGCCATCCACATGTGTGCTGCAGCACTTTCTGGGATTGCTACAGAAACCTGCACGAACCCGCCATGCGTTGTCAAAACTCGGCTCCAGCTTGATCGGGGGCGTTGAACTGGATCAGGACGAGTGTATAAGGGCTCGTGGGAATGTGCCAAACAGATCCTCAGGCCCGAGATGTTCCTGGCTTATACCGAGGGTTGACGTTGAGCTATTTGGGTGTATCGGAGTTTGTATTGCAGTGGGTGGGTCTCTATCTCCATCCAGCAGTTTGCAGAATGGAACGAGCTCCCGTTCACAGTGGTTTGGAATCCTTGGCGCCGCTGGCTTGTCGAAGCTCATTGACAACAGCATCTGAGTGGCAAGCGTAGATATACCAGACCCATTCAGACATTCGAGCCCGTTCGAAAGCAAGAAGGACTCATTGATTTATATAGCGGGTTGCCTGCTCATCTATGGAGAGTCGCGCCAGGAGCAGCTACACTTTTTGGTTAGTTTCAATATTGAAGAAATGGCGCCATTCTAATCCTGAGTGTAGGAAGTTCTGAGTTATTCCCACACTCTTTAGATATAAGTGGCAGGGCCGATTGGCCTCAGTCGCAGGATAACCTCCGAGCACCCAGCGATTCTTGCCTCTGACAATGGGACCAACGAGTTTACGATGTCAACAGGATCATTTTTTGGGAGCCTGCCCCAAGCGCACACTAGGACAAGTATATTACTCCACCTGCTCTTGGACCGCTATATGCTTTTTGCATGTAGAAGAAAGTAGACAACAGCGCTCTCATGAGAACACTCCGACCAAATCCTTGATACCCGCAGTAATGACCTACCTGATAATATTTACTGTACTGGTGATAATGCCTGGTTGACTGCTTGCAGCTGTGATAAGAATTGATCATCTACTCGTCCCACTACCTGTGCTACTGAGTAGTCTGTGATGTTGTTGTATCCGACGCTGGCTCAATAACTGTTGATTGGGAAAGCAGTCCTTGATAACGGCTAGGACATGACCTTGGGACTCGTGTATGCCCAACGCCTCCACACGATGAGAATTTCGCGGTTGCCTTTGGTGATTAACCGCCCCGAACGCACTTCAACATGGTTGCGTGCTTAATTCGGCAACCCGGGGATTCTCTTTCCGCTTCTCAATGTGCAGACTCCTGAGGCTCAGTAAGACGCATTGGCTGACCGTCGCGTTTGGAGTGCTGTTAAGAGTAGAATTCTCCAAGAAGCTGCTTTGCGTCGCGCAGTTCCTTCACTTTAACGAAGACAGTGCAATCCGTATAATGGAGTGAATTCGCCAGTGCATGGACGTATTGCAGCGAAGTCATCTCTATGCGGTCATTCTCGTCGTTCGTCAACCTTCTCAAGTGCCCCAAATGAAACTCATTCTCGCACAACGCTGTATAGACTTCCCGATGGCCTGAGAGGCATTCGAGTCTGTTGGAAAAGGCTAATAGTAAGGGAGTCCATAGAGCTGGCTGAGGATAGCGACTCTAGGCAATTGAATCCTCGAGATGAAGTCAGTGTCGGTATATTCTATAAATGCGTGACATAATTAACAGACAGACATGCAACTCCCCTGGTTCTCCGAGTGGTCATGCATCACTTGTCCTTCTAAGTTGGATAGTAGCAAGGAAAGCGTTAGAACCCTAGTTTCCGACCTGCCCTGCTCTATGTTGACCGGTTTAGGAGAGGAAGCTTGTAATTTTTGTCTTCGTCTTTACTTCGTATGTTGACATCTTACCTTCAGCAAGATAACGCGGCTATTGTTATAACAAGGAAGTTGGTTAACCTCATTATCGTTATAGAACAGTACGCTAAGGCTAAAATAATTATACATAGGATGAAACGGTATCAGGATCAGACACATACGACCACAGCCACTAGTAAAGCTCAGAAACCCGTCCGATCTTCCAGGAGAATCTAGTGAGCGCTAGATCAGTAGCTAGGTTGGTGACAACTAGCGAATACCTAGTGTTGTATGTTTCTTTTTGCCTTGCCCTTGCCCCGCTTAACTTTCCACATGTCTAAATTACAGATAAGATAAAATAGTAGATGTAATTGACACATACAACTAAAGCTAATAGCAAAGCTTAGAAACCCGTCAAGCTCTTCTCTGCAGTTCTTATGCCTCTATATATAGAGAAGTGTGGCTCTACATAGAGGTTGTGGTGTTTGTTTTTGGAGGATAGCAAACCAATATGTACTTTTCTTAGTTTCTAGTACTTTTATTATTTTGCGGCACTCCTGTGCACGGCCATGTTACAATGCGCTTTACAACTTATTTCTTCCTCCTACCTTTCTAACCCGATCGTGCACTTTTCTTCGTGATTATAATATAAAACTACTTGACAATACTCCCTCTAGCGTTATGGGTTACTTTTATAAAGAAAAAAAATATTTATTTAGCCTGAAATAGATAAGATCAGGTCACTAATGTAAAGAAGTCCGCAGACTTGAGCCGGCATTTGTGATATTTACATTTAGACAGGGGCAAGAGGCTCGCCGTCTCTAATCTTGCGGGCACCATACTTCTCCAGACGGATAGCCTGAATAGCAATGAAGCCGCTCGTGTCCTAAACGCAATATCAGCTTCAGTTCACGTCTAAAAGCTCTTTTTCAGAAAGCTACTCACCATTGGGGAGAAGCCCTCGAGCGTATCCATGGACGACTCAGTCTCGGAGTAAAGGTTCGAGGTCTCGCTGGAGCGTCCGACAACGAATGCGCTGCCTTTATAGGCAACCATATTGACCTTGCCCTCGACGTGCCTCTGGCTAAAGATGATGGAGTTATGGAGAAACTCTCGCTCTGGGCTGAAGTACATGCCATTGTAGAGACAGGCGGTCCAGTTCGAGGTGACCATCTGGTCACGGATGGCACGGACCTTGGAGTCCATGACGAGGCCCTCGAGATCTCGATGAGCGGTGCGCAGGATCGTCAAGCCGGGGGTGTCGTAACAGCCACGGCTCTTGAGACCAATGAACCTTGATTCGACAATGTCCACACGACCAACCCCATTAGCTCGGCCAATTTCGTTAGCGGCCTTAAAAATGTCCAGAGAGCCAGTGACGGCCTTGTCACCGACCTCAAGCTTGATTGGGATGCCCTTCTCGAAGTGGACAGTGAACCTCGTTGGCTCGTCAGGAGCCTTCATGGGATCTATCGGAGTCAGCTACCACATCACTGAACTGATTCAAGACTGAACCAACTTACCCACGGTCATTGTCCACATGTCGGCTGGCGGCTCGAGCTCGGGTTGCTCGAGTAGACCTGCCTCGTAAGAGCAACTATTTTCAGATAGAAGGGTTAGCAACGATTCTATGTCCGGCCGGAAGAAGGAGGTCATATGGAAGTATTATAGTGTGGCAGAAGCAAGCATCGAGTGGTGTACACACTGGACAGTCTTGTCCGCGTGATATACGAGGTTGTATAGCACCTAAAGAAAGCACTTGCTGCGTGCTTCTGCCACTTCTGCCACTTCTGGGGGAGTTCTTGATATTCCCTCCCCTTATAGGTATCCCGTCGAGACCGAAGCGCTCTTGGTACTTATAGATCATTGCGAGTTGCCGTGTACTTATGGAGTGACAGTAGTGGCCAGTCAAAACGGCTGAAGTTAGGTACCTCATTTCGTACGACGGTAGCTTGCAACGACGTATAACACCGAGTACACTTGAAGGTCTCGATGGAATGAAGCAGAGGACTTTTGCTTACTGGATAAGGTTGGCATCCATCGAGAACGGCTTCTGCTTAGTCGACGTCACAGGAACGCCCTTTGATTCAGCAAAGTCCAAGAGTGCTTGACGCCCGCTGTCTGTACGTTAGTATCTTCGAGAGAGAGGGGGGCCGGCAGGGGTACGGACGCGAATCGCTCGCAAAACTCGGATATGCGCCACGGGATGATTGTCTTTGTCTTCTGATCGAGAGCCCTCCAGGCCATCTCGAATCTGACCTGGCTGATAAGAGGGTGAGTATGCGACATTGACATCCGGACACCTAAACATACTCATTCTAAGCGAGTTAGCATCCGGAACATGATATACAGAAGTGGAGAGCGTACCCCTTTACCTGTGCCTGTGTAGGTAGGAGAGACGGCAGTCAGTATGGCACGACAGTAAGCAGATCCTGAAAGGCGACGTCGATTGCTTACATCCATGACTCAAGAATTCACAGTTGTACTGCTTAGCCACTTTCATCATCGCCCTCGCGATGACAGGCCTGGCCAACGATGTCCCCAAGAGGTAAGCGTCTTCGTATATCGCGTTGCCTAATAGCGTGGGATGTTAGCATAGCTGTGGGTGGAAGTTGTGCACCTCACACGGGGGATCGGCCGAACGCACATTGCACTGCTGGCCAAACAAGTTCCTCGACTAGCTCCTGCTGAAGATTCTGGATGATCATGCGTTCGGCACCGATCTTCTCAGCCTTCGCTTTGACAGCGTCGTAGTCCTCATTTTGTCCCTGCCACGATGTTAGCACAGGAATACGAGCAAATGAAGCCGCCATGAGTAGCGAGCTGGCCCTGAGAATAACAGTCCATCTCTATCTATCCTCGGGGTCACCACTCTTTGTATCCTCCTCATGAACATGGCACGGGCCAGGATGCGAGAGGGACAGCTTGTGCTTCCAGGTGCAGTGCTTGTCTTCCGAGCGGAGGAACAAATGTCGAGGAACGACCTGTACATACCACATCTGCTAGGAACGCCTTGTCTCAGTCAGCTCAGTGTAGGTAAATCGACTGGGTTTGACGTACAACAACAGTATAGCCCTTCTCAATGAGCCAGGCCAGGATAACAGAAGTATCCAAACCTGGAATTCACATTAGCATGGTCATCGTGCTCAGCACTGTTCATGTAGAAGACGCACCGCCAGAGTATGCCCTGATACACGGGGATCGCAAAGTCAGCCTGACAGCGCTTAGAAATCAACAGTGGATCTGTTCAACTCACAGACAAACGCGCTTGGCAGCCATTGTGATAGTTAATTGAACAGGTAAAGAAGAAGCGAATCAAGTTGATGACTGTTAGTGAAAGACTTTCTTTCATCCCGCCGAGGCCGGAGTTGGTATGAGATCAAGATGTCTCCTGTGGGGACACTAGGCTGGTTGTGGCAAGACGTCTGATGAGGGTTGCGACCCTAGCGCCACAGTAAGCTTACTCTCGTGATGTCACGGGTCAAACCACATGTATTATCACGTGATCCAGGCACAACATCTACTGGATACAAGCACAGAGGGCCTTCACGGGCGCTGCCAAATGAAGGGATATATTCACGACTAGTGAACGCAGAGGTCACGACTATATAAGCTGGTGGTTCGCCCTACCTGAATTTAGTTTTCTTTTCTCACTGAAATCCACCTGTCACAGTAAGTACGGTTAGACTTGGGTGTAGTGGATCAAGCGTTCGGAACCCCAAGGCGTCTACGGAGTAGCTGTGAGGCCATCCTGAGCGAGATAACTTTACTTTAACGTGTGAGTCATGCTGTAATCGACCCCCTCGTCTTTGGGTACCTACCCACCTTAGGTAAGCAGCGGTAACGGAACGGAACAAAGAAATCGGTGTGCCGACAGCCCCGGATTCTTCACTTTCGACCAAACACGATGTTGTCGCCGAACGAGGCAGGACTACAACGACACTGCTACATCGGTCGCTTAAGCTGCTAGAAGACAAATCGCAGCATCCGTACGAACCATGTCACAACCATTCTGTTGTAAGCAGGGTAGACCAAATGATTGGGTGTCGAACCTCCAACACTTCAACATCAGGACGGGAAAAGTCCAACCTTCGACTCGTCCACGTCAGAGCCGCAAGAAACGGAGGCATTACCAAAAGCCGACCCTTATTACTCCCCAAACCGAGGAGTGGCATTGGGTCGTTCCACCATCGCGGTAGAGGAGGACATTGACAACATGGGCCACCTGGCTTCCAATTCCGAGGGCAATGACTCCCATGCTGATGAAGTCGACGGCGACGGCGATGGGTCTCGGAAAGACGACCCCTACCAGCAATCTGATTTTCCGGACAATTAATTGCTCAGTCATCTATGACTTACTAGATTAATTGAAGAAGAGTTCTGATGGAGGGACACTGGATCCGAGTTCACGTAAGTTAACATCTATACTGTTAACATCTATACTGTTTTTCTCTTTTCAGTGAAGTTGCCCGCTTTCGCCATGCGATACTTTCATATATCAAGTCCCTACTATTTACTTAAGCAGCTCTCTTTTTGGTATTACGTTCATGTCTGGTTAACTCTCATTTCCTTATAGCTCCTGAGCCTCAGCGCGCAAACATCGAGCGCCAGGACATAAAGTATATGCGTATACTCGAGAATATCTTCGCCGTCGTTGAGAAAACGGATAATCGCGATATACGCTCCTTGCCAGTCAGCGCGACAATTCTGGGATGGCTGAAAGCGAATGCATCTCCCCGAATCCGCAATGCGTTCTCAAGCTTCTTACTTCCTCCGCTCAATCGATCCTACCAAGTCCGATTGATCTTGGGTCGCACCCCCACAAACGGTTATTTAACGATCTGGAATTAGTCGTCCTAAGTCCAAATGGCGACGGCCTCGCAATGTGCTAGGAACTTACGCCTTACATGGGCCACGACTTCAGGATCCCGCTCCTACCCACTGCCTTCCAGATGAAGCCTACGTGGGAAAGTCCAGCGCATGCCAGCCCGACGCAGATGGTGATTTTGGCATACGCAGTCGATCAAAGCAACATTATTACTATATTCAGGAAACTTTGCACAAGCGCATGGTGGCAGCATGTGACCCGAGGTTTTGTGCTACGGCGCAGGACCGAGATACCCAGAGTAGTCATTATGGACAAGTCCTCCATTCCCATCTGCAATTAGCGGGTGAAACAATCTGTCTAGCCAAGCTTGCTGTACTGTGTTTCTTCCCATATTCAGCTGTTGAATTTGTGACTACGTTTGTCATTTAACGTTCATCATGGCGCTGGCGGAGACCATCGATATTGTCTTCCTCGGCGCCCTCAGTCCCGACGAGGAGAACAGCATAGGCCGCACCCGCTTTGCTGCCTGGTATAGCGAAGCTTACAGACCGAAAGATATGCCGGTTCGTGCGTTTCAGGGACTCGATCGGGCGCTCCCTGTGAAGCAAGCCTGCAAACCATATGGAGCTTTTGCTTGTTCTGTGGTGGTCGCAGAGCGATAAAGACACAATGATCCGTGTCGTGCGAGAATATGAAACAAAAGTCTATAACCTCTCAGGAACACACAAGATCCAATGGAACGTCTTGATAAGGCTCTTACACGAACAGGGTGTAGCAAAGACTGCGATCGAGATAAGGAATATGCATCACCATTTTGTCCATGGTAAGAACCCGGCATCTGACCGAAGAGACACCAGGAATCCTACTTCCTTCAGGGGCGGCATTAAGCAGATCTTTCTACATTTACCTTGCCGAGCTTGTAGAAACTGCTGAGGACTGGGGCAGCGTCAATCGGAAGTTCGTGAAAAGGTTTAACACAAAGCAGACAAAACTAACACTTTACAAGCAAGCGCAGCAGCAAGGGCTAGATATTTCTCGCATTTAAAAAGAAATTTCCTGGGCAACGGGCAGGTGCTGCAATACACAAGGAATGGCAGTCACTAACACGACCGGCCTTGAAGCAACCGGACTTCGGAAATCGCTAAGCGGACTAGAACAGTTTGGTCACGCTCGGAAGACGAATTTATCGAGGAGTGGACTGGCAGCAAGCTGAGAACGCTTGTTGATGGATTCCACGGGCGATTCCCTAACCGGCGAGCATCAAACGGGGGTGAAGTGCAGGCGGGAGCAGCTAAAAAAAGGGGCCGGGAATGACCAAGCGGAGACATCAACTGATGAATGAGTGGCCTGAGAATTAGTGCTGCAAGATGTTCGATCAGTGATATTGATGACTGACGGCCGCACTCTCGCATTCACAATGCTGCGTTGGAGGATAGCATTTCTGACGGTGAAGCGACTCACGGCGCAAGCGGCACGGACCCTAGCGGGCAAATAGCCGCTCTGAAATTTGACTGGCATTTTTGGGACAGTATCATGGCACTTTTGACGTATTAGTACACGAAGCGAGACGGACAGGAATTGTTGAACTGCATGTAGATCATGGATTCTTCAGCAAAGGAGAAACAGCATCAATACACAAAGCATGCAACGGTGAAGCTATTGATGAATGTAACCAAGAAGCAGATTCTTGGTGTTCTAACGTGCTTGTGTAAGAAAGGGAAGTTCTTCTAAAGAGCGTATCGTCCGGCTCATTCATATCTCAAAGGGAATTGCTACACGGGCATGACACTTTGGCTACACGGGCATGACTCTTACACGGGCATGACTTTTACCACTTCTGATTGGTCGCATACTTTCTTGGCCCCACAGATACTTCCTCGGAAAGGCGGTGTAGCCAACTTCACTAACAAGCTCCTACATCACCATGAATTGCAGTCACTTATCGTTGTGGGCGCGATTGGTCTTCTGCTATCTTGCAAGCCTGCATTTCGGATTAAACTACCGTCCTTGTACTGTTAGCCAGTAACTGTCAAATACTGGCAAAAGACGTGATGTGGTCTACTTAATTTATTGCCTCACAACGATACAATCTGGATCTTCGTCATCACTCTTAGCCAGTTCCCATTGACTCCTTGTCCTGCGAATGTTTCGTTGCGTCCTCCGTCCACTGTACCGCACGCCTGTCGTATTCCCAGCATTTAGGACTTTAGAAGGTCTACCTGGCCCTTGCTGGGCTGAGATGCCAATTTGGCCACCAGTTTGTGTGATGGTTTCTCGAGTAGCTTTATGCACTCTCCTAGCAAGAGTTGGCTTATTGAGACTTCCTGGCGGTCGACCTCGTCGCCCACTTGGTTGATTATCAGATCGGCTACTTGATGTAATAGCTAGGCTTTCTGGGATAACCTGCGCTGTATTCTTTGGCCTTCCACGTAGTGCAGTGGCAACTTTCGGGTCAAGAATTCGTCGGTATGGATCTTGAGATGCCGATTCCCGTAGTCGCCAGCGTGGGTGGACCTCCCATTTAGTGAAACGTGTGTCAGAATCTAGCTTTGCGTAGACTTTATGATAGCATGGGATTCCCAGCTCAATAGAGACCGTACAGTCGTCGTCGCAAAGTCCAATAGAGTCGGGGAAGGGATTCTTCCCCGTCGGCAGAAATTTGCGAGCAATACAGTATTGCTTGTTGATTAACCCAAGTCCTTTCGATGACATGGTTGTTCGTAGTTCACCAAGATAGTTTCCCATCGAACCTAGGTATTGTGGAGCAGTCAGGACATCATCCTGTCCACAGGCATCCTTAAAGGCACGTTCTTGGTCATGTATCATATCCTGCATTGCCTCGACGAGTCGGTAGAGGTGGCTCATGCCATTTAATAGATAGCTTTTGATATTATTGTTGCTTGCTTCTGTGCCGGACGTAACTCGGATTCCGAAGTTACGATAACGACGGATAAAGCAACGTGCCCATTGAGCACTAACAGGCATATAAGTCGAGTAGAGGTATTGTAAGATCGCTCGTTGGTCGTCGAACTCTTTACAAAGATCTCTCCATGCCTGCTCAAACGCTTCCTCAGTCTCGGCATAGAGAACCTTTTTCCACATTAAAACAACGCCTTGGTAAGTATGAGGAATCTTATCACTACTCGACCGATCTTCGATCAGATGCTTATCTGTAGTGCTCAACCCGCCATCCGCCTGTGAGGGAATGTCTTCACTGTCACTAGCGCTAGGGCTAGTAGTACTGTCCTCACGTTGGCCCGTCCACCTAGTCTTCGATTTAAGCAAAACGTTTGAAAGGATATGATGAATACAAAGCTGTTGCTGTGCATTTGGAAACTGATCATTAACGGCAGCTTTCATAGCCTTGTCGAAGTCTGTGATGATGACATCTGGTTCCCTGAGTGAGTGTTTTGTAATGAGCTTGCGAACACTCTCTGCAAGGAATTGGAACCCCTCCCTCCTCTCGTTATCTATTAAGCCAAATGCAGCATTGAACACAGTTCCAAGACAGGTTTGGCCAGTAGCCTGGAATAAAGGAAGCTTGAAGCGATTAGTGTTATATGTGTTATCAAAGCTAATAACCTCGGGGAAGCGCTTCCACATCTGTAGACAGTACGGAAAGGTCCAGACAAGACCAAGCAGTCTATCTGGATCATCATCGGCCCATTTCGCGATGTATGGGATCTTCTTCTCATCAAAGAGTTTGATCAATGCCGCAGTAGGTGTATAGCCATTTAGCTTCTCTCGGTTAATGAACGAACGGGCATTATAGATATCCTTCCGCAGGAGTGTTGTATCGGGGAATTGCTCCTCAACCATAGCAGCTACATCACTGGCTCGAATACCCGCGCGACGGCTTGCTGACTCGATGGTTGCTTTAACTGGTGTAGTAAGGCGGCGGTGGGAAACATGCGCAGATGGCGTAATACTCCGTTCATGGTTATGCTGGTGATGTTTCGGGTCTCTATGTTGTCGAAGAAGCCACTTGCCTTCCTCTAGGGCTTCAGCAATTATCATCCATTTGCAATCACACTTCCGAGACCTTCGGGTTCGAAGACCAGAACCCCCCGAGGCCCGAGATTGTCCAAACCGGTCGCATTGAATGGAGTACCTAATCAACCGTCCCTTATAGGAATATTTATTCCGCCGAATAATACCAAATCCGTTCTCCTTTGCAAATGCGTTGGTTGTTTTAAAAAGAACTTCGGCCGAGGGCGCTGGGTCGCCAGGGATTATTGGGTTCGGAATTGGCTCCGGGGCGGGAGATAGAGACTGTCGCATAGGCGAGGAACTAATATTTTCGGGCGTCGGTGATATTCGAGGAGGTTGTGTGGGTGACCTACGAGGTGGAGAGTACGGTGGAGGAGAGTCATATGCTTCGAAACTTAATGGTGACCATCCCCATCTCTCTCGCCAAGCTTGTACACGTTCGTATGATCGAGCAAGGTCTACAGTTAGCCTTCGACCTTCGCCGGTAACCTCTCGTACTATGCGCATTGCGGACTCGAACTCGGCTCTTGTCCTTGTTGGGAGATGCTGGGCGGATGGGGGTGATTCGGGAGGTTCAGAGGCGAATGGATCAAATTCTGGGCCTGGTATAAGCGCTCTGACTCGCTGGCTCCATCTTTTTCCACGGAAGAAGTCATTTTGAAGATATATCTCATAGTCAGATCGAAGGCCCCATGCAGGCTCATGGCGGCCCTGTGAACCATGGGGGTGTGGGAGACTTGAAAGTGTTTGCGGGAAAGAGGCGAACAGGTTATCGAGTGCATTTTCGTCCCCGAGGCCGTAGAACTGACCGGTCATGCCCGTGTAGCCAAAGTGTCATGCCCGTGTAGCAATTCCCATCTCAAAAGGAGTGTTTGCGAAGCGCCGGAAGGAGGATTTCCCTGTGACATCCCCACGATCTCTGACGGCGCTACGCGCACGTGCACAGCAATATCGCCTAGCATAATAAAGCTAAAGTAAGCTCTTATACACGGAAATTGGGATAGAGCGCAGTCAAAGATCGGAGTGAGTCTGAAAAGCCGCAGAGTCGGGTTGATTATCCATAACGAGGCCATTCATAGAATCAAATTCACGATAACGACGATACCATGCCGTCAGCTTTGCCTTTTCAGTTTCCTCACTTGCAATTGCCATAACGGATAACGCGTTTCGGGCGGACTTTAAGACAGCAAGAAAAGGTACTCTATGGCAACTTGTCAGAATAATACACCGTAGACAGTGTGCCTATACGCCAGGAACCCGAGATGCTAGAGAAGTGTGTTATTCCGATCAACTACCGCACATACTTGAGGTTACGGGCTGAGACGCTCATGGTCTCTGGTGTGCGCGGCAATGAGCTAATGCAGCCATACTCACTACGGGTAGGCGCAAACAGCCGCCTCGATGGTAAGTAAGCTGATTCGGTACTTTCTTTTGTTTAGTATCATAGCACTGACCTTTGATGGGCAGTCTAACCTCGTCTCTCGGCAATTGCGCCCTACGTCAGCCCACAGACGTGTTTGAGAGAAACTACCGCCCGAAACATACACGCACATACCTACCAGGGATAGCTTGGAAAGACCTAGCTGGTGCTATTGCACGGGACGCAACGACCTCTCAAGCTGCTACGGTCCTTGTGAGGCGTGATCCCAATGCGCCCGTATATATCACACAGGACGACCTGGACAGCCTCGAGCAGAGACGGGATATCACCGAACTTGGAAAGCAATTTGACAGCATCAAAAACGACGAACCGAAGCAAGAGTTGATGGTAAAATAGGACAATTTAATATATTGTCGATGCTCTTCGCACCCAAAGGATACAACAAAAACAGGCAGCGTACTTTGCTGAGGTTAACAGACTTGGGAGCACATGGTCTGCCCACAAAGCATCTAAGCCATAGAAACGCATCAAATGCAAGGCGACAGAAGAGAAGAAAGGGTCTTGAAAGCGATAAAGAGATGTCTTCCGCGCGCCTAGATGTGTCCAGTTTTAGAATCTACCTTTGTTCTTGTAGCCGGCCGGTCAGGTGGGCGGTTTTAACGCTGCCGGGTGCGGACCCGGACTCGGGCGGGGCTCGCCGCTCCGAGTGCCCCGCCAGCACGGCGTTGAGCGGCGGCGGCTACCGAAAGTTTGAAACCAGCCAGCCTGCAATCCAAGTTCTTCCTAAGGCAAAAAAGAGGCCTCAGCATGGTGCGTATCTAGCACAAACGCATCCTCCTCGCTCGGCTACGTACCAGTATCACGAACAGTCACAGCGTCGAAATACTCTTCAAGTGGCGTGGAAGTGAGTCGAATCTGCTTCTGGGTGTCCTTATTAGAAATTTCCATAAGCTCTGGGGCTCCACTCCTTCATGTTCAATGCTTCGCAACCCTGTTGGCATGTCGTCGGTACCGGCAGCAATATCGGGGTCAAGGCACGGGGTTATCATGTTTCTCACCTCTGCCAGCGTTTGAGGATATCATTCTTAGCTGCTCTGAAGCACCGACAGTAACTCCGCACCTAGTGAAAAGATCGAATTGATTTAAACTCCGGTCTGCACCATCTTGAGACTCCTCGCCAAGCTAGACCCCTGCGCCGAAGCAGTTGCCTAAAGACATGCCCCATTGGACCCGGTGATCCCGGCATTTCACATGGTGATTGCACTAGGATTTGAAGGAAGAAAGCCAAAAAAAGCTAGAGATCCTTGGAAGTAGTTCGTTGAGACGGTTCGAAGGATATCATTTGTGCCTGTTGGTGATTCTAATAGTAAGCGCAGTAAGAACGATAACCAGGGCCCAGGGGTAGGCAGTGATTGATCAAGGAAGACAGATAACCTGAGAAGGACGAGAGAGAGTTAGACACCGAATCAGGTAGCAAATTTCGTAGAATCCGATGAATATCCATTGACGTTACATGTGGTTGTGGAATGAAGTCCTCGAGCAAGCCATGTTACGAGCAGCCTATACACACCAGGAACCGGCCTCTTTTGTTACTGCAACTAGGTCGCTACCGCCTCTTGTCACTGATGACTGGATGCTGGCTCATGTTTGGTCACCAGTAGCCCTGCTGTTACTGGAACTCGGCTCTGTTGGTTTTGCACACGCGGTGGAAGCTAGACCCCGTTATTTCTCTTCACCAAGGACTGGACAAAAAGTCACCCGTTCCAGCCTTGTTGTCCCGACGTGTCTGCTGTTCATGATGGCGACGTTGAAAGATGAAGATTTGACAAGCTGAGGGGAGGATGCATGATGGTCCTTTTATACTTTGGCTTTGTGAGGGTAGCCACCCGGGCGATACAATAAAATCCTTTCTTGGTTGTGTAGCAAGTTCGATGGGGGATTCGTAGCTAACTGGTGGTTCATGAGGGGCTGGCGTCGACGGCCAGGGCAAATGATGTTGGCCGAATGGAAAGTTGACGAGGTAACGAGCTGGGAGAGGACATCCGCCTTGCATATTACATTGAAGGGCCAAACATCAGTCCGAGGCATGGCATTGGAAAGGCCCTACAATGGTGCCTACCCAACGAACGTTGGAACGTTTGACCTGGCCAGCGACTCCTTGAACTCGTGTGAATTCGCGCCGCCAGGGGACACACTGACACGGAGCACACAGAGCACACTCACCTGCTCAATTAGAAGACAGCGGACACGGAGCGCAGAAAGGGTTTCGGGAAATACTGCATTGCAACAGCGAGATGGCAATGGCGTCTTTGAACGGGTTGTCGTAAAGGGTGCAGTGAAAGCTGCAACCGATGGTAGGGGTAAAGCCCAGAGCCCACAAGCCCAGAGCCGAGAGGCCAAGTGTCGCTGACGGACAGCGCCTAGCGCCAGCGCGCCTGGAGCTAAAGACATAAAATATATCACGCTGACGAGGTGTCGGTGTGGATGGTGTGGGAACAAAATGCCAGAGAGCACTGACAATCCACCAACACATAAAATTCCCCATGATAGCTCACCAGATGCATGTTCACCGAAATACGCTGCTGCCAGAGATGATTTCATAGCATCAGAGACATTTTTGTCTCGAACTTGGTTCAGTCTGCCTTGGCTGCGTCGATGTCGTCTTGCTCTCTCCTTGCTTCGTCCAACTTTCACTCGACCTTTTCAGCCTCCTTGGCAGTATCGTGTGTGGGACTGTGGGAACCTTGGAACGTTTGCGTCAGCTGAGATTTGAAAAACCGCCAAAGTTGGCTAGTTTGCTTTCTCCAGCTTTCAGGACCTAGACCTCAACTCATGTCTTGCCACTGAGTGACTTGTACAGGGAGCTGAGGTGACAGAGTATCAGGGCGTGCTACAGACTCCACCTGCAGCGATGTGTATTTTGCAATATCGAGAAACTTTCCTTTGAGTCTATTTTAGGCCGAGTCGAGGCGTGATAAACGACCGTATAAAGGCTAGAGATTCGGCTTGCTCCGAAGACGGTAGAGCCTCAAGAGCGAGTGGCCGGCAGCTTACGCCAGTAGCGTCTCAACCGCCTCCCTCCCTTGACAGCGCTGTACTTGAACAGGATCCTCCCTTGCTGCACCACCGTTGCATGCTGAAAACGACCGGGCCGGGACTCTGCCCAAAAGGGGAATAGCCCCGCCGCCGGGGCTCGCAATACGGAGCCCGGCTATGCGGGACGAGCGGCCGAGAAGGCGGTGAGGCGCCAGCCATTGGTTCCCTTAAACCCGTCTCGGACAAGAGCTTGTTCTAGAATACGAGATCTGGTGGCCTGTCACGCAGCCAAGCACTGCCATCACCTCGTATACTCCGTTGCCGAAGCCTGCTATGACGCATGAACGTAAGATCCAGGTTGCATTGCCAAATCCAGGAGTCCGGGACGGATGCTGTATTTATACAAGACCAGACATCCCTCTCTCTCTCCGGGCCTCTCCTAAACAACAGCATCGAACAAGCGTTCGCAACTCGACAAAGATTCTCTCTACTTCTTTCCAACGCAACAAGCCAAGCGTGTCAATATGAAGGCCCCCGTCGTTGCATTCACTGCCTTGATGGGCCTCGCATCTGCTAAGGAGGCCGTCGTCATCAATAACTGCCCCACGACAATCTACGTGCAGTCTTTCCCCTACGACGGGAGCGCGGCTGGCCCCCTTACTACTGTTCAAACTGGCCAGTCCTTCTCTGAGGCGTTTCGGGCCTCCGGCTCGGTACGTGCAGCCTGACTGAAATCCAAGTCGGAATGACTGAACAAGCAGTGGTTCATGTCAACATGCTAAAAGAAGCGCAAAGCCTTCTAACAATATTATTCAAATATACAGACTATAAAAATCGCCAAGACCAAGACGCTCAACAGCCCTTTGTTCTTTGGATACTCATTCTCCTCAAACCCTGACTACGCTTACTGTGAGTCCCTACCGGGACCAGAAGCCCGCTTCCGCTTTCCAAAACTCCTGAATCTCACCTCTTCTAGACGAGTACAGCACCGAGTGGGGAAATCCGTTCGCTGCAAACCACAACACCCTGAGCCCTGGCGATGGCTGCGAGGTGTTTGATTGCCAGGCGAACGACGCCGGCTGCTACAGCACCCCTGCCCACAAGAAAGTCTATGGCTGCCCCCAGCCAGTCGACCTGACTGCCACGCTTTGCAAACAATAACTTTGGTGTCTGACGGCTACAGTATCTGCAGTTGCAGCTCGGCCGTCCAAGCTTGGCGGCAGATGGTAAAAATGGGATCATGAAATGTTGAAGAATACATTGTACTATACTATAATATTCCCGGATTTGAATTAGTCGTAGGCGTGAGGCCCTCACATAGATCTATTTACTACTGCCTTCGTCTCTACATATGCCCATCACTACGTATACAACACGCGGGAACTTGTATAGTGCTATGTTGACCAAGTAAGCGGGAGTCGTTCAGTGCGTACCCTTTTGGCCCAACGACCGGAGGTTAACGTATGACTGCGGCTGGCACCCGCCATGGGCCAATAGAGCTAGTCCACAACAACTTGATAGAAATCGAAATAGCTTCAAAAGGGCTCAGAAGCGAGCTTGTACTAGCAGAAGCTGGTGTCACACGCCTGTTGGCGACACAAGAGCTGTGGTCACGAGATTCAAGGCAGAAGGCTGCTGCATATATAGAAGCCCGTAGCCGCAAAGACGGTTTAGAAAACCAAGGACCCTTGATGCCAAAGCGTGTGATATGCTGTATCAAGCAAAACTACTCCAAGCCCTTAAACAAGCCCTTGTCTTGACTCCTTCCCTTCCAGCTTTTACCACAATTTGCATTACTTGTCAGGCTCTCGACCATCCAGCAAGCTCTAGAGTAGCCCTGTTGACCGAGCCATTCCATTCTGATCCTCATAGCACGTTTACCTGCGTCCTCGCGTGGCAGCGCGAGACAGAGATGGGGAATCCAAAGACTTTGGTCGAAGCCATCAAACGCTTCATAAACCGTCGGCCAAAGAAGCCGACTTCTCCACCGTCCCATCACGGGCACGCAGGTACTAGACTAGTGATGGTAAATTCTCTGCATACGTCGCAAGACCCAACGAACCGCGTCCTGGACTTCCAAACTATTGCCTCTACCCTCAACTCGAATCAGCCATTGGAGTGATGAATCAACCTGAAGCGTTGGCTTATGTCAACAAATCTCCCGGTGGTGTAGGAATACACACCTCTGCTACAAATAGCATGATGCATGTCACATGTCCAGGGTTGGCAGTAAATGGAACCGATAAAAGCTTCACTTGCATTCATTACATTTGTCCCAGGTACATTCGTCCCTCAGGTCAATAGGCACGACTATCACGACGAACGTAGCTAGAATCCCACCGCGATTGTCACACGCAAACAAAAATTACCATATTGACGGGCCAATGGGCTCGGTAACGTTGGGAATAAACTGCCGCGTGACGGCCTTCCTATGGTAATCCAACGTCTCAGTGTAGACGACGTTTCCCCACCACTCAGGGAAGTTCTTGCCACTAAGACCGAGGGCGAGGGCGACAATGACAACGCAGAGACGTGAGCCGATATCCAGAGCACCTGAGAGAACAAAATTGTATTGAGCTGTAGCAAAATATTAGTACAGGTTCTGTTTGTTTTCGAATCATCGAGCGGGAACTTACACCACCAGCCGAAGAAATAGCGTCGGATGAAACCGTTGAAGATGACGCCGACAATGACCCAAGGGACCAGGTAGTAAAGGGTAGCGGGAGGAACAAGACCACAGGCACTGAAGATGGCCGGCCATATGATGTATCGTGCGAAAGAGCGAGGAAAGCGCCTGGCAACGAAGTACTGGATGGTTGGACAAGCTGCTCCAATGAACCAGAACCAGTTAGTCCATGAATAGATGCCACCAGCACCAAACACACGCTTTGGACCCTGTTAAGTCGGGGGTTAGGATAAAATACTTGCGAGAGAAGAGGATGTCGGGCCACTTACAATAACACCCCAAATAACACTGGCGTTGTAAAAAGTGGCAGCATTGGGGCAGATCAGTCCTTGGGGCTGTGAATCCGTGCAAATCCCCTTGATATTGCCAAGGACAAAATTGTATGCGGCGATTTGCACGATGGACAACCAAACCACAGCAAACGCCTGTGCATAGAACATGCTGCGAGGAGGAACTTTCATGTAGTGGCCAACTTTCATGTCAGAAATGTAGGTAAGACCGTTGGCACAGGTCATGTATCCCCAGGACTTGAACAACATCATGGCAACAGGGCGTCCCGGAAGCCTTGGCATGAAGGGGTAGCGACGAAAAGTTGAAACCACGCCTGTGCTCCGTCACAAGAATTCGATAAGAAGAAACTCACATATAACCAAAAATCATCTCAGTGACCACATTGAGACCGGGTTGCTGGTTGGTGATGGCTTGGATCATGCCAATGGGGACGAATAGAACAACGCCAATGAGGATACACACGACGTATGCCCACCATGGCAGATGAGTATTCCAGACCTGCGAGGCGACCATGCCAAATGCAAAGGAAGTGACGAAGATGAGGACAAACCACCACTCTGGTGCCTCCTTATACTTGCGCATAAGTTTGAAGTGGACATCAGGCTCTTCAGAACGGGAGCTGAAAGCGCGACGCCAGATATCAGGGCCGTAGAACAGTGCGCAGTGGAAGATGGTGGACATTAGAGTAGCGAAGGACATGCCGTACGAGATGGAAAACGTTGCCCCAAGCAAGATCGGCGAGTATTCTTGATAAGCGGTCTCATTGACGGTAAAGTCGGGACTCAAGATTCGTGAGGTATTATAAGGTTCAGCAAAGCGATCCCAGTTCTTGTTGGCACTAAGTGGCAAATATTTATACTCGACAGGACCACCGTAGGCTAGGCCGATAGCTCCGACTAAGCAGATGAGGAGACCGAAACCAACATTCAGAATGGCGAAGAGAGGCGTCTGCAACGGGCTTCCTAGCCAGGATGACACACCAAGCCAATCAAAGGTGATGGGCAAGATACCTAGACCGGAAACATGGCCGAATAGCTGGTTAACAATGACACTATTAGGGGCGATCCAGCATGCAAAGGTGAAATACTGAAGGAACGTGGCAAAGACTTCGGGGATCCACTGATATACAAAGGTAGCTAGCGACACGATGATGAAGAACCTGTATCGAGAAATTCGCCAGCCATTAGTGCTAGCAGGGTCAGAAGGGACATGTTTGTGCAGCGAATGCATCACCGCGCAGGGGACCAGATTAGCGGGCCAGACCATAGATGCAGGCCAGACCAAGAATCGGCGAGCAACGCCAGCAATGCCGAAGCCCATTGCTTGAGTGGAAAGGATAAGCAGGATCTGGAAGCCCCAGCTGCGAAGGAAGGTTGTCATGTCAGTACAAACACGAAGCTATAGCAAATCTAAGTGCATGTGACGGCGCTGTCTTACCCAAAGCGTTGGTTGTAGAATACTTCTTGGGCTAGCAAGATATCGATGGCATAACTATAGGTTGAGCCGGCGGCAGTCATCATGGTGATGATGGTGTGCTCCTTGACGTTGAAAGGCCCAGGGTTGAGGTTGTATTTCCAGCCCAAGAAGCTGCGCTCCTTGTTGGGGAGAATATTGGCCAAACCGACACCAAGTCTGGTTGGCGAACACGTCAGCAAATTGTAGCGATGGGTTCGAATTGCCATAGTTGAAGGGACATACGGGTACGCAACCAGTTGCACCACAGTGGATGAGATGCTGGCGGACGAGACATGCAAAGAAAGAAGGACATTGCAGGCGGCAACAATCGTGCACAGTACTGCACCAAGAAACCAAGCTCGGATAGTATCAACAGGAATATCCGGTTCGTCAGCTGGAGGGACCTGGTTAAATGGTCACGTCAGTGTTTGCCAATCCAACCCTGGATGCACATTGCGAAAGGAGGCCAGGCGGAAGCGAGTAAACGTACCGATGCACGGACTTCGGGGTAGGGAGAGTCCTCCTGTATGAGGGCTTCGTCGACGTCTTCCTGCTTCTCAATGTTCTCTGACGCGAGCGCATCATCAATTGTATCGAGCTTCTCGTTGTCTAGAAACGGATCCCATTTATGCTGTCGGCGGAACGTCTTGAGCTCTTGGGTGGGATCACCTATGACGCCAGCAGGAAGCTCTTCCTCGCCGGGCATCTGCCTCTGTGAGAGGCCAAAACGGTCCTTCAAACCCATTTGGAGAGTCGCTTGTGCCAAAATCCTCACTCCATGCACATGACCAGAGTCGCAAAATGGCAACGAGGATTGCCGGGCAAGACGAAGATGCCCAATGACGAGAAGAAACTGAGGGGGGTAAGAGAAATCGCCTGTCAAGCAGGAGACGGATGACTGGCGGGTTATCTATAGATATGAATTGTGTCTTGATATCGGGACAGGCCAAGCGATCGCCACTCCACAGGGGCGACTGTCCATGGTCGACTTCAACGCCGGTGAAGGCCAGCTTCCATGCGTTTTGGTGGGTCGTTCGAGTCGAGAGTAACCGGCCATCGGTATCAACGCGGAATGGACCAGGATCGACCGGTGGTGTACGTATTGGCATTGCGCTCTTCGCTGGCTGTCTCGAGTCTCGACGCTTGCCGAATCTTTTGCTCGAATCCCCTAACTAAGTTACCCCAGCTCCACATCGTCAGGGGGCATGGACAGGACCCAATTCATTATCGCCTAGTGGCCCTGATTCGGCAGCGAAGCCCATAGTATCTGATGTGAGCGCCCGCGACCGGTGTGGGCTGGACAGAGGCCGGCTGGAAGCATGAAGGGACTTTGGAAGAGTGTGAGAGGCACGACACGGCGGGTCCCAGGATGGTCGGATGCGGCGTTTCGACAAAAGGTCCATGGCTGGCGAGCTTTGTTTCGTCCCATAGGGTCGTGGGGATCTGGTTAGAGCTCCAGATGGCGAGACCAAGGCATCATCATCACATGAGTTGATGTTTGTCGCACAGGCCACGCTGACGCCTCTGCGATGTGCGAAGTCGGTCCTGGGTCGCACCTGCCGCGGCGCAATCGCGTCTGCTTCGTCTTGACCAGCATCCAATCTCGTCAGTCCTCGACCCTCCGCCCTAAAGCCTCACGTCCTTCTTCGCCGGGTCTGTCTGCTGGGTTCCAACGCATCAGGCTCTGCCATATCGTCTGAAGCCAGAATTGTGATTGTCAGCGAGCGGGTGAGCGTGCCTCCAGTGACCGTGGCGCCCGGCTCCGACCAGAATAGGCTTGGGCTACACGTATGGCACGGGGTTGAAGAGCGAGTCTGGTCGTTCGGCGCCACCGCGAGCCAGGCTCACTAGGCTCTAGGCTTCATTTGTGACGAACAATGCTACCGAGCGCATCAATGACGCACCAGTTCATGAGGATGGCTGGCGGGCTTCGTCCAACCGGGTGGGTCGACAACACCGCGATCCTAGCAGCCATCATCCGAATACCGCCTAGTACTAACTTTTCATCAGTAAAGCTGCATGGGCGTGGGCGGCCATCAACCCTCGTCCCTCCGCCTCGGCTGCGGATCGGATGCGAGTGTTCGATCGCTGGTCAGCTTGTGTTAAAACGCCAAGGTAGTTACATGGCGACCGCCGCCGACACCACCACCGCCGACGCCACCCAGCTTTTCCAAGGCCATTCTCAATATACACAGGACGATCTTGCAAGCCTCAGTGCCTTCCACCACGGCGCTGCTGGTTCGCTACCTACTGGTCCGGCCACAATCAGCTAGTTTGCTCTATCTCGACCAGCGCAAAGACTCTCAGTCTGCAAAAGTTCCCACCAGCCCTATCTTCCCCGTAATCAAGACTTGAAGATAATGGAAGGTGCTGCGGGTGATCCGCCGATTCGTTCGAAGACGGGAGTGGCGCTCTCCCCGTCGCGGCGTCACGCATACCCCGTCAATCTGTGCCGTTCCGAATAGCCGACTTGGCTGCCCATTTGGGCTAAGTGTCAAGTCGTCTTGCTTACTCCGTACCGTTCAGATGGTGCCTTGTGTTCAAAGCCCAGATGCGGCCATTGTCAACTCGGAATGATTGGGACCATTGGCGCCGACTCCAGGCTCCCAACGGCAGCTGCCAAAGATGACAGCAAACTGAGCTAACAGTGCTGAGTACTACATGCATGCAGCCTGTAGTCCCCATTGTTGCCCTTGTGTTGTCGTATGTCCGCATCCGGTGCCGACACGTTATCTGGCAGTGAAGTGGGCTCGACTGTCATACGCAAGTCAGTATGTTACTCAAAACCCTCATGGGACTGGTCGCTCCTTGGCTTCGACGCAGCGCCAAGGGAGGCCGATTTGCCAAGTCGGGACATTTGTCAGCTGAAAAGATGGGAAAATGAATGAGCATCCATATGTTGAACCAGCGCCAACCCCGGATAGCCTCCAGTCCTCGGCCATCGATCTTCTCCCTATTTCCGACGAGGCAGCCGGAACAACCAATTGATTCCTACCTTATGGCTCCTCAAACGAGCTGAGATTTGCAACTTTCAGGCGAAGGAGTCCCCACGGCTGTGGAAACCCCGACGAAGGACGCCCGTTAGCCAAATGGATGCTACTTCCCGTCTACAACAATGCGTGACACGGCCAGTAATGGGGCGAACTGAACTGTTCCCAGGCAGCTTGTCGTGGGGAAAAGCAGCCCGCGGATCACCGGATGATTTTGTAACTTGAAAAGATTCCAAAAATTGCTCCGTGGTTCTATGGTGTCGCAGTTGATTTATTAAATCTTGCAGAGAAGCTTCCCGGCTGCAACAATCTGTAGGTGCAGTACATGCTAAGGGTTGGCGATGATGGGCACAGAAGCTATTTTTGGCCACACAGCTTCGATCTATGCAAATGGCTCTTGCTCATGCAATCCTCATGATCAATAGCCGACACTGATGATTGTATTGTTATAACTGACACATTTGCCCATCGTGCGTAGATGTCCTGGATGTTCAGTGACCTCAGTCTTCTGCGGTCCCTTCTCCGGTTACGACGCCCGCGGCTGGTGGCTTGTCGGTCGAAGAGACTGCCAAAATGGACAGGGACAGCATTGCATGCGATGTGTGCTCTGAAATCAGCCTCTCATTTCAGGGCACACAGGAACATGGCAAGCTGCATCAGGTCTAGGACTCACCCCTACTAGTGTACCTGGATGCTTACCGATCCGCAGTCACAGATTCTCTCACTGATGAATCGACCTGGTTCTAGTTGCGATGCTAGTAGAAACACGATGGTTTTCACAGCATAGTGCCCCGAATTCTAAGCCGAACCAAGATATCGTCAGCATGTCCGGTCGAGCAACAGATGGTTCGAGTGACACGCAACACTCCCATAAAAATACACTTCCTGGCATATCATACCCTCTTGTTGATTGTGAACACGCCGGAACTTGCGAACCTCGCGACTAAGTTTTATCCGCAGCCGCCCCAGGACACACGTCAGCAGTCCGAAAAAGTCAAGCGTTGATCAAACGCTTAAGGCATTTATGCAAGAGAAAAGGATTCAAAAGGCAGCAAGACCTGGTCCGCCACGTTGCTACGCGTAGGATGGCTCCTTGGTTGGCTGCTAATACCTAACATGCAATGTAAATCTTAAAGTCAACCGTTAGTGTCCGTCCTGCTCTGCTGATTCCGTTTCGCAAGCACATTCGGGACGGCGCAAGTGTGATGCCTCAGCAAAGGGGCGCAAATAGATAAAGCAGGCATATGATAAGATGCTACGACAAGCAAAGCTACAGCTAGGGCTTTCACAAGTTGAGAACGAATGTAATCAAGAGGTGCCAGGGCTTCCGGCTAAAGCAGGAGGCGAAAGAGCGCATCACCATCAGACTTGAATGGCCGTTGCCATAGGCCAAGCAGCAGCCTCACCTCAGGTCCCTTTGGATACTATATCCAGGAATCATTTTGCAGATTTTGCTGGTCATGGACGCCCCAAGGCGGCAACACGCAGCCCTACGAGCTCTTTGTCGACGTCCTGCAATCGAATCACCGTAACCAGTTCTGGGGATATCAATATTGATAAGGCGGATCTGACTCTACCAATTCATGACTCTCAGGTAACTAACATGGATCCGAGTCTAGTGTCTTGATACACGGTTAGGCCGCCTCAGCCGCTGAGGCCGCCCAACACAGGTTGGACAGTGGAACCACCACAAGGCCACGATGGAAGCCTAAGCTTGCAAGCAAAAGAAGGCATTGCACAAGCCTTGGGATATTGAGGCATATACTCGTATAGAGAGGCCTCACGGCTCAAGTTCCTCAAAATCAACCAAGAAACTTTACAGCCTTCCTAAGTAACACTATTGCAAGTCCACTCAACACTGACTGTTACACCGAAAAGCCTCAACCACATAACTAGCTGCGATGCATAAAGGTTGCAGCTATCACGATGCCCTCATAGGCCACTATTGGGCTCGGGCACCAAGGCAAACAAGGCACAACGGGGCATCACCCCTTTGCTGCTTAGTCAGGTTACACACACAGATACTATTATATATATAAAGCCCTCATTGGTCAGGTCCATTAGATCAAGGAAATCAAGGAAGCAAGGACCTTTGAGACCCTACGATATTACATGTGAATATGAGTCATTTGCTCCGAGCCCTGATCTCTATGACCAGCCCTTGTTACGCTGACCCCATCACGCCTTGCCACCTAATCTTGTATCACAATTCGAGTCCAAATGCCAGCGCAAATCCCCGAGTTACTGACAGGCCAAGCCGAACATGTGCGACTCATCTATGTTTATTATGAACAAACACCTACCGCATGAACGGGCCTTGTTCACGTGCCGCCCTGGCGGAATAACACGCCAACGTCTCCCAGGTTCCTCGTCTCTGATAGATTCGACTATAGGACGATCCGATCCTTCAGGTCGATGGCCGGTGCGCCGCCCGCGGAAACTAAGAATGTTGACTCTCGCCTGGACGCGTTTTCGGTCTCGAATTGGTCTGTGGTATAACCGGGAGCTGTAACTAGACAAGAGTAGACTCAGCCTTCATATAAGCTGCTGCGGCCTCCACCATCTTCAACATTGAAGCGGAGCAGTGGATAACACACATATGCACTACTTCAAAGACGGGAACCCATGTATAATCTAGGGAGAATTTCTCCAATCGCATTTACTATTAAAGCCTGAAATGCAATCGCGCCCTCGACTTGGGTGTAAAGTGCGGTTACACCCTCGACTGATTTGTATCTGGTCCTGGTGTACTGAACAAGTACGCAGACGGTACCATCCAAGTCAAGTGGTTGGGAACTCATGGCACATATACTCATGGAAATCCTGACCCATGTACATGATTATGCCATGAGCATTCGTGTCGGGTTGTACTTAAACGTGAACAATTGCAACCATGGTTGGAGCTACCTCCACTACCCACGATTCAGCCACGACCGACATGCCCATCACGTCATTATCGCGTTTCCTAATTTTCGCATGAGACGCCGCCCGTACCTTGTGGAAGCAGTGTAACTCTAGTTTCAATTCGTTCATTGTAGGTGTACTCGCTATGAATGAGGCACCATGGACCTAAAATTAATTCCGCGTCGTCCTTGAATGAGGAAAATGGTAGGTTTTGTTGTGTTCTTGAATTTCCATTTCGATCAACTTTATGTCCATGTCTGCTGTCTGTTAATACTTGTTATTTTGGCATGAGAATAGCTCGCAATGGCCTCGTGACATATCTTTTAAAAAAAAAAAAAAAAAAAAAAAAAAAGAGGCGCCTGTACGGCTGTCTAATGGCGCTGAAATAGACGTGGCCCGTATCATATACATCTCCACCCTCACTCATCTCACTCGTCTCATGGGAGGCCTGCTGGCGTGACATTATTCCCGTCATCTCGTGCTCGTACACCACCGGCCTTTCGAGCTTGTCTCCGACGCACAGTAGCCCATCTCCATAAACCCTCCAAGTAAAGATGCCAGGATGCCGCCTGCGGTTTCGCCGCTCGAGACCACACCAATGCAAAAGTCGGCATCCGCCAAACGTGCCTTGTTCTCCGTATAGTCCAACACAGCCGAGAGTACGGTCATGTAAATGGCGCCGCCAGCGACTCCAACAGATGATGCTAATAGCAAGAGCGGAAAGGTGCTTGACGCAATGAGCGAGAACAAATTTATTAGTTGCAGCCCCCAAGCGACTGCCAAGAGCGCAAATAACGAGCGCAACTGCTTCCGCCGAGACATAATAATGGACGCTCGTGTGATCAAATCTCCCATTCGCAGGGCAGCTCCAAAGGCGGCACTGAATTGGGAAAATGAAGGCAGCGATGGCGACATGGGCCGCAGGCGAGTCGATGCGGGAAAGACAAAAGCCTGTGCGGAGGACGCTGTGAACAAGGGCACTGCGAATTTCACCAACAGCGGCCGAGCCAGTGCCCAGCTGCGCTTGGATCTAGACGGCAGCATGCCTGCCAACGGGATATTCTCTTGTCCGTCGCTGGAAGCCGGGCTCGTAAAAGGCGACTTGGTAGCGATGCGAGGCAGCGGAGCCGGCGGCAGAACGACGAAATACGCGGCCAGCAAAATGCCGACCAGATAGTAAACGCAGTCGACCGAGGTTCGCAGGAACACGCCCATGCCGTACGTGATGAGGTACGGGGTCACGGCGACGGCTGCGCCGCCGATGCCTGTGCCGATTCCCCAGCCGGCGAGTCCCCAACGAGCATAGTACCGCATTTGGGATAAAAACGACACTTCTGCCGCGGCGGCGCTAGCCGAAGCAAGCATCGTCATGAGGATTCGAACCAGTGGCGGGACATTTGGCGGCGCAGCGGCGGTAACGACGGCGGCGAGGATCCAAGATGCTGCCAGGAAACAGGGCCGAATCCACCAGGAGATGTGGCGCAAGACATGAGGGAGGACTAGTTTGGTCGCAAGGCTTGGTAGCCCTTGGATCAGGGCGACTGTCGGTTGCGAATATGGAATTATGAGGTAGCTGGAGGAGAAGATGATGGAGGGCAAAACGACGTTGACGAGGCCTGACAAAGGAAAACAGCTTGTCAGTGGGTGGGATTTTTCCAGCCCTCATGTTGACCATGAATTGGGGTACGACAGGGAGCTCAGGCGCACCTAGGAGACAAAAGCCGACGAGAGCTCGAACGCGGTAAACGGCAAGGACGCCGCGTGGTCGACGAAGCGCAGTCCGGACTGCTGGCATCTCGTCATTGCCAGAGCTCAGGCACGAGCATGGGGAGGCGGACTTGGTTGAGAATTGTTTCAGAGAAAAAAAGTCGGGATACAGTTGAAATTAAGTCAACCAACCATGCCCTTGATGCGGCGATGGCTCCGATAGAGCAAGGCAGGGAGGGCGACGGTTCATGGGATCGCTCGAATCCTCGGGTCCCCGGGTTTCTTGGCGCATCGCATGTGGTGGTACGCAGTGCTACGCACTTTGAGATACGCACACGCACATGTAGGCGCTGGCATATTGCTGCAGTTGGCCATGGGAATGCCGGTGAGTGTGTTGATGATGAAATGTGGCCGTGAAGCGATGCTCGAATGGAATGAACAACATACAATCATGTCTGGCTTGTTGAAGCATTTGGTCCAGTAAGTCGGTAGGTTCTCCGTGCATAAGTAAAGTTCCTAGGTACTGAAGTACTTGAGTACATTATTGAATCAGCCCTGGCCCATGTGGACGGTACCTCAAAGTCCTTACTCTGGGGCTAGCGGTAGGCAAGTACTACGTTATCCAACATGGCCCAGCCAGTAGCAATGGCACGTGTGCGGAGTAGGGGGTTTGAAGTGCTGACTGCACGTGTTCTGCACGCTGATTGGCCGTCATTCCACCCGACACCATGTCCGGATCCACTCTGGAATATCCTCGCTCTTCTCCGAGTAAGTCCCTCTGGTTTCATCAATGTCGGTCTCCAGCTCAGCCTGGGTCTTTTTCGTCCTCGCCGCGCCTGTCCCAGTCTACGGAGTACAAGTTTAACTAGAGTGATCAACTCAATCACAGCCGAAACCAAGAACCCACAATCCGACATGGGACACAGAGCCACCATCGACGGCCAAGATGGCCTAGCGCAAGGCGTGTGGCTTCATAGGATCGACCGCATAAAGCCAGGCCAAGCCAAGCCAACCCAAGCGTACAGAAGACGAGCCGACTCTCCCAGACGCCGCCAAGGCAAGCTCCAGTCAGGGATGCCACCAAGGAACGCGTTGTCAAGATGGCCACGGCCTCAGGTGTCACTACCTCGAATGCTCCCGAGTCTCACGGCTCGCGGCCCACAGCTCACGGCTCACGGCTCGCAGTTTAAAGCTCACGCCCGGCCATGCTAGTCAAATTAGCTTCCCTGGGCACTATGTTTGCGTTTCACCATGAACCACTTTAGCCTGCCAAGTCGTCCAGGAAAAGCCCGTCTTCTCTCACCCGGGAAACCTGTACTTTACCTAACACCTTGTTCCAACCTGTTTCAATCTTCAAGCCTCCCTTTTCTCCCATCTTTTTTTCCCCTCTTTTTGTTTCTTCTTCTCTCATGGCCCTAGCGTTGTCTCCCTTTGACTTTCGCTGCGCATCACTTCCGAGTCAGGTGGTTCGTCCTGGTGAATAGTTGACCGGCGGATGAGTCGCTTTGCATTTAAACGACACCGAAAAAAATGCGATTCAACTTTGGTAGATGTAGAGGTTATCGTCCGCTTCCTCAATATGAAGATGAACCCTTTTTGCCGAAAACCTTGCACGCGAATCGTCGCCACAAGACGAACAGGTTGAACAAATGCATCGTAGGTGGAACCGCTTTACTGGCGGTTGCTGGACTCGCAGCTCACCATCTGGTTGTAAGTTGCAACTGGGACTTGGTCACATCAAGGCAATATTGCTCTGCCTTGTTTCTTCTTTCTTCTTATCTTTTACTCAACAACCCACTGACATGACGTGAAAAATCATAGCCCTCAATTGCTTCCGTTGGATACAAGCAAACTGGGAGCGACAAAGTCCTCACAACGCAGCAACTCCAAGCGTTGCATCCCGGCAATCATTCCGTCTCAGTCGGTGGCGATCGCCGTCTTCGCATCTTCATGCCTGCCGACTCGCCTCACATCAACCTGTGCAAATCCGTCATGTCGGCGGTTGCCCTGGGCTATCCAGCACCAATCTTGTTGAACTGGAGGGGCGAGTTCAATCGTCCTGAATGGCACTTGGCCGGCAGCCACATTGCGAAACTCGAGAGCTTTTTATCCGTCATCGAGAACATACTCTCCCTGGCCGAGGGCGAAGATGGCGATGTCCACCAAGACGATGTGGCCCTTCTCGTCGATGCTTACGACGTTTGGTTCCAGCTGCCTCCCTCGGTGCTCATTCAACGGTACCACCAACTCAACCGCGAAGCCGACGAGCGAGTGCGGCGTCAGTGGGCCGATGCCCAAGGCCCTGAAGCAGATTTCCCTATCCAACCGCCCAAGCAGTCCATTGTTGTGACCACAGCCAAGGACTGCCACCCCAAGAGCGATTCGGGGTCCGATCCAAACTACTCGCACTGGCCCGAGTCGCCCATGCCCTCAGACATGTATGGCGATGGCACCGACCAGGTCCTCAGCATGCCCTTGGATCCAGCCAGGAAATTCAAAAAGATGCGACCGCGATGCATAAACAGCGGCATGGTCATGGGCACAATGGGCTCCCTACGCGACGCTCTTATTCGTGCCAAAGCCAAGGTCGAGATTGCCGCCCACCGGGGAAGACAGCTCTGGAGCGACCAAGCTCTTCTTGGCGAAGTAATCGGCGATCAGGAAATGTGGCGGGAATGGATGCGCAAACTCGGCACCGCTTGGAACGGGACCGCATCAGAAAACTACCTCTCTCATCTGCCGCCGGGCGTACGCAACATTGCCGAGGCCGCCATCAAGGGTCAACGGTTTGAATACGGCATTGGCCTGGACTACAACTTCACTACAATCCCGCCGACATGTTCTGCCGAGGAAGACGGCTACTTTGTCAAGCTCAACGACAAGGAGGCACTGGAAAGAGAATCAGCCAAAGCTGGTGTTCCCAACGGCGAGGTCCGCGTCCAAGGTGTGCCCGGCGAACTCGACCAGGCCGACGTCGGGCCGAAGCAGTTATCGAGCATCAAATGGGGAGAGTCATCTCTCTACACCGACTTTTTCTTTGGCGTCACGCCCGTGGGCATCCACCACAACGCCTACGTGAACAAGCTCAAGTCGAGCCGTCTCAAGGAGTGGTGGAGCAAGATGTGGTTCTACCCGCAACTTCGCACGCTGGTCGCACGAGCCCTCCTCCCGGCGGACTCGACAACCGCCATACGCCCACTCGCGAGAATACCGGCAGACAATGGGGGCCAGGTAACAAAGTACTGGACGCTCAAGTCGGATCTCCGCAACAAATTAGTCAAGGTCTTTGAACCAGCCTCTCTGGACGCCAAATCCGGCGGCTCCTTTACATCCATCGAATGGGAGGGCGTGTGTCAACGGGGTGGCCAAAAGCCCTGGCACGAGGAGCTGTTTGGCGACAAGAAAGGCCCGTGGCAGTTGTAGAAAGTTGCAGTAAAGTTGGGGGTGGGGGAAAGGGCATGGGGTTTAATTGGTTTTATGACGTTGCAAAAACAGCGAATTTTTCGCATTATACCCAGTTCCTCGCCATTTTTTGTACGTCATGGCGAGGATAGAATTTTGTCACGGACCGGACCGGCGTTAGGGAGCAGTCGGCACTGACGGAGGCATTGGTGAATAGATGACTCTTCTCACATTGCCCACGACAAGACGGCAGTCGCACGCGGGCAGGTCGGAGACGGGCGCACGCGCGGCAGTGCCCGTAATTTGGCGGTGCCGGTTGACGGCGGCTCCGGGCCTCCGCGCGCGCGCGTCTCGGCCGGCGCTGTGGATCCCCGTCACACAAAGAGGCAAGCCATGATGCATGCGAACCTCGACCGTCACTGGTGATCAGAGCATCAGTCGTCGCCTCTTTGCTCCGCCTTGTGTCTGCTGACGGTTGAATTCAGCAAATCCCCGCATCCTCCCCGCCGCCATGGCGCCCGGAAAGAGCCTCCCGCCGGCCATCGACCCGTCCCTCATCGCCACGCTCCTCACCTTCCTCGCCCTCCCACCGGCCAGGTCCATCACGCCGCTGCACGTCAACGCGGCCTTTCACAGGATCTATTTGATACACTATGCGTCGCCGCCGCCGGCAGCAGAGCTCGCCGACCTCTGGGCCTCGCCGGCCGGCACGAGGCTGGTGCTGCGCGTCTCGGGCCCGCACGTGCCGTACCTCAAGACCACAAACGAGGTGGCCATCATGACGTGGGTGCGCAGGAACACGCGCATCCCGGTCCCCCGCGTCGTGCGCTACGACAACACGCCCAACAACGTGCTCGGCCGCGAGTTCACCCTCCTCGAGGAGGCGCCCGGCCGCAGCGTCGACTCGGTCTACGCGCACCTCCCCGACGCCACCAAGGTCAGGCTCGTCAACGAGCTCATCGACGCGCTGGTCGAGCTGCGCGCCCACCCGTTCCGGCACGTCGGCGGCCTCCAGCTCGTCGGGGACGAGGTCCTGCCCGGCCCCCTGCTCGAGGACGCCTTCTGGTTCCGGCCCGGCATGGAGGCCGAGTTCGGCAGCGACGAGTCCGTCCAGACCCCCGGCCCCGTCGGGCCGTACTCGAGCCACGCCGACTTTGTCAGGGGCTACATTGGCGTCGTGGCGCACGCTGTCGCCGCCCACGACGCCCTCGCCTGGGCGCGCCACCTGCTGCCTCGCCTGGCTGGGCTCGTGGCCGCCCTGCCGCGCCTCGAGCTCGACACGGCTCTGGTCCTGGCCCACAAGGACCTGCACTTTGGCAACGTAATGGCCTCGCCTGACGGCCGTGTGACGGCCATTCTGGACTGGGAGTTTGCTGCCGTCGTGCCCGTCGTGCGCTGGGACCCCGTCTGCGCCTTCCTCTGGAACTGCGAGTATACCCAGGAGGGCCACGACGAAAAGTACCGCATGAGGGCCGTCTTTGAGCGCGAGCTGGAGAGGCGCGGCGTCGTCAAGTGGTGGCAGGCGACGAGTCCGGATATCGACGCCGTCTGGGACGTCGTCAGGTACATGAGAGCTATTGTCGAGCTGTGTCCGAGGGGCGGCAACATGGATCAGTGTAGGCTTTGGAGCCGGCAGGCTGCCGAGGCCCTGGCCAAGCTGGGTGTTTGATCTGGTGTGGACAACGAGGCGCCGGCGCCCATGAGCAGTAATAAAAATCTGGCAAGTGGAGGATGTCATATCATATATGGCATGACAACACAGACCGACGGAGTTTGGCCGAATGTGGGAAGCAGTGACTCGATATGCTCATCATTTATTCACCAAGACATTTCTGCTGCGCCGGGATTTAATTAATTTCAACCGTCTGGAAGACGTGTCATTTCTTATTTAAAAAAAAAATTTTCTCATCTTCAAGTCTCTTTCACAAGTACTCCTTTTTCCGCCGGGGTATCTGAATGCCACTTGCCAATTATGTCAGACTTACAAATGAAATAGCAAGACTTGTTACAAAGAATGGCGACGAATCCAAACGAGTGCAAACGACCAAGGAGCGCCGAGGAACCTGTGTGTTTATGACGCTTCCTCGACCACGCGGACAATTTCGCATAGGCATCTCATGAACAATGGATCTGCCTCTTCAGCCTCCACGTCTGCCAATCCATCTTCCTCGGCGCCATCTTCTGCCATGAGCTTGGCTGTAGCCACGAGTCTTGCGATGCACCGCAGCAGACCATTCTGTATTACCCGCAGGGCATTGTCCTGGCTACTGGGCATGCTACTGCTGCTTGTCATGATGCCTTCCTTGTTCCATTCGCCGAGGGGCGAGCTGACGGGCCTGGTGAATTGGCTCATTCTTGCCGCTGCTTCTGCGGACGCTGCGAGTCCAAGCAAGGATGCAGCCTTCTTGGGAATATCATCTTGCTGATGTTGGTCTCTTGAGCTCATCGAGTTCGCGCGCCCATTGCTCACAAGTGGCACGGGGTTGCGTGCAATTAGTGCCGATATGTAATTATACGACACGATATGAGCGTATAATGCATCGCAAATGTAGTCGGAACAGTGGTAGAATACATTTTTTATGGGAGCCCAGGGCTTCGGCGCGTCCACTTCCGACAAGGATGAATCTGCATTTTGGACATTGGAATACCTCGGCGTTGATTTCAAATTTGATGGATGCGGCCCTTTGTTGTAGTCGACCACTTTGCGCCAGAGTGATTTCCTTGATGCCTGCATAGACGCATCTCCGGATATGCTAGAAACTTCTGGCATGGGGTGTCGCATTTTCTTCGCGTAGCTGCGGATGGTCTCGACAGTCAGACTGGACGTCAGAAGCATCGTTTCCGGGAAGCATACCACCGACACGCGCAGTGTTTCGATAGCATCTGGTGGTAAAGGCACAGCTCTTGCGGCCTCATCGCTTTTGGATGCCCATGGATATGGCTGGAGGCTGCTGTTGAGCCATGACTGGACAGTCTGAAGAGGCTCTGGCAGTGTTGGCGGTCGAACCAAGTCTGCTTGGGGTTTGGTCGAGCCGCGATTTGCAACAGGGTGTAAATCTTCCTCATCAAACGCCGAGCAGGCGTTGCTGGCCGGTGACGTCGCCAGATTGATGGCTGGCTCGTGGGACAACTTCTTTACCAGCCGTGTAGGCAAGGATGAGTCTGCTGTACTAGTTCGAAGGGGTTGCATGCGCCGAAGTGTCTTCAAACCTTGACACTGGTCCGGACACGGCGTTTGAAGTGAACCACTCTTGAAAGTATCTGCTACAGACTCTTTTCTTGGCCCGTTCATGGTTCGTGGTCTCACTGGCATGTCCAGAGACTTGCCAGAGCGTTGCCGCCGCACATGCAGCCTCGGGAATTCGCCGCTAACAGAGTGTGATTTTTGGTGTGGGAGATTATGGCCAACGATCCAAAAGTTTGGCATGTTGATTTTTGAACCGCTCTCGGTGGCGGGAGAGCTCATCCCGGAGCAAGACTGTCTGGGAGGCCTTGGCGACAGCGATCCGACGTTATAGTCTTCTGTATTGCCGTCAGCATCATCTTCGCCGTCCGAGTCAGCCTCAATCCAACTGCCTTCATACTGATTATCGGCTGGGGGTGAGCTATTTCGTCTGCAGGCCAGGGACGCCAAGGAAGTTGCCGTCGTGACAACGGAACCGCGGGGGCGAAACTCGGGTGGTTCGGCGCCGTCTGAGCTGGAGTGACTCGTTGTGGGGGTCGATTCAGAAATGAGGTCGTCTTTTTCCGGAAGCTCTGCTTCTTGGTCGATAAATGATGCCGTAGATTCCCTTTCCTCAATGGGGTCAAGCGACTGGCCTCTCGCAGAGGCTGCTAAATATGGAGAATAGAAGGCGGTCCTGCTACCACGACTTCTTGCTCGCTCTTCAACGGAACTTGCAATTTGAGGAGCCCCAGCCGTCATTTTTTTCTGCGCAAATATAGCAGCCGAAAATTCCAAGTCTCTCGCAAGTACCTCGGGAAGGCAGTCGATCACACGATCACTCATGCCTTCGTCAGCCGGCGTAGGCTGACTGCCGCTCCAATCACTTGGGGAAGTGAGGGAAAGTGTAAGTGGAATTAGATCCTTCATGCTTGACACAGACCTTGTCCTCCCACTTGATGGCGAGGACCTCGATGTTGATGACGATTCACTGCCAGGAGTCGATGACCTTTGCGATTCACTTCCAATATCAAATATTTTTAAATCAAACAGAGACGTGAACGCCGATTTTTCACTGCCTGTTGTTTGCATCGAAAAAGGCAACACCTAGTGCGCAGACTGGAAAAAGTGTTGAATTTTGGGGGTCCGGGGCGTATTGTTATAGCAATAGTTGGGGATTCTCCCATACGATCAGAACAAACGTCCCATGCACAGACCAGGATGGGGTAAGACTGACATTAAGGAAGAAACAGATAGAGACAGAAAACAACAGATCATGCGTGAATGCCCTAGGGGTGGAACTGGATGTCGCGGCGAAGGGGGGGGCTGTTGGTTTTGATTCAGGCGAGACAACTGTGGCAACAATAATCAAAGATTGTCGCACTGTCTTTGCGAAGAATATTGATACTGAGGGGTATTTGAGGCATTATAGCACCCTCTATGACGCATCGTAGGGCGGCGACGAGGTCAAGCCGGCGTTGATGGTACTCTAGTGGCTGCGAGGCATCAAAGAAGCAAAACTGCATTCAAAAGCAAAGTTGCAGTTCTGGGTCAAGCGAGGCGACGCTACAAAACCCTTCAACATGTCAGCATCAAGGGAGACGTTGAATACGGCTCAAAAAAAGAAACGAGCAACAGCGTCTAGCCTACCGCACCGTCTCAAGCATATCAGTTGTAGGTTTCCACAATTCGTGCCAAAGGCGTCTGTGACGATGCTCGTACCGCAGTCTGTGACTTGAAAGTTGGAGAAAGTCCCAGTGAATAGACAGCCGTGAACCCTCCAACAGCTCTGTAAAGAGAGTCGAGTCTAATTAACAAAGCTGCGGTGCGCAATGCAAAAGCCACGGCACGTTTAATGAACATGCGGCAGAACAAATGACCTCGGAGACTCTGGACCTTGTCAATGACGGTGAGGCTGCATCACAAAGGCAAATCAACGACAATCAAGACACTCGTCAAAGCCACATCGAAGTGTCCCAAGCGAGCGGCGTTAAGACTCGTCAAAGCGGGAGGCATCCACAGGGCTGCCATGTGGCATGGAGCTCGACCAGCGATTGAACGCGCCATCAGAACCACCGTACTCAATACTTTGGAAGCCCCTGTATGAGCCACTGACCTGGGAATGATTTATCCTCGGAGCCGTCTTCGCACTGTCCCGTTGTGTTTTGGTGCAATTTGATGATTGTGCCAATCGCTTCTCTCGAGATCGGTCTGTCAGGTTGCAATCATTAGCGTTTCTGGCTGCCGTTCGTAGCTAGGTAGTAACTATGCAGTGGCTGACAAAAGGGGGCATTGCATTGAGCCAGTGACTTCCCGGAATATGATCGTGCGGGCACCCAAGGCCGGAGGCCAGCAAGCAGCGAGTGGTATCAAGTTATTAACCAAGACGCAGGGCGGAGATGCGAGGGCCTGAGACAGAAGCAAGGGGCTACTGATCGATTAGAGCCCTCCTAGCTAGGAAGAGGGTCAAAAAAAGCAACCATGATGATGAAAAAGGTGTAGTCGTGCCCAACGAAGTAGGCAACACTTGACGGCGGCTTGATTGACAAGTGGATAACGCAACGATGATTGTGGATAGCGGCTTGGCAGATGAAGGGATTTATTTTCGTACTCGACATTCCTCAGCAGGCGAGGGTCGAGTCGGAAACTAGCGGTTCAAGGTCAAATAATGTACAAATAGTATTATATGATCATTTCGGACATGGCAGCCCCAGGGTACGAATGTGCAGACGGTGGTGAGTTGTTTTGTCTAGACGTTTGAGCATCGCGGCTTACACCAGGCACTCGAGGCCACGTTGTCAAGCGGAAGTCGGCAAGTCGCACCTGCCCTGAGAATGGGATGAGCCGCGCCAGGACACGCGCATACACACGTGAGCAGGGCAGGCAGACAACGAGCGAGGCCAGCAAGCGAGGCCGTTCACCTACGAGGGCATTTGACAAATTATGCTCAGAATTGGCCGTCTTGTCAATATCCAATGAATTTCTCCACTATATATGCGTGTGTGAAGCAAGACAAAAGACAACTGCGAATGGCAAACTCGCAAGCACGATACCCGGTTCGAGCGCAGCAATCCGAGGTAACGGCCTCCCATTCGAGATGGAACTCGGGTCCTCCAGCAACGACGTCGCGTATACTGCAAGAAGCAAAACTCGTTTTCATCTTTTGAGCAAGTTCCTCTAGCAAGACAAAAAAGCATGGAGGAAAAAGCATTATGACGCCTCACTCATCACATTTGTCTCGACTTATGCTTCAATAGCTTGGCCCTCCCTGCCAGGATTGCGTTTCGTGGCGCCCTGTCGGCCTACAGTCTGTGGCGCACGATGCTTGCCTACCAATTAGTATAGCAGTAACTATACGCTAATATGCCATCGTTTGATGGCAGAGCACGCCATGGTCGGGTGCCTCCCACTGTATGGTACGGCGTGCTGCCGTGCGAGCATTGTGAAGATTCTCAAGCGCTCTATTTTGCTTCGTCGCTCCCAATCCACACACAAGCTGCAACAAGCTCTTGCTCGTGTGGGGCTCGCTCGTCCGCTGAGCATGGATTGGAGACTCATGATTTGACGGGGTTGCGAACGCATTCAATTCTTTCTTTTTTTTTTTGGTTGCTGCCGCCCAGAACCAAGAAGCCAGGGACGCCTTGCCTCCAGCATCTAGCCTCGCTCGCGGCTTGGACTGTGGCATTTCAATAATTGGTTTTGTACCTTTTTTTTATGCACAGTCCGGGGTTTTTGATTGTCTGTGTTTGGTTCTCTTGGCTTCCGCTCGACGCGCTGCACCTCCGACCTCGAGGCTAGTGCTGGCCCTACATCAAAGAAACGCGACACCAATTCACCTCGCGGGCCGGCACATACAATCATGTTGTCTGAGGAGATAATTTCCTCTGTCTGCGGGTCGCCAATTGCTGCCAACACGGCGGTTTCAAGGGATGTCGGCATATATTGCCACTCACTAACGCCCTCTTGGGCAGTCAAGGCTACTTTCAAGAAGAGTTCGGCGCCTCCTCACTGCATCGCCGTCAATGATACGCACATATTCGCTGCTCAGGATCAAAAGGCGCATGTGCATGTCTACTCCCGGCTGCGTGGCAACCAAGAAACCTTGGCAGCCTTTCCCGAGCGAATTCGTAGTCTGGCGCTTGCCGGCAACGTCCTCATCTTGGGCACAGCTGAGGGACGACTCATACTGTGGGAGGTGAGTAGTATCTGGTTTTCCTTTTCATCGTAACAATCCTTGGCAGCCTGCCACATCGCCTTGCGATTCTAAAATTCCTTTCTCTGACCGACGAGACAGATTTCCACTGGCAGGCAAGTTACTACACCGCCTTGCCATGTCCAAGCGGTTACTTGTCTAGCCGTCACCCCATATCATCTGCTTTCGGCATCAGACGACTCCAACATCCATGTTTGGTCTTTGCCTCGCCTTCTTGAGTATGGTACCGACGCAGGACATGAGCCGGACTTGACCCTGTCCAACCATCGCGGCGCCGTCACAGACTTGCTTGTCGGACCAAGTACCAATGCTGAAACAAGCTTTTGTGTATCTACAAGCACTGACAAGACATGTATCCTGTGGAACTACCAAACAGGCCAAGTGCTTCGAACCCTCTTATTCCCGTCTCCGCCACTTTGTGCTTCGCTAGATGCCTCTGCTCGAGCTCTATTTGCCTGCGCTGAAGACGGAGGACTGTACCTTGTTGAGCTATTTGGAGACAAGCCACTGCTTGGATCTCGGAGCGCCGAGCTTGCCTCGATCGTTGTTCAAGTAAATGCTCCTCTGGGAGTCTCGGATGCCGCGGACGGTCCCGCATCTTGCATTTGTTTGAGCCTTGATGGTACGTCGATATTGACTGGACATGACAGGGGCAAAATTCTCCGGTGGAGTCTCGTTGACAACTCCCATCCAACCGAACTGGCGAATCTTAACGCTTCTGTTACAAATCTTGTTCCTGTGCCACTACTAGCAGCGAGGCAATTTTGCAAAGTTGTAAACGTTATAAAACCAAATCAGGGTCAGCGACAGTACTCTATCACGGCTCAGCTGGACGGATCCTTGGAAGAAAAGAGCCGTTTCAGCCACATGCTCAACTCAACGGGCTTGCCTGTCGATGCAGTTGAGGACGCTACAGCTTCGATCTTTGATTCCAACGTGAGCACCAAGGAAGACACCAGGTTGTTTAAAGAAAATGAAGAGTTGAAAGCTATAATAGAAGCGCAAAAGGAGCTCCAAACAGCTACGATGCAGCATCGTGGTGTCGCAAAGACATCGTGAATTGTCCATGGACTGTCACCTACATACAGAAGGCATCGAAAAGGCGTCATCCTAGAACTTGAGGGTGGCTGGGGCAGCGATGATAACTACAGCCAACGTCATGGAGTAGCCGCTATGGTGTGTCCTGCCGTCAGTGCCAAAAACAGAGTGGAGGATCATCCGAGATTCACGATTTGGGCGCAAGTGTACCAGAATGAAGCCAGCCACAGTGCCTCATGAAGGCTCAAACAGCCGTGTGTCTCAGTGAACTGCAAATAGCCGCCACCAGGATAGTGGACAAGCCGGGATAGGGCAAGGAACTTAAAGAAGCTGGCGGCCGACCGTCCGTTAGTTAGATGATGTCGGCATTGCATGCGACAAGTAGACATGATACCCGCCACTCGACAGCGCAGGAGCTTTGTCCGTGAAACGCATGACTATGACCGAGTCGTTCTTGTGCTATTCAAAGTCTCGACACTAACTTTCTAAGACATTATCGCGTTTGAGAACAATGATACGGGACAAGCTCTTCTCCATCACCATGTTCGTGAGACGATGACGAATACTCAACTGGACGAATGCTCCTGTGGAGTCGGGCGCGTGGCGACGCCAATAGTCTGCCAGTCAAGAGCACGGCAATTTTCGGTGATAATCGGGCTCGGACAATTCTCCACCCGAACGAAGCGCGCACGTCTAGCCAGACGACACTTCGATCCCTCCAAGCCGGCTAATTTCTTCCTTGTCAACGACATCAAAATCACCATTCCACGATGTCGCTCGTTGGTAGTTTGAAGGGTGACATGCCACAACAAGTTCGATCTCTTGTGAGTGGTTCCAAATTCCGCAAATCGGCATACCAGATGCGAATCTCGAGAAAGCCCGTCACATGGGCCTTGCAGTCGATTTCCCGACCATCTGGCATTTTTACGCACGCAACATAGGGTGCAAGTCTGCGCTCGATCAACGTAGCTCTCAGGCAGGGGCTAACTCAGCATTTCGCATAGTATCGTCAATTATTACGGCAGGGCGAGCAGTTCTCAGCATACAACTTCCGAGAGTACGCAAGGCGCCGAACGAGAGATGCTTTCCGAGAAAACATGTCCGTACAAGACCCGCGCAAGGTGCAGGAATTGGTACAAAAGGGATTGAGGGAGCTTCAAGCGATGAAGGTATTTAGTGATGCTATGCGGCAATGTCCGGCGTTGAGGGTTGGCTTTGGCTTGATACTGATTGTTGTGCCTCGACAGCGACAAACCGTCATTGGGCAATTCTACCAGCTGGATCGACTAGTCGTTGAAGGGGGTATCTCGGTACGCAGTCACCCTGACGCCGCGGCCCAGTGCACAGTCGAGGCTGATATTTGGCAGGGCAAGGATACCGCCAAGGACGGCCAGGTGGTTAGGCAGAAGGAACAAGGGTAAGCGCCGCCTCCCCCTCCCCTTTTTTTTTCCTCAAACGAGGCTGCGTTTCTGCAAGAATCACGAGTGCTGAATATCTTGTAGCTGGAATTGAGATGGACGACGAGGACGCTTCAGTGAATATGGCATGGAGCTTGTATAGTATGGCGGCGAATAATGATTGTACATTGAGAATACAACGGATACCTTGGCTTGAGCATCTTTCCTATTCTGGGGCAGGAGTCACTTGAGATTTGGAGGGACAAACTTGGAGACAACAAAAGCACAGCCCAACCATGATTAGTTATTGCAATATTGTCAAGTTGTTCTGCTGTCTTGTTAATGCCAGCGGCGCGGCAAAACGGCTGGTCAAGTATCGGCCTTGACTGCAACAGGACGCGGCACGACTGCAGATCTGTCAACATTGACGGATTGCTTGAGCTTTCAAATAGCAAGAGCCCAATTAATCTCATCAATCTTCAAGTATGGCAAAGTTTTATCGCGCTATTCGGGCCACCTCGTGGCACTGTTGGACTCCTGCTGCATGAGAATGGAGGATCCCGTGCTTATGTCATCAACACCGGGCCTCGTAATTGGCCTCGTCGCGCCCAGCGTCAGCCAAACTCTAACAGACCACCCATCAAACAGGCGAACTTGTACCCGGTCGGCGCATCGCATTAACAACGGCCTGTGTTGTCTCCGGCAGTCATCAGCATAAGCAGACTGCAGCTTACGCATACAACCAGGCGAGAACTCGTCTTCAAGGTCTGCTGCCGAGCAGTTCATGTCTGCTCAGCAATGGCGCCAGGAGTTCGTACTACCCATGTGCGAGTGTCGACTTGCCACCTTGAGCTAACCTGCCATTTTAGACAAGACGCGCCAATCGAAGCGGTTACGCCGAGCACGATGACTTTGAAGGTTTGCTTTGACACGGATATCGAATTGAGCATTTCCTAATGGCATTCTAGGACTTCCTGTGCGACAATGGCGGCAGGAATGGGTCAATGTAGCGCCGCCCCTCCCACAAGAGCCTCTTCAACAAAACGACGTCTGGGCCATCGAACTGCTCCACGGCATGCCCAAAGACTCGGCGTTGCTGGCACCACATAGCCAGGAGCTTCTTCGCGCAGCGAGATCCGGTCAATTGTATAAGCGACCTGCGCCCGCCGAGGAAGAAGAGGCTGAAGCTGAGGTTGCCCAGGCCGCAGAGAAGAATGAGAAGAAGGAAGAGGAAACCACCGTCAAGGGGTTTTCCATTAAACTGTGGAAGCAGATTCCGCGAAACAGCGAAGGGTCGGGCTTGTCTTACCTGGCTAAACGGAGAAAGGGCACGGTTACGATTGCAAGCAAGACCGTCGAAGACAGAGCTACAGGGCCGACTATCACGAGGGCGACTGTGCGAAGAATAGATGCGGCGGGCAACCCGTATACGGAGGAAGTGACACTTGCCGAAGGTCAACAGGTAGTTGGAGAGATCATTTCCACGCGTGTTGAGACAGCTTCAGCCCCAGCCGCAGAGGCATTTGTCACTCCTGTGCCACCTTTGAGACGACGACCGCCACCGCCAAAGAGGAAGTCCAAGGCCGGCCCTGGGCGAGGAAAGAAGAAGATTAAGAATCCCCTTCCCGGCGAAGGCCAGCCTTTGGGTGTCGCTTCAGCTGGAGGTGGTGCGGCGACTTCTGTCAGGATTGAGGGCCAAGGAGAAAATGTGAGAATCCCTATGATGTACGTGCGCAGCATTTTTGGACACTAATTATGGTGTGGTAGGGAATCAATCAAGAAGGCGTCAGTACGTCTAATCCCGACAGCGAAATGGCGGATGCCGACGAGGATGATGAGGACGAGGAGGTAGATGATGGTGAGGATGGAGAAGACGAAGACCAAGAAGACGGTGATCACCAGGGCGACAATACCGACGACTCGAAGATTCAAGACGAAGAAATGACAGATATTCTGGAAGAACTCAAGCCTCCGAGCTCAAGCAAGCCAGCTGTTGACGCTACGGATGACATGACGCAGGCGGAAGTAGTGCCACCCAGTCCCCTCACCCTGGCGCCGCCTCTTGTCAGTCTTGCGACCAGCTCGCCAAAGCCCGAGGGTAGTCCATTGAAGAATGTGATGCTGCAGTCGCCTACTGAAGTTCAGGGGGAGCAGGCGCTCCCTCCAGCTGTTAGCGCTGCGCGGGCATTCGTGCCGGAGCCTACATCAATGCCGAACATCGCTCGCCCGCCCAGCCTAGAACTGGATCAGAGCCGCATGGCTGACGTCGAGTCCAAGGTGGAATCCATGATTGCCGAGCCACCCTCGACAGCTGCGGGAGATGAGGAGACGGCCCTGGCGCGTGTGGATATACCCATGGGTGAAGCACCGACTGAAGCAAGTCCCAAGATGGATGTGCTCACTCAGCAGGGACGAGCGGAAGAAAGGCTCGAGGCCGCATCGCTGCCGAAGATACCTAGCCCTGAGGTCTCGTTGACAAAAGAAGCCTTGCTGCCGCCCCCGCCCGAGCAGGTAGGCAACATCTCCAGCCCAAAGGCAGACGACGGTCAAGATAGAGCCTCAGACAGCGAAGAAAGAAGCAGAGCAAGCCATCACTCTGAGCTCGCTTTTGTTTCCGAGCGCCCACCCTTACAGCCCCACGATTCCATGATGACGGAAGACACCATCAAACCTGAAGATTCTGCGTCTGTAAGGTTCCCGCTTACAGAGTCTGGAGCTCCGTCAGAGGTTGGGACTGCATCTGTAGAAGATACAAAAGATGCGGCAGTGCGAGCATCGGAGCCAACAGAAGAGCAGCAAAAGGAGAACTGGCCGCCAAAGGACGTTTCTGCTCTTGCAGAGACCAAGGAGGACACGCCGCCCTTGGTCAATGCTCATCCAGAGCTAGAGAGATCAGCAGAACCGGAGGCGTCGAGGGAAAATATGTCCAAGGAAGCTGCTTCTCCCAGGCCAGATGCGATTGTCACCGAGACTTCCCATCCCGAAGTCTCGCTTCCCGTATCCGAGCCGGAATTGGTCTCTCAAGCTACAAAACCTACGCCACCCGCCCCAATGCCAGAGGTCTCTCAGAATGAACCCGAGTTGGCGCCTAAAGCGCCTGACGAGACGTCGCCCGGGGAAGCAACCGCTCAGGAAGCAGACACTCCCATGAGAGAACCCAAGGCGGAGCAGGGAGCTTTGGAACAAATGGAGCCAGTCAAGGAAGAGGCCAAGGACGAAGTCAAATACGAGCCTATGCAAGAGCCAACAATTGAACCAGCACCGGAGCCAAAACCCGTCGACGACGTTTCAGCGCAAGGTCCAAAAGTGCCTTCTCCCCCCGCGACTGAGCCAGCCGCGGCAGACACAACTCGGGACCCTCAGCGCGCAGAAGCGGAAGCAGAAGCAGAAGAGAAAAAGGTGGACCAGCCAGCGGATGCGCAGCTTATTTAGTTGCTTGCGGTTGACATGAGGTATATTCTACACGCTTGTTTGCCGGGCGTCATCAGAATCAAGGGCTTTGAGCAGGTTACTCTGGAGGCGTTGCCGGTTTTGGGAATAGAAGATGTGGTATTTGTCCTGGGTTTTTGTTTTCGGATTTTTTTCTTGTTCCCCTGTCAGGCGACGACTCAGATCGCGAATAGGGGTATATATAGATGCGTTGATGTTTCTTTTCTTGGATTTGTCTATTGTACAATAGGGCCTGTAAAAGCGGCACCGATGCGCTCCCTCCCTCCTATCCTTTCTGTTTCAGTCGTGACGGGCTCCGGCTCGTGTCGTGTCTGCCATGTCATGAGCATGGTCCCGACGGCGTATTCCGCAAATCAAGAGGCAGCCACGGCTGCGTGGCCCTCCGACAAGTCGTCTGGCAAAGAGCCAAACAGCTTCCCGCCGCCGTCGACGACGCCGTGCTCAGCATCCCCGGCCGCCGCCAACGCCGTCTGCTCCAGTCTCGCAGTCCTCCCGTGCATGTGCAGTCCCCTCGCGTGGGCATTGCTCAGCCCGAGCAGGGCGGCGCTCGAGACCAGCAGCGCCATGAGGACCATGGCTCCCGCCTGCGTCTGGTTCCCGCTGAAGGCCGCGACCAGGTACACCAGCAGCTTGGCCGCGGCCTCGAGGTAGCTCTCGGCGACGGTCTGCTGCCTCAACCAGACCTGCGTCGTCATGGCACGGATGTCGGAGCCGAGGCCGCGGAGGAGGACGCGCGACCCGTCGTCCCCCAGGTGGATTGCGTACTCGGCGTCGCGGTCGCTGCCCACGCCCAGCTCGCCGTCGACGGGCGGGGGAGACGGCCGCGAGCGCTGCTTGATGGAGTATATGTTGAGGATGCGCGATGCCATGAGGGCCACGATGAAGGACAGCCCCCACCAGTCGGATAGCAGCACCATGAGCGTGCTCGCCGCGACGGTCAGCACCGGGCTCAGCAGGTAGAAGACGTGGCTGAGGCAGTCGACTTCCATCGTGTCGGCGTGGGCTGGTCCCTTTCGCCGCGTGGCAAGAAGACTGCTCAGGGCGCGAGCGAGCCCTTGGGTCTGTTGGCTCTTGGCGACGCCGACGTTTAGTGTCAGACTGCCGCTGGGGCTGGGCGATGCTTCCTGCCACAGCCGCCGGAGGTACTGGACCATGGCGGCGTTGTGGACGGAGTAGACCGTGGCCTCGCTCTCGCCGGGGGCCGGGGACTGGAGCACGGCGGAGAGGAGAGGGTCTCTGGTGCGGGAGAGTGCATCGACGGCTTGCTGGTACTGCAGGCCCGGGGCGAGGACGAGGGCGTCGAGCCATGAGGAGCCGCCGGTGATGACGGTCCTCTGGGCCACCGTGTGGAGGTCTGCGAGGGCGAGGAGCCCGGCCGCCGAGAGGGAGAGGTTCGGGATGGGCGTGGACGACAAGGCAGATGCCAGGGGCCTGGCTTGGGGGAAAGAGCGGTGTTCATCCATCGGGTCTCTGTCTCCTTCCTACGCTGGGGCTCGAAGGTGGTGATGGGACGGCAGCACGGCGAGGAGGCTGGCTGTTTTGCTTTGTTTTATGGCATGGACCGGCGTGCTCGGTATGGAGGCAGCGGGCGGGCGCTCGGAGCCATGCGGGAGCGTCACTTGTTGACCCAAGAGGGAAATGTGTAGCCGCCGGACCCGGCGTGAGGCTCACATGGTGGGCGATGCCGTGTTGATGTTGTGTGAGGTCTAGATTGGTGTCGTGACCTCGTCAAGTTGCTGTGCGTTTGTTTAGCAACTTGGACGGCTGCGACGTCATGACGGGAGTGGCGTGTGAGACACTTTTGGCGTGGGCGTCGAGTGCCGCCAAGTTGCTGTCAAGCTGGTGCTTGGTATTTTATATTTATGAAAAGTCACACTTGACTTGGTTGGCCGGCAATAATGACAACGAACATGTCAGGACTCGGAGGGAAAGGGGCCGGTTCCTGTTGCTCCAAGGCAACTTACATCTTACACGGAGTCTCTCGGAGCAACCCGACGCCTGCATCGTGGCCCGTGGGTCAGACGTGGTACGCCTTACGGCTCATTCGTACGTGGTAAATGACCCCCTGCGGTGTCTTGTGATACACGTAGTTACTGCATGCGTGTTTCCCTTTGTTGTGCTGTTGGGGCCCACGGAGTCGATGTAACACAACGTCACGTTGACCGATTCCCGAGGTCAGTTTTGCGGGCCGGGAATAGAACAACTCGGTGCGGGCTTTGTTGGTGCTACAGGACGATTCAAGGCTAAAAATGACAGTGCCGACCTGGTTTATTCGACTCACAAATGGGCGCACTATTTGACTTTTTCTGGGCTCTCCGTGTCTGTCTTATGTTCTTTGGGAAAAAATGAGGGAAAAAGGAACAAGGTGCCTCTGGCAGAGAAGAGACATCTTTTCTTTTCACCCGAGCGCGGGCACAGCTTCATAGATGCTCCCGCGGTACAAACCATTATTGGGATAAAGCACTTGAGGTTTCATTGCTGTCTTTTTTTTCTTTCTCTTCTTTTTGCCGCAGAGCCATCTCAACCCCAGATAAATATCGCCAACTCTTGCTTCCTGCGCAGTCTGACGTTGGGGGCTACCCTACACAGCTTGTGCTGACTCAGCAATAGCTCCCGGCCATGCGACGCCAATCTGCCGCCAGCTTGGGACGGAGCTCAAGCAAGCACGACGTCGCCGTCCACCGCTCATTACCGACATGCGGCGCACTCTCCAATCGGCCATATTGCTGGGCCTGTCGTCGCTCGCAGGCGCAGTCTTCCAGGATGAAGTCGGCGACATCGACTTCCACTACTCCCTCGTCGGCCTGCCCCAGGTCGAGACTACCTTCTTCCACCGACCACGCAAGGACGACAAGGCCAGCTTGCTCTACACCCTCGGCGACGTGGGCGTCGTTGGCGCCATCAATCCCAGCAACGGCGAGTTGGTATGGCGTCAGCACATCAGTGATGGAATTGCCAACGGGGGCGGCCATCTCAGAGCTCCCGAAGGCGAGAATTGGGTCGCGTCGGCTCACGGATCCAAGGTCCAAGCCTGGAATGCTCTGACCGGCCGAAATATCTGGACCACGGAATTCAAGGGCGTCGTCAAGGACCTCGAAATCCTGGAATTGACCGAAACCCCGAGAAAAGACGTCCTCGTTTTGTTCGACGAGGACGGCGTGACGGTCCTCCGACGGTTACACGGCGCCATCGGCTCAGTCGTGTGGGAGTTCCGCGAGACGAGCAAGGACCTGCCCGTCCAGGTTTCCACAAACATAGCCAACATCTATCTGCTCAGTCTGCACGGCTCGCCCGGCTCCTACAGCCTCAAGGTCACCGCTTTGGACACGGCCGCTGGCACCCGGCTTGATCACTGGTCGGTCGGCAACAAGTGTGACATCCACGGCCCTGAACAGGTCATGTTCGTTGGCGCCAACTCGGCGGCACCCATTGCCGCCTGGGCAAGCAGGGACCTCGCCAAGCTTAGTTTCAATGTGCTGGGCATGAAGAATAAGCAGGAATTTGCTCTCCCCGACGGAACCGAGTCTCTTCGCGTCCATGCCCCCCATCTCCTCCAGTCCCTACCTCACTTCTTGCTGCACATTCGCACCAGGAACGGCCACAAGGCCCAGGTCTACCATACCGATCTCAAGAGCGGACACGTCTCCAGGGCATATGAACTGCCACATGTCGAAGGTCCTGGGGCGTTTTCCACCAGCTCGGATGCTGCCAATGTCTACTTCACTCGCATCACCGCCGATGAAATCTCCATTGTATCCTCCGAGTCCCATGGCCTCCTTGCCCGCTGGCCGTGCAAGTCCACGGACGGCCACGTCGCTGTCCACGCGGTGTCTGAAGTCATTAAGAAGGCCGGTGGAAAGGAGTTTGCCATTCGCTCTGCAGCCGTTACCGATGGAGACGACTGGGTTCTCACCAAGAACGGCCAGATCGACTGGACTCGCCCCGAGGGCCTCTCCGGCGCCGTCGCGGCTGTCTGGGCTGAAATCCCCGAGGCAGAGAGACTGGCCCAAGTGCTGGCCGAGGAGGCGCATGCCAATCCTGTTACGGCCTATCTTCACCGCGTGAACAGGCATGTTACCGACTTGGCTCATCTCCCTGCTTATCTTGCTGGCCTCCCTCAGCGCATCCTCGATGGCGTCTTTGGCGCCGATCTCAGCGGCCACAGGGATGGGCCGCATCGCGATACGTTTGGATTCAGCAAGCTTGTCGTCGTGGCCACGAGCCGAGGTCGCTTCTACGGTCTCGATACTGGCCACCATGGCCAGATGTTGTGGTCGCGGGCTGTTTTCAACGTGTCCCCCGGCGAATCGCTCGTCATCAGGGGCATCGCGACCAAGGATGCCGAGGGCGTGGTGACAGTTGTAGGATCAAACGGCGAGTATGCCACCATCGAGTCCGCCACCGGCAAGATTCTGAAAGTCCAACAGGCGGGGTCTTTCACCAAAGTTGCTTCCACTGCCGTCATTGACGATGGAGCTAGCCGTTGGCTGCTTCCGCTTGGCGCAAACGGACTTCCCGTCCCAACCATGCCCCTCGGAACCCTGCCCAATGATACCGTTGTCCTCCGCGATGGCAGTCTCGGGGTGAAAGGCGTCAAGTTTATTGCCAAAGGTGGAGAAGTCATCAAGGATGATATTTGGCACTTCCACGTCAGCAAGGGCCAAAGGATAGTCGACATCGCCACCCGGCCCAGCCACGATCCCATTTCCTCCATTGGCCGTGTTCTCGGAGATCGCAAGGTGGCGTACAAGTATTTAAACCCCAACACCATTGTGGTGGCCGCCATCGAAGAGGCAACGAACACCCTGTCGGTTCACTTGTTGGATATTATTTCCGGCCAACTTCTCGCATCCCAGGTCTACAACGGCGTGGACAGCACCAAGAGCCCATGCTGCGCCATGGCGGAAAATTGGTATGCCTGCACTTTTTTCGGCGACTACGCCGTCGACGATGGTGCCGACCGAAGAATCAAGGGGTTCCACGTCGCCGTCTCGGATCTGTACGAATCGCCCGAACCCAATGACCGTGGTCCGCTCGGGGACGCCGCAGAGTTCTCCTCTCTCAACCCGGTCGACGCCCCTACCGGCGTTCCTCTGCCTCACGTGGTCTCGCAAGCGTACGTCTTCTCTGAGCGGCTAACGTCTCTGTCTGTCACCCAGACCCGGCAGGGAATCACTAGCCGCCAGCTCCTCGCGTACCTGCCGGACAGCAACAGCATCCTCGCGGTGCCAAGACACGTGATTGATCCTCGCCGTCCGGTCGACCGGGATCCTACCTCGGCCGAGATGGAAGCAGAGGCCTTGACAAGGTACACTCCGCAATTCGAGATTGACGGACGGGGCATCGTCTCACACGAGCTGGACGTGCTCGGGGTGCGAGAGATTCTCGCAACGCCGGCCGCCGTCGAGAGCACCAGCTTGCTCTTCGCCTATGGTGTGGACATTTTTGGAACGCGCGCTGCCCCCAGCGGCGTGTTTGACATTTTGGGCAAGGGCTTCAACAAGGTGACCTTGGTGGGCACGGTTTTGGCACTGTTTGCCGGCGTGATTTTCCTGGCACCCGTGGTATGTCTGACGCTACGATTCCGTCACGACGGCGTGGCACAGCAAGTCCAGCAAGCTAACGAATGTGCGTGTAGGTTCGGAGAAAACAAATCGACCGAAGATGGGAGGCGTTCTTGTGAAACTGACAAGAGGCAAAAAAGAAAGAAGGAAAGAAAGAAAGAAGGCCAGAACAATGCCCAGCCGATGTAAAAAAGACACGCAGAGTCTCCGTGCTAGCATGATGGCGGGAGCCTAATATACATAATTCGAATCCTGCCCAGATGTGCCAAGGTGCCAACCGTACACTACGCCTCGGGCCAGTTGCCGTTGATGACGATGCAGCTCCCGTTCGCACTCCGCGCGGTGTCCTTGTCGCTCAGAAACAGCGCATACCGAGCCACATGATCTGTCGGGACAGGCCGCATGTCCGGCTGCGTCTGATGCATCCGCCCCAGCCCGCCGTCGTGGAGACCGCCGGCAAACGCGTCCCGGATGTTGGTCTCCTCCATGTAGCCCAGCAGCAGGGCGACGGCGTAGATGCCCCTGTCGCCGTACGAGCTGGCCGTGTTCCTGGTGAGGCCGACGAGCCCATGCTTGGACGCGACGTAGGCGACGCCGCCCGAGAGCCCCTTGAAGGATGCGTTGGAGCCGACGTTGACGACGAGCCCGCCGGGCGGCTGCTGCCGCTCCATCTGCGCCACGGCGTGCTTGGTGACGAGGAACGGGCCGGTGAGGTTGACGGCCAGGACGGCGTCCCACGTGGCCTTGCTGCAGGCGGTTGCGGGCTCGAACCTGTCCATGACGGCGGCGTTGTTGACCACTACGTCGAGGCGGCTGAATTCCCGGACGGCCGCCGCCACGAGCCGCGAGACCGACGGCTCGTCCGCCACGTCGGCCTCGACCACGAGGACCTTGTCTGGGTGGGGAGCGGCGAATTCCCGCCGCGCGCTCGCGAGCCGCGCCTCGTTGACGTCGCTGATGATGATGCTGGCGCCTGCGTCGAGGTATGTTCTCGCCAGTTGCTGGCCCAGGCCGCCGCCGGCGCCGGTGATGAGGACGACCTTGCCATGCAGTGCCATTTCACTCCTTTGTGTCGGGTGCGCACGACGGGCGGGAGAGAGGATGGGATTGTGCGGCGCGGTCCTGGGCGGGCTCGCGTGCTACGTACTTGTACAGGCAGCTCGCTGCCTTGTTGGAGGCGCGGCGCTGCGCTGCGCTGTGATTGTTTCGTCCCACGCGCTTGGCGGTGACACTGGCGATGGGTCGGTGGATGGACCCCCGTTTCGTATTCGCATCGGGAAGCGCGGCGCCGAGTACGAACCAGCTTGCCAAAGGCCCCCTGGACAGCGTGCTGGGCTACTTTTGTTCGTTTGATGCTTGTCCATTAGAAGAGACGGCCCGAGCCCGAGCCATACGCTACTCAGCTGGTGTGTACGCATGCCGGTCCTGATTTGGGAAAGGAACAAGATTCCACAGCCTTTCGATATTCAACAGTGTCAACAATCTACACGACCCGGCGTCTCACAGACACGATGCGGGCGACAGACTAGGGGTCAAAGGACATGCTGTCATTGTACGCTTTCCCTTCAACTGGATTGTACTGGTTCCGTCTGAATTCTGACCTGATACAAGCTTGTCCATGGTTTGGTCGTCAAGAGGTCAGTGGCTGGCATCACGTATGCTGCACAGCCAGAGCATGAAGCCCTCAGTCGTCATAATACTCATCGCACTCCTCTGCGTATTCCTCCTCGGCTTCATACAGCTCCTCTCGAGCCTCCTCCAGCTCTTCTCTCTCACTGCTGCTAGCACTGGAGCTAGCAGCATCCTCCAGTGCCTGCTGGTACTTTGCACGAGCGTCGTGGACGTCCGCCCGAGCCTCGTCCAGAGACTCCCGGTCGCTGTCAAAGCGGTCTGCGACGTACATTGCCGGAGGGGGCTGGTCGTAGGCGACGTATTCCGTGTTGTAGATGTTGGTCACAGACGGTCCTGCTGCTGAGGCGGCGGCGGAAGCAGCGTATGGCTGATGATTGCGTCTCTCGTCATCGCTGCTGTCGCTGTCACTATCGTGGAGGGCGTGGTGCAGAACAGCTCCGCCAATGGCGCCAGCGGCAAGACCACCAGCAGCGCCAAGGATCAGGCCTCCCGTGCCGCTTCCTTTCTTTTCGTACTTGTCACCCTTGGTCTGTCCTTGACCATCCCCATTGTAAGCTCCTCCGCTTGGAGGAAGATCGCTGGGAGGACCGTAACCTCCCTGAGCGGAAGGGCTCTGCATCGGTGGTGGATTGTACCCGGGTGCTTGCCACTGGGTCCTGCCCGTCCCCTCCTCTACATAGTACCAGCGTTGATGCTGCTGGTCAAAGTAGGGGGTCCATCCCCGAGGCAGTGGTGGCTTGTCGGATGGTGGTTGGTAGGCAGGCTGCGGAGGCGCAGGACCACCTTGGTTTGCGCTGTACTGGCCATGGCCTCCATAGTTGTCACCTGCTATTTAATCCACGGTAAGTAAGGTGAGTGGCAGCAACACTTGCGTGCGTCGAGGAATAGACAAACCAGGAGGCGGACCACCAAATCCCATATCCCCGAACTGGCTGGTCACGCCTTGGACCGACATTGTCAACGGCGCGTCGTGCAAACAATGTCGACTTAGCACCACGCCCGAGGCAGAAAATAAATGAAGGGGGGTGAAAAAGTCAGAGCTGACCGAAGGGACGCAGGATCCAGGGAAACAGATCAAGAGTGTTAACTCATGTCCTCAACCCCCCTGTTGGATCCCTCCCAGACTGCGTGGTCAGTCTTGGTTGGAAGACTTTTTGGACGAGGGGTCAGCCATGCTGGTCCTGCTGCAGCTCTCATAAACGGGCCGCTCCATCGGTTATCATGACGGCGGCGGAAACCAGTTGACGGCTTCCACGGCTGCGTGGTGTCGGCTGCTCCTCTCCTGAATCAGCATCCAACATTTTCTTGTCAGATCCACTGGGCAAGCGCAGCCTTGGAACAAAGATGAGGTGGCACCTCCTGGGGCATGGGAGCAGTCGGCGGTTAAGTCTGGTGGCTGGTCGCAGTGCAGTGGAAAGGCAGACAAAGAGAATGAGCTGGGTGAGCATCGGACGACGACGATTTGTCGGCTGCGGCAACTCGCAAGGCAGCAGCCCATCTGGGCAGAGCAAGCAAGGACTGATCGCGGAGCGACGTACCCGTTGCTAGGTACGTAGTACTTCCGTCCAGGTACCCCGTAGGTGGGCACCTCTGGTGTTGTGGACTCGTGGTCACGTACGGAGTACATCCGGAGCACTCCGTACCGCCAAGTCCTCGGGAGCGCGCCTTCCCTGCCTTTGATCCCGCGCCGTGCGTGCACACGCTCGGCTGGTTGGCACGGTGTGGACGGGGCTGTGCAGCGCTTTCCCCAAGACACTGCTGCAACTCGATGTGTGGATCTGGTGGGTGGGGGCGGGGCAACCACCTGCTGCCGCTGCTGCTGCCGCCATCCGCGTCGCTTCGCTGTCAACTCGGGGGCATCGTCATGTCACCTGCTTGCATCCACCAACTTCTTCTGGCTTCCCTTAACCGCGAGACCCCGTGAGCATTGCCTTCTCTTCCTCCTCCCTGCGCCGGCCCCCCGGTGTCTGCGTCTGCGTCTGCGTCTGCGTCTGCGTCTGCGTCTTCGTCTTCGCCCGGCCTGCTGCTCACGTCGTCGTCTGTCGACATCTAAACACTCATTCGGCTGTCATCCTGGACCTCGCCGCGCCCGCGCCCACACTTCAACAACTCGTTCGCGCGGCGCCAGTCAGGCTTCAAACTCGACGGCGCACCTTGCAAACCCCATCTACTCGTTGCTGTAGGCCTTGACAATCTTCCCTCGTATCGCCTAGATCCACTCGAGTCTTTTCGGCGCTTCACTACGCCTTCGAGCACTTGACGTCGCCGCGCATTCTCCTTCCGTCCCTTTTCTCAACCACGCACGCGCACATACATCGCAAACGCAGCATGTCTGGTTATCCCGGTCGAGGCCATTACGGTGCCGCGCAGCATCACGGTGGTGGAGGGGGCTTCCCTCCTGGCCAAGGTCCTGGCTACGGCTACGGCTACGGCAACTACGGCGGCCCCCCTCAAGGCCCTCCTCAGGGTAATTATGGTCCTCCGCAGGGACAGTACAATTCACCGCCTCCTGGAAATTACGGTCCGCCTCAGGGAAACTACGGTCCTCCGCCTCCGGGCCCGCGTCCGCCGTCCGGTCCCTACGGCCATAGCCCCCAGCCTCAGTATGCTCGGCCTCCGCCCGCCGATCCACCACCGCCGGGCTACGATGCTTACGGCTATCCCATGCAAGGAGGCAACTATGCCTACCGCGCGCAGGCCGGCCCTCCTCCTCCCACGGCTCCCCAGCAGTTTGGCCACGGTGCTCCTCAAGGCTACACATTCCAGTACTCCAACTGTACTGGTCGTCGAAAGGCCTTGTTGATCGGAATCAACTACTTTGGGCAAAAGGGAGAGCTCCGCGGGTGTATCAACGACGTCCATAATGTGTCGAATTTCTTGGTCGAAAGATATGGATACAAGCGGGAGGACATGGTCATTTTGACCGATGATCAACAGAACCCCGTTATGCGACCTACAAAGGCCAACATGACTCGCGCCATGGGATGGCTTGTCAAGGATGCTCGCCCCAACGACGCCCTGTTCTTCCACTACTCTGGTGAGTCTGAATGCATGTCTCGTGTTGTTTGTTTCCTTTGAGCGCTTACAGTGGCCCATATCAGGCCACGGTGGTCAGACCGAGGATCTCGATGGTGACGAAGACGATGGCTTTGACGAGGTCATTTACCCCGTCGACCATCAGCAAGCCGGACACATTGTTGATGACGAAATTCACTTCCGCCTGGTCAAACCCCTCCAACCAGGTGTTCGTCTGACGGCCATTTTTGACTCTTGCCACTCGGCCACCGCAATGGACTTGCCGTACGTTTATTCCACCAAGGGCGTATTGAAGGAGCCCAACCTTGCCAAGGAAGCTGGCCAGGGTCTTCTTAGTGCGCTGGGATCCTACGCGCGTGGCGACATGGCGGGCGTCGCAAGCACCGTCTTTGGCTTTGCAAAGTCGGCGTTCAAGGGGGATGATGCATACAACAAGACCAAGGACACTCGCACATCGCCTGCTGATGTCATCATGTGGTCGGGAAGCAAGGATGACCAGACATCGTGAGTGCACGACGAAACCGAATTGTGAGCCGCCATGGTCATGACAGGTATTGACCCATATGTCGCAGTGCCGATGCCACAATCGCCAACCAGGCGACAGGAGCCATGTCCTGGGCTTTCATTACCGCCCTGAAACAGAATCCCAGGCAGAGTTACGTGGAACTTCTGAACAGCATTCGCGATGTCCTGGCGTCAAAGTACACTCAGAAGCCCCAGCTGTCATGCAGCCACCCACTGGGTACGTTGACCTCGGGCGATTCGTCGCCCCTCGGATGGTAATACTCACACTGTTGCAGATACGAACTTGCTTTTCGTCATGTAAACTTGGTTCCACGAATCCCTTGTAGAGGTGAGGCTTGGAATTTGAGTTGCATGCGCATAATGCAGCGCTGCAGGATGTCATGAGCGGAGGAAGGCATGTCGAACACACCAAGAACTGTACTGGCTCACATTTTAGGGAATGCTGAATGAAAAGTTGTGCCACTGATCAACTCACTCGAAATCGAAACGGGGGATAGCTTGAGTACAGGATCGACAAGCCATGGGTGTTGGTGGGTGGATTCCAGACGGGCGATGCTTTCTAGATAGATAATGTACCTGTTCAAAACCACGAACAAGCCTGGATCGGTCGGTAGTGATGAGGGTAATCTGCAGTGTGGTATCATTGGGAGACGTAGGAACTGAGTTCCTTTTTAGATTCTGACCTAACCCCTGTCTGGGTGCCCCAACATGGACGAACTACCAAGGACAAGATGTCGAAGTGCTGCAGCGTGATGGGTGCGCTCTCGTAAGACGCACAGCGGCGACGATGTTTCATGACGTGCGGGATTCCATTTTCCCACCAAGGAGCAGTGCCGAATCTCCAAAGCCACCAGTGACTCAGCTTACAGTCGTGATTCATCATCCATCCACTCTCCCACGTATAGAACTCGTTTCAGCATGGGAGATGCTTCTGTCAGTCCAGATCACCACTGAGGATGTATATATCTAGACATGCCTCAAGCCTTGTGTAACTGAGATTCTTTACATGTTATATGAAAAAGTCCATCGTCTTGACTCTTGATCATCACAGCCAGCCCAATCCACCGCAGCTTCACATCGCCAAAATACACCTCGCCCCAAACAATCTCCCATCTCTCAGTCCGCCGCAATGCACCTCTCACCCGGCGCCATCGCCATCGCCATCGCCACCACGTCCCTCTTGCTCACCCACGCCGACGCCGCCGCCGTTCCGGCAACTCGGGACGCCCGCGCAACCTGCGGCGGCGGCGACTTGGACCTGTCCAAGTGGAAGCTGCAGCTTCCCACGGGCACCAGGGGCCACCCGACGGAAATCTCGTCCTCGAACCTCTGCAGCGGCTACTCCAGCGAATTCTTCTACATGAGGGGCGACGCCCTCGTCATGGAGGTGCCCGGCGGCCCATCGTCCGGCAAATGCGTCACCACGCCCAACAGCCAGCACTGCCGTACCGAGCTGCGCGAGACCAGGCCGGCCTCGTGGGACCCCAGGGCCAAGACGAACCGTCTGGTTGCCGACCTCAGGGTCACTCGGAACGACGGCGAGATCTGCATCGGCCAGATCCACATTGACGATTCCGTCTCGTCCAAGCCCGTCGCGGAGCTGTACTACAACTCCGCCGGCGACCTGGCCGTGGGCGTCAACACGTGCCGGACCTGCGGGCAGAAGCGTACCCCCGTCGACCACGTGCCCAGGGGTCGGCGGTTCACGTACGAGCTCCGCTACGAGGGCAACAGGCTCTCCGTCGGCATCGACGGCAGGGCCTTCAAGACGCTGAGCACGTACGACTTGGATGCTCCCAGGAGCTACTTCAAGGCCGGCAACTACAACCAGGGGGATGTTCCCACGTCGGTTCAGTTCTACAGGATCCAGACAAGTCATTCCTGAGACCCGCCTTGCTTGTGGCAAGGATCCGGCTTGGCCTGGCCATCGACCGCCGCGCTGTGCTGGCTCTAAACTGTACCGGACGCGCCGCCGCCGAGGAGACGTGCCGGGCGTTGACGTTGGCGGGCCCTGGCCCTGGCCCCTGAGGACGGAGGTGTAACTACCAGGCCATCGTGTGCCACGATGTAATATACCGCCGTAGACGGAGCAGTTGCGTGTGCTGGATCGTAGGCGTGCACATGGTGAGTGACATGACACGAGCTGTACATGGTTGAGCAGAGCAGGTTGCCTTGCGGCACGGCACACCCACGCACGCCATTCCCATTAGCTTCTGGCGCCTGTGCCTGTGTCGCGTCCTGCTCGACCCGGACGCGGAGAGCAGCGGCGTGGCGTGGACTCGCCGTACGGACAGGTGCCCCCGAGAATCAGCATCTTCACGCCGCCGGCTCACATGTTGGACTTGTCACTTGACCCTGACGACACGATATGTGCTCGTCTTGTCGGCAACACATGGACCGCATGTCACGGGGAAGAAGTCGACGCAGAGGGCAGAAACCTCGCGGTCATCCAGTCTCGCCAAACAAGGGTCTTCCAACCGTGGAGTGTAAGGCGAGCGGCTCCCAGCCGTGGCTCGCCGATATGGCCTCGGGGCGCCCCAAGACTCAGCAGAGCTTCGCCGCGGGTGACGACAGAATTGATGCAGCCGGGATGAGATGGTGCGAGGCGAAAAAATGCCGTCGTGACGCCATGAAGGCTCCTCGGTGCCTCGAACCCATGGGCCATCCATCACCCGCCCAGGTCTTTGTCTTCTCTGCTGGAAACGCATCTCTGCCTCACGGCGCATCACTTCCGCCTTACAAAGCCGAGGCCTGACAAACCGAGCATCAAGTCGGGCCAAAAACGCCTCCTCTGCCTGTGGCTGGCGACTTTTGTCACACCAAAAAACGGGCGTGGCCACGCCACCTATTTTGTGCGGCATGCCACCTTATACTCCGTATCCTATGCGACAACTTTGCGAGACGAAAAAGCGGAGTCAACCTCGGCATCTCTGCCCCCGGTGGCGTTTTGAGGGACAAGACAGATTATAAATCGACGCGGGATATAGGATACGGCATCGTTGCCGACGTACGGAGTAGCGGTTGGACACATGCGGATGATGAAAGATGACGCCACTATTTCGCTCACTCGGCGTGCTCGTTTTGTTCGAGAAGAGTATTTCAACGCCGCAAGCTCCTTTTCGCCAATCTTGCAGCCCATCATAGCCGACAACCACGAAACCACCGGTCCTCTTGTCCCGTCGCCATGGTTCCCAACAAGACGCTCGTCTACAAGCAGGTGCCCAAGGGCCTCCCCGTGCCCGGGAAGGACCTCGTCGTTGAGACGCGCGACATGGACCTCGAGGAGCCACCCAAGGGCGGCCTCATCGTCGAGATCCTCTACGCCTCGTTGGACCCCTATCTGCGCCCCAAGATGCGCGACCCCAGCATCGAGTCGTACTCGCCGGCCTTTGTGCCCAACAACCCCATTGAAAACGACACGGTGGGCAGGGTCCTCAAGAGCGACAGCCCCGACTTCAAGCCCGGCGACATCGTCAAGGCCCATGCTCCCATTGCCGAGTACGCCGCCCTCGCGGACGTCAAGGGCCTCGTCAAGGTGCACAACCCGCACAACCTGGACCTGTCTCTCTTCACCGGTGCCCTGGGCATGCCCGGCCTGACTGCCTGGTCCAGCCTGCACAGGATCGGCAAGCCCAAAAGGGGCGAGACCATCTTCGTCTCGTCGGCCGCCGGGGCCGTCGGCCAGCTCGTCGGCCAGCTCGTCGGCCAGATCGCCAAGAAGGAGGGCCTGAAGGTCATTGGGTCCGTTGGCTCGGACGAGAAGCTCGACTTCATCACCGAGCAGCTCGGCTTCGACGCCGGCTTCAACTACAAGAAGGAGAGGCCGGGCGATGCGCTGAAGCGCCTCGCGCCCGACGGCATCGACATTTACTACGAGAATGTCGGCGGCGAGCACCTCGAGGCGGCTCTCGACAGCCTCAACGACTTTGGGCGAGTCGTCGCCTGCGGCATGGTAGGTTTTCTCCCTGCTCCTTGGGCGGCTCCCTGGGCTCTGGGCGGACAGCGGCTAAACGATGCGCATGTCCAGATCAGCCAGTACAACATCGAGGGCCAGGCTTACGGCGTCCGCAACCTCATGCTCGTCGTGACCAAGCAGCTCACCGTGCAGGGCTTCATCGTCACCAATCCCGACTTCGGCCCCGCCTACTACCAGGAGCACCAGGAGAAGCTGCAGCAGTGGCTCGCCGACGGCAGCGTCCAGGCCAAGATGTCGTATACCGAGGGCATCGACCACGCGGCCGAGGGGCTGGTGGGCATCTTTGAGGGGAAGAACTTTGGCAAGGCTGTTTTGCGCATCAAGGCGTAGACGGAACCGGGGGGGGCCGTCTTTCGCGGGGACACCACGTTGGTCTGTCTGGAGTCGAGATGACTGCCTCGTTGAGCCGTGTCAAGAGGAGTGAGATTGGCCTGCCTGGGTGCCCTGGCCGTGGTACCGCGTAGCTTCCCCTCCCCTGCCCCGGCTTCCTGAGTGGACGGTTTACGACCTTCGGTCCATGTGTACTCCGTAATGTGCACTCCGTATCTTTCCAGGAATAAAACTCCAGTGACGTAATCTTTGACCTCGGCAAGTTCCGCCGGTGTCGGGACGGATTGGCCTCAGCCAGTTCCGCCGATGTCGGGGACGGAAATAACCGTGGTTCTAAAATATCCAGCTACGCTTCGTTCCGCTTCGTTCCCCTTGGAGCAGGCCGAGCAACGCATACACGGTCTTCCGTAAGCCTGATGATTGGTTCCGCCTCTCATCGTCTCCTGTGCGTCCCATCATCCGTCTCCCCGCAGTACAGCATGCCGGTTGTTCTCTTCCTTGCGGTAGTGCAGAACTGGACGATTCGACCATGGATGGATCCACGAGAGCCAGACGACTCATCCTTCATTCACTCGATATATACCGGGCCAAGTAAATAGACGTCACGGCCAACGCGTCAGCTTTGCCCTGCTTGCTGGCATGGTCCCATACGCCAGAACACCGCCCTTGTGTTTCTGTACCGCGACGATTTCTATGCTTTAATCTGACGGCCTCTGGCGTTTGCTTTCGCCTTGTTGTGCCATGGTCCAACCGCGTTGGAGAATTGAGTTGATGCATTGACCATTACATTGATACAGTGACAGGGTAATAAGATTCCCACTGTAGGTATTTATACCGCGTCAACATAGTATGTCGTCGCTGTGAAGCGCAGCAAGCTGCATGAATAGGCGTATGGACCCTTGGCAATACACGATTCAAACATTTGTTTGCAAGAATAAATATATTACAACGTGCTCCATACGAGCTGCATTGGGAAATCCATTACATATCCAGCATTCGTGAGGCCCATGCGTCGTACAGCATGTCGGCTAGTAGTAAACCTGAGGCTTGCGTAATGGACTAGGTGTTGTGCTTGATGAGCGCGTTTGTCGTGACTTTTCTCCTCGTCTTGGCACGGGAACATGCCCGGCACGCTTGTGAAATCATCGAGTCGTCTGAGAAATTCTCAGCATATAAGCACGCCCATATCGGGGGATGCTAAGCTTTCAATGCTAGCATTCAAACTACCCATCTTTCAATCCCATCGCTCTGTGCAGATGACCATTTCAAACACGATATCAACAATGAAGTATAGCCCCCTTGTATTCTTGGCTCTTTGTGGTCCTGCTCTAGCACAGGGCATATCGGAATACTATCGTAATGCTGAGAAGCAATCTTGCCAGACCTTGGTATGCAGATCCTACAAGGATCATACATGAATTAAGAGATCGTGGCTCTTTTGGAAATCTGCTAACTCTTCTAGTCGTACGACCGTCTTCTGGAACTAAACAAAAAAGACGACCTTGTTTGCGAGCGCTGGAGTGATGGTAATGGCGCTCGTACCTGCGGGTCGGAAAGAAACACTGTCTGGAGGATTCAGGTATGAGTACTTCTGGTCTTGCGATGGTCCAATTCTGGGTTACATAACAAGCAATTCCCTATGAACGCTCCAGTAGTAGGCGGTTGGCTGATGCGAGTACCCTACCATAGCATCCGAATCCAAAGATTCCTCAAAGAAAGCTGCTGATTACCTTGGACGAGGCAATTCGGAAAGATGGCCCGGTAAGTCTAATTCCGGCGACACCATCCAAGTCAAGTTGCTGACGAGGCGAGCGGTCCTAGGTAGAATTCTGCTTTGAGTCGACCGCGGAGCCCGACAGCGGGATAGAGGTAGGTGTTCACCGTCAAGTTACTCGTACCAGCTCGCTAATGACTTGATGGAATACAGCACAGCTATGCGTGCTCTTTCAAATACAGACCCATGTCGGAGAGGCGCCGAAATAGTACACTCAAACGAAAGTATTGCCGCAACTTGCGGGCTAATCAGCCTAAAAGGCTAGCGATCTAATTTCAAGCCATGTTGCTCCACTAAGATGAGCAGGTCAAGGAAAATCCATCGTGCATTCGATAAAGCTACTACACGGAACTTGAAAGGTTGCAGGTATCACAATACCCTCATTGGCCGGGCATCTAGGCACAAGGGACCCAACAAAGAGATGAAGCATCAGCCCCTTGATGCCCCGGTCATCCGGCTCGGGTTAAACGTACAGGCATCTTCTTGTTTATATAGCCCTCGTTGGTGGAGTCCTTGAGGTAGAGGATCCAAGGACCTTTCAGCCTTTCAGACCATACGACATTACATGTGAATTTGAGTCCTTGCTCCAAGCCCTGATCTCTGTGACCAGCCCTTGCTCCAGATGAGCACTTGGATCTTCTCGCAGCACTTGCAAGTTCGAGAAGATTTCGACCTTACAGGCGAACCGGTGGGGGTGCGCATCCAAAGGACATCTTCCCGCTTCTCGACACGCTGTCCGTGCAGTTGACCTGCCGTCTCTGTAGTCTTTGCAAAAGTAAGAGGATTTCGGATTCCTCATATCTAGAACGGGGAAATGGGAAGGACGATGAGAGGGCGAGTGCGCTTCTTGATATCCGCCGTCCGCCAGGGGCACGAGACTTTGATGATGGGTCCGTCTGCTCCGCGGCAGGAGCGCCAACGTTCCTTCCGTCTCGACTCCGACACTTGGGTGGGCCCGATGATGTTGATGTTCGCCCCCAAATCTTCTCATCAAATGCCGACTCCCTTGATTCTCTCCGTAATCCATTCCCCGCACGACCGGGTTGCACATGCCACCCACCACCATGAAGCGCATCCTCATCCTGGACGGCGGCCTCGGCACATGCCTCGAGCAAAAATACAACATCAGGTTCGACTCTTCCACGCCGCTCTGGTCATCCGACCTTCTGGTCTCCAACCCCAGCACGCTCCTTGAATGCCAGAGAGACTTTGCCGCTGTTCCCGTCGACGTCCTCCTCACGGCAACTTACCAGGTCTCCGTCCAGGGATTTGCGGGTACTCGAACATGCGAATTCCCCAACGGGATTCCGTCATTGGATATTCCAAAGTTCTTGGAGACCGCCGTCCAAGTCGCGGAGGATGCCACGCGGGAGCACAACGGCGCCGTGGCCCTAAGTTTTGGTCCCTACGGAGCATGTATGACCCCGAGCCAAGAGTACGGTGGGAGGTATGACGAGGCGCACGATTCACAAGAGGCGCTGTGCGACTGGCACCGAGAGAGACTCGGACTGTTCAGCAGAGTGCAACGCTTGGCCTCCCGGGTCGGCTACATCGCCATGGAGACGATCCCTCGAGCGGATGAGATAGCTTCGATGCGCAAGGCGCTGGACGGAGTGCCGGAACTGGCGAGTGTCCCATTCTGGATGTGTTGCTTGTACCCCGGGGACAATGAATGTCTGCCTAGCGGCGAGTCTCCAGAAACCGCTCTCCGGACAATGCTCGACCCTCGGCTGGCAAAGTCGACTCCGTGGGGCGTGGGCATCAACTGCACCAAGGTGTGGAAGCTGACCTCTCTGTTGAAACGGTACGAATCGGCACTCGAGATGCTGGTGCGTGAGGGTACGCTGCGTGAATGGCCGGCGCTGGTGCTGTATCCCGACGGGACCAACGGGGAGGTGTACAACACCGTCACGCAAGCGTGGGAGGTTCCCGACGATGCGGCGCGTGTGACCAGGGTGCCGTGGGAGGAACAGCTGGCCGAGGCCGTGAGGGGAACGGAAACCAGAGGGAAATGGAAGCAGATCGTGGTTGGCGGATGCTGCATGACCAGTTCGGAGGATATATCACGGCTACGGCGGACTCTCCTGACGGCCTGAGGCTTGTTTTGCGTGTTCACCGTGACACCAAAATGAGAAAGATTGATGTCGATTGCTCATGCTTCATGGCGGTCGGCTGGCCCAGTCAAGGGCATGCTACGACGAATGCGATGCACTTGAACTTGTGCTGGCCGTGATTCTCGAGGATTTACGCCCAAATCGACCTTTTTGTAGCAAGCCGCTGGCTGCTCGTCGTTGGAAGCAGGCTGCAGGCGCCGTTGCTTTCTGGTATCTTGCGAGCGAGCAACTTGCTCCAGCTCCCAAGGTCGTAGCGTGGCGGATTTTGCGGATCTTTGCCGCTATTCATCTCATGCCATGAGCTGAGCGAATATGACCCAGCACCAAGTACAGTCTCTTGCCTTGTTCGCGTGTGTCTATTTTCTGTAAGATAATTTGGGAATCTAACATTGGTGCCTGTAGTTTGTAGGGTTAGGGTTGCACCTGTGGTGTGGCCACACCCGTTTTTTAGGTGCGACAGTTTTCTTTTCAACGGCTTTTAGCCGATGGCCCGTGCTGCGGCCCGCTTTTCCGCAGACCCGAAACCGCGCTTATCACAGCCGCCTGCGACGACACGCGGCACCTTTACACTTTTACGCGACCAGACATGACGAGAAGTCTCCGCTGAATTGTTGCTGTGTTCTATTGATGAATGTGCTTTCCCTACTACTCATCTTCGTTTGGTCTTGATATATTCAGCAAGACATGAGGCCGATCTCCTAGGTTGCATTTTCGGTTGTTCTCTGTTTTCCATTTGTTTCTCTTCTTCAGTCCAGTAGGCTTCCAGATCGCAATCAAAGGTGGACGATAGAGGGACCAGGAAAAGACTAGCGATTCCACGAGCAGTATTTCCCTGCTTTTGCGTTCCTCGCCCATTGATGCACCAACATGTCAAACCAAGCGCGCTATGAAACATGTCTGCTGCCAGCTGGCTTGAAAGTACTGCGAACACAGGAGGACCATGTCCAGATTCAGGTTCCCATGTTCCTACTGGCATGTCGATGCGTCACCACAATTTTCTAGCTAGTCCCTCTTCTCTGACTGTGCTTCACCCGTGCAACATCTCACATGACGGGCCGTGACAAAACAACTACCAACAGTCCAGCTCTTCATTGTCCATGACATCTACCGCTGCCACCGTCTCTCAATGTGTGCCAGCCAGAACACGCGGCTCGTCAATACCTACCAGCTACTCTCCAGGGTTGAAGCAACGGTCCTGGTCCTGATGCGTGGGCACAGCACAACGTAGATGGTCCGCAGCAAAACTCACTCACGCCGGCACGCTCAGCCACCGGCATGCCGTCTTCATTACTCGTCTCTACATATCTGTTCTGTACATGTACGCAGCGAGTTGCCCAGCTCACCAGCGCAGAAACTGAAGCGCACGGGCTATGTGAAAAAAAAAGGCTCTCTAGAAACAGGACGTGTTTCCCAACAACAACAAAAGTCTAGGTCAACAGGTCCCCGACAAAGGCCAGCTTCTCCCGCGCATCGTCCAGCACCCTCGCGTACTCCAACAGCAGCCGCCACATGTACAGCTTCATGTCGGCCCTGCGGAGCACCCTCTCGGCCCAGAGCTTGCCCTGGCTCGCAATGGCCTCGGCCTCGCCGTCATGCGCCACGAGGTAGTCCAGGAGGGCGTAGACGTCCTCGTACGTGTTGTCAAACGGCACAAAGTGCACCCAGGGCACGAGCCTGTCGTCGTGCCACTCGACGTACGCCGTCGCCTTGAGCGGCAGGCTCGTCGACTGCAGAAAGGCCCGCCACCGGCCGCTGAAGGAGTTGCCGTCCACGTCGGGCAGGAACTTGTACCTGTACTGCTCGCTCATGGGCAGGCTAGGCACGACGGCCATGAAGGGCGACGTGTACGGGCACGTCTTCCTGGACTCGACGCGGCGGAACGGCCAGACGCCGAAGCGGTCCTCGGCCGACGGGAAGCACTCGAGGTGGACGAAGCCGACGTCGGAGAGGGACGACAGCCACTCGCCGAGCCGGCCCTCGAGCTGGGCCCGGACGGCGTACCTCTCCTTGGGGGGCAGGCGGAAGGCCGGCTTCTCGGGGAGACGGCCTCGCTCGGCGGCGGCGACGACGGAGGCGTTCATCATCTGCACCCACCTGTGCCTGTGAAAGTGCCACCAGTTGTGTCGCCTGTTGCGGCCGCCGGACGCGGTGCCGCGCCAGATGAGCCCGTCCTTCTTGTCGGCCCATCTCGGGCCGTGCTGCTCGCCGCCGTTGTAGAGCTCGCGCGGCGAGAGGTACATGGCGCCCGGGATGAGCAGCTCGTTGTTCTGGGACATTTTGGAGCCGCCGAAAAGAGGGAAGAGGCTGCGAGTCGTCGACATGCTGATGCTCTCGACGAAGGCGCCGTGCATGCCGCGCAGGTGTGGCTGCGTGCACGGGTTCTGCGCCTGGGTGAAGTTTTGGACGAAGCCTCGGAACGTGTACGGCGGCGGATGGCTGGGGAATTCCACGGGGCCGTCGAACGAGGCCAGCGCGGACACGTTCCGGCTCGGGTCGCCGGGGGCGCACGTCTCCCGCACGTGGTCCCAGTACCTGGGGACGTCGTCGGTGATCCATTCCGGGTCGTGGTCGTGGTCGTGGTCGTGGTCGTGGTCGTGGTCGTGGTCGTGCCCTCTCCCGGGCCCGTACGCGCCGTACGTGCCGACGGCGTCCCGGGGGTCGATGAGCCTTCTGCTGGCGCGCTCCGCGCTGGCGTACGCGTTGATCTTGTCCCACGGCACGAGCACGCGCGGCTCGTCCATGACGTTGACGGCCATGTCGAGGTCGGGGATGTGAGGCACCATCTCGCCGACCAGGTCGGTCCACAGGTTGATCCAGGGCACGCGATGGGGGTCGTCGGTCTCAAACTCGACCCTGCCGCCTCGCACTCGGATGACTTGTGGGTGCCGACTTGCCTGTGCTCGCATCTCGCGCGGGTCCACGGCCCAGAACGGGTTGATGTCATGGTGTATCCTGTCGAAAAAGTCCTCGACGACGACGGCGTCGTCTCGCAGCGCTTGTGCAAACCACCGGTCGAACCCGGGAGGCGGATGGCGCCCACGCCGCTCCCGGTAGCGCGCGGCGGCGTCCTCGAGCGTAAAGGCGCGCTTCTCCAGCAAGCGTTCGAGACGAGCGTTCGCCTCTCGGATGAGGCGGTCGATCGGATGAGGCGTCGGGGCCGTGGCGTCGGGCTTCGGCGGCGGATGCGCTCCAGGACGGCGGTAGATCCAACTTGTGGTGTTCAGTCTCGATATCTCGACACGAGGGAGCCAGAGCCAGAGGACGAGGCAGACGAGGATGGCAAAAAGCACGGCACGCAGCACCTGGCGCCTGCCCGGGAAGACGGCAATTGCACAAGGTGCCCGGAGCATCATGGCGGAGAGGGAGAGGACATCTGCATATTGCGCCCGGGGAAGAGACGGGAAAAATCTGACGTGGCGGACGCCGCGGTGAAGAAAGGGTCTGGCTGGATGAAATATCAAGGGGCACACGCAAGACCAAGGAAACTCGGCCCCGTTTCCAATCTTGATTTGTATCGAACCCCCCTGTCCATAGGCGCCCAATCAAACATGCAATCCATGTCGTCGGCCCGGGGCCGCTCGGGCTTGTGACGCCGAGGCGTCGACGGCACGGGAAAAAGAGTCGAGATGACGGAAATAGCTTCTGGTTCCGGCCCCAGCGACCAACAAGCAGACGGCCGTGGCAGATTCGGGCTCTCGATCGGACATCCAGCCAGATGCCCTGTTTGCGGCTGGACAATGGGAGTCACGATAGCACCACTCGACTCTTTTATACACGGGGAGGAGGGACTTGATTCCCCGAGCAAATCATGCAGCCATACGGTTGATGACTACGTAATCTTGTCGAGGCGCCTAGCTACGTAATATGGTAATATCCGACGTTCAACCCCACGCCTCTCTGGGTCTGAAATGGTTACGGATTCACCCCTAACCCTAACCCTGAGCCGCTTGCTAGCGCGAGGCATCGAGTCATGGCACGCGCGCGTGTCCCGAGCAACATTGAGCCCGACTCAGCAGGAGTCCCTACGAACAATCGTGTTCCAGTTCCCAGACTCAAAGTTCTGCCCCGAAACCTGGCCGGCGCCCGACGCACACGTGTTGACGATGTGCTGAGCACTGTTGGCAATCTGGTCCCAGCTATCCAACGTCTTGGGCGTCAAGTTCTACGCCGCGTACACGCGCAGTCAGCGTGAGCCAACAGATGAGTCTCGGGGAAGGGGGGAGGGACCGGCAGGAAGCGAGGCCACAGAAGAGCGTGGACGAACATCGTTGCACCACCAGATGGCAGCGTTGTGGGAGCAGCTCACTCGACCACAGTTTCCCGGACCGGGCCCATTGCGAGGAGCAGCCGGCACGCCACGGAGGTAGTTGATTCCCTCCTGGATGCGGCCTTTGTCGGCGAGCCCAAAGTTGCCGCAGATGACGTTGGAACGCTTCTCATGCAAGTCCCTCGGCTCGACAACCTTGTCAAGCTTGAAGTCGGGGTTCATTTTGCGGGCTTGGGCGTACACCTCCTGGACTGTGCCGTACAAGACCTCGTTCCAGCCTGGGGCGACTTCGAGATCCCATGAGATGGCCTCGACGTCGTACCCGAGGATGGGAGCCGCTACGCCGAGCACCTGGTGACGTGGTCGGGGGTCAGCGGCTTAAACCCATGCCGGGGTAGACGGGAACGATGCTTACGCCGGTCGCCATGGAGGCGGAGAGAACGAGACTGAGTGGTGAGCGCATGGTCTGGGGCGACGAGTTGGCTGACAAGACGGGGGTGTCGCGAAGACTGGTTGTCACGGAGCTCTTGGTGGCAGAGAGAGGAGACGAGACGACGGGTGGCGGCACTCTGCCCTTTAAACCGCTGTTGCTGCTCGCGCGGCGTGAAACTCCGCATCGAGGCTGTCCGCCGGGGTTGCTGCCTCTGCGGAAGCAAGCTCGTCGTCTTCAAAACCGGGAACTGCGCGCAATTTTTGTGTTGTCGCTGCGTGGGCTGCACGAGCTGCACCAAGTTCCAACTATCAACTGGTCATGGCCGAACCAACCCAACATACAGGGCGATGTGAGGAAGGGTCCGGCGTTGGCTGGTTTCGTGAAAGCCGCAGTGGAAGAGCCATGTGACTGTCAGGGTGCAGGCCATCGATGCAAGGAATCCTGTCTGGTTCGCCGACGCTGGTGATGGTGACGGTGACCAAGCTTGACCAACAACTTGAATCGACACGGTGAGCCGAGGCGCCGCCGGCGGCTGCGTCGTCAGAGTCAACAGTCAACGGCACGGACGGCAGCCTTGGCTCCGTCACTCGGCGTGCGGCGAATCTATGGTTGCAAGCCGCGAGTGCGTGGTAAGCAGGCCGGTCTATCCTTGGATCAGACGGCCTCCATCTGCTCCGTAGATACGGGCTACTTTCCGGCAGGTAGTCGTGGAGAATCTCGGCATGCATCAGCCTGGGGAGGGTATGTCATTCCTTGACATCAGGATATGACAGTGATCTTGAAGGAATCCCCCCTTCAGGTCATGCCCTTCTGCTATGCTGGCGAGAATGTTGATGGCGCTTGGTTGGAGGCCCGAATAGCCAGCCTTCTGGATTTTGTGATTCGAACCATGACTCCAGGAGGCCGTACTCGACCGTTGATTGGGATGGGAACATACCCCGTCTCTACTGGTGAGCACGAGTCACGCTGCGAGCAAGCAGTTGCCAGAAAGAAATACGCGCCGAGAGAGGCCGTGCCGTATGACAAGGAGTGTGCCAGCAATAAGCGCCAAGGGACGTCATACGGCAAGGATTATGCCAACAATAACGCGCCGAGACATGTGGTACAGCAAGGATTATGCCAAGGATACTCGCACTCGCAAGCTGAGCGCCCCTTGTTGTTTGCCGAGTGGCAGCTTTGCTCTCGCGGCAGCCGCATCAGCATCACCATCTCTCGACTCGGGCTACGCGAGCTCGGCAGCTTCTCTCCTACCGTTGCCACGAGCCCATCCCGACGCCCGTGCCCCGGCTCTCCAGAGCAGCTGTGCTGTTTCTTCCTTGCCAACTTGATTCGCAACCACGAAAGCCGTGTCCCCGTCGCCGTCCACCGCCTCCATGTCGGCTCCAGCTTCCAAGAGCATCCTCACCACCTCTGGCTTTCCAGCCGCCGCAGCTACATGCAGGGGCGTCCTGCCCCCTACTCTTCTGGCCTTGATATTCGCCCCCGTCTTCAAAAGCAGCCCAACTATTTCTGGATTTCCGCCCTCGACGGCCGTGTGCAAAAAGGTATTCTTCCACCTGTCTCTCGCCTCGATGTCCGCGCCGGCAACCAGGAGCAGCTTGACTATTTCCGGCCTCGCGCTCTCAATGGCCAGATGTAGAGGCGTCTTCTTCAGGCTGTCCATGGCCTCGGTGCTGGCCCCGGCCTGCAGGAGCATCTCGACTGTCTCCCTCTCCCCGGCCTCGGTCGCCAGATGCAGGGCCGTCTTCTTCTGGCCATCGGTGGCCTCGACATTGGCCCCAGTGTCGAGGAGGAACACGACCTGCTCTACATCTCCGTTTTCGGCAGCTCTATGGAGAAGTGTCTTGCTGGACCCAGTCATCTCCTCGGCGTCAGCCCCAGCATCCGACAGCAACGTCGCAATCTCCATCCTGCTCGCGAGATCCAAGGGCGTCTTGTTGCTCGCGTCTGTGGCGTCGGTGTTGGCCCCGGCTTCCAGGAGAAACTTGACCAGCTCTGCCTCTCCGCCCACGGCGGCCGAGTGCAATGGGGTCCGGCCAAGGTCGTCGAGGGCCTCGATGTCGGCACAGGCGCCCACGAGCGTCTTCGTGATGCCCAGCCTGCGGCAGAGGGCCGCCGTGTGAAGTGGCCTTCTTCCCTTGTTATCCCGCGCTTCCTTGTCGTCTAGCAGCTTCTCGACTGCGTCTTGCTTGTCTGCCAGGACGGCCCAGTGGATGGGCGCCCGCCCTTCGTGGTCCGGCAGAGACTGCGGCCGACCCTTGCTGTGCCTCGGCGTTGGGACGTGGCTCAGGCCGGGCTCGGACGGTCCGTCGGCCTCGTCGTTGCGGTTCTGCGAGTCCAAGAGAAACTGTAGGACCTCGGCCTCTTCGTTCCTCGCGGCGCAGTGAAACGGAGACGCGCCGTCGATTCCCCGTCTCGCAATGCTGGCGCCGGCCTTGACCAGGTAGGCCACGGCGCTGTACGTCCCGCACCAGCACGCATAGTGCAGGATCTTCCAGCCTCGTAAGTCCGTTTGGTGGATCCATGACATGTTTTCCTCGTCCTGATACTCGTCGATGTCGCCGCCGGGCCCCCCGCCGAGAACCATGTAGTGAAGCGGCGTCCACGCCGTCGCGTCTGTGATGTGGAAGATGTACCCGGCAATTTCAAGAGCGTAGTTCCAAATCTTGGGGTGGTCGATTGCCTTGCGATGGACCGGAGTAAAGCACAGCGGTTTTGTCCAGACGAGTCCCGGGGCCGTTTCGCCAGAGACGGCGGGAGCAATGCGTTCCAGACTTTGAGGCCACGGGTGTCGTCCGTCTCCGTAGAGCAGCGATAACTGGGACACGACCTCGTGGCGTTTGCTTTCCGCCTCCAAAAGGCTCGTGAGCACTCCGTGCGCTTCTCCGACGCTTCTCTTCTGTTCCTTGGTCAGGATGGATATCTCCCTCTCGTCGTGGCTGTCCTTGAGGTGCTCCATCAGACAGGCCACAGCGCGGGCATAGATGGATCGCTCGCTCTCACAGAAGTGCCGGCACTGCTGCCACAGCCATAGGTATGGCAGCCTTGCCGCTTGCAGACCCTTGGTCCTCCACAGCTCGTTGGACCTGGCGAGTGCCAAGTCAAACACGGGATCGGGAAACGGCAGCTTTTCCTCGAGGCTGAGAGGCCACACGATGCTGACGTGGGCTTCGAGGGACAATCCCAGGCCGTTCTGCTGGATCTCGCTCGCCAGCTCAGCTATGCCCTCGTGCCGAAGCACCAAGGGGCTCTGCATGCCGGGCCTGCTGGATGAGACCGTGCGAGCCTCTGCCGTCCCTACCGAGGACGAGGTCAACGTCTTGGCGACGGACCGTAGAAACAAGCAAAGCAATGCCTTTGCGTACAAGACGCCCATCTCGTCGTGCGTCTCGATGGCCAGCACCGTCGGGCCGTCGCCTGCTGCGTCTTCTGCCTGGTTGTGCCGGGCGTCGTGGAACCTGGCCCAAGGAGCATCAGATTCAGATTCGGCTTCTTCAGGCGTTTCTGCCAGCATCGCCTGCGTCCGCCACCTTTGTTCTTCCAGATTCACTTCGTCATGCTGAAATTCCCGGAAGCGTTCGCAGCAATGGCATCCGGCACCGCCTTGGGCGCGAATTCCGGCAGAGTGAACCACCTGGCTGCTCTCTACTCGCAGCGTCGATGTTTGCTCTTCACGGCCGCCTGTCGCCACGGCCACCTCTCGGATCTCGAATATCTCACCTAGATCATCAGGAACCCACCACATCAAGTCTTGAATCAGCTGCTTCTTGGGAATGGCATTTCCCCGCCCGAATGCTCGGAGCCCCAAGGCTGATTCTGGGGCCGTGTCCCGGAGCCAGGAGTCGTCGCTCTTGTTCAGATGGCTGAAGTCGTTTCTCGCATCCAGCGTCCCGTTGTTCCGAGCACATCCCCGGCTGGAGTAGATCCAAAGGGACAAGGCTGACGCCAGCTCATCAGCGGCGACCCTCCATTGACTCGAGCCACCCGCACGCTTCAGGTGAAACGGAATCCATTGGGGCGCTTCTCCGAAACGACCTTGTGCCCGGACGTACCACGTCAAGTCTGCCTGGGCTTTGAACTGACACGCGAGGAAGAGATTCATGGCCGCCTCCATGCAATTCGCAAGGCGGATGGCCAGGTCGACATACTGACCGCGGTGGTTCGCGAGCCTGCCAAGCCCCTGATGTATCTTCAAGACGGACTTGGCCCACGAGCCTCCCTCGACGACGGCTTGGTCGTCGGTGGCAACCAGTGGACGGAAACTCTTATCCATGTCCGTATCAATGGTCCAAGACATTGCGTGCATTTCCCCGTGCGCCTCCGTCCGTCTCCAGCTAGTCTTTGGTTTCAGCAAGTCGAAACACGCGTCGGCGTCGTTGTTGATGCCGCTCAGGACCAGAGCCAGCCACTCCAGCTCGGTATCCGGCGCCAGTTCTCGATGGGCCAAAGGGTGCGACATGCCTCGCCGGATCCACGCCCTGACGCCAACCATGATGAGCACCGCACCTAGCTGTGCCACGGATGCCGTCCAGTTCATCTTTCTGAGCCCGACGAACTGCACAACGAAGCCCAGCACGCTCACGCCGGCGCCGGTGACCGTTTCCACCTCGTCCGTGTGTCCATCGATCCAGCTTCTCACTCTGTCCATCCTCTGGCTTACGCTCGATTGCCTGCTTTCGTCCGAGGTCGACGCCACGTTTTCCGCGTGACCATGGCTACTGATTGCCTCGTAGCTGCCCGACCGAGCCGTCCCATCGTCACAGGGAGCTTCGGTGTCGTCGTGACTCGCGGCTGACGTCTCCGTTGGGGACTGTCCCAGCTTTCTCCGCGAGGTGGTGATGATGGTGCGCTTCGACCTTGGCAGCGTCGCATACGGCTTGAAGACTTGGTCCCCGACCGTCTGCCCGCGCTGAATCCACATGATCTGCGCCATCTCGTCTTCGTCCCACGGCCTGTACCGATACTCCTCTGTACTGGCTTCATTCACGTGGCCGCAGATGAACAAGCCCAGGACGAGCAGTGCCGTTCCGCTGGCAACCAGGGGAAACGCCGAGGCCTCCACGGGCTTCTGCTCCTTGAGGTATCGCTGTTTGAAGTCGGGATGGTACGTTGTGATGCCGAAAAAGATGACCAAGCCTGCCTGGAGCAGCGTGGCAAAAACAGCGGCTCCATGGACTTGAAGTCGGCTGATTTGATCGTGCCCGTTCAGGGTTATGTTTGGTGCGGAAGTGGTGATGTCTCTAATGACCTTGACGTCCCATTGAGGCGGCGTAACTGCGTCATCCGACGAGTCGGCGCAGCATGCCGTCTCTGAATCGCGTCCCTTCCAGTCCTGGTGGACAGGTTCCTTTCTCCGCCGACAGGGGAACAAAACTGCAAAGGAGTTGAGTTGGTACAAATCTTCAGACGGCCGCGTCTCGGGAGACGTTGCTTTCTAGCGTCTTCTTGTCTCCCTCGCACAACGACCTGTGTTGGAGGGATCGACAAATGTGACAGGATTAAGGACCTACTCTTCCGCCAGAAGCTTCTCCAGCCCGTCATGTCTGCCTGCACGTCAGCCTTTCTGCTTCGCGCGCCAGGTTGAAACGGTGCAGTTGTCAATCTACCTGTGCCGTCGACAATATCCCGTCCCCGGGCCTGCTCGAGCGTCTTGAACTCGACATCCGGAGGCTCGTTGGGTCGCTCGCCCGCGGCACGCTTCTTGAAAAGAAACATGAACTCCCATATCTTGGGCTTCCCTTGGCACCTCACGATGCTCTGGCCGTTGTATAGCTCGCAAACCTCCTCGGACGCCGAGGACATCAGCTCCATCTCGGCGGCCGAGACGCTCTCTCTAGCTCTTCCAATTACCGCCTTGAGCCACAACGGCCCGGCGAGTCTGATGGCAGAGACGACGATGGTGAGGATTCCTATCGGCGCCATGGCCAGGATGATGCTGTCCGCCCTGCCCATCGCTTCGCTCATGAACTGCATCGTGACCTTTTCACCGAACAGCGCCAGCACCCTGCACCTCGTCAGTCACGTCATCCGCGTGCACGGCAGGGGAAACCTGTTTTGCCTCGACATACGGCCCCAGGTCCGAGAACAAGTTGTTTGCAAAGTCATCGTCGGAATCTGCGCGCACCCGCGATGCAAAGAGAACGGCTGGGGACGCGGCATGCAATTGGAGCCACCGCCACCTCATCGTTGTGGACAGTCGAGCTGCTTTTTCCTGGTAGAGGAGCTGTTTGGTGATTCTTGAAACGATGCTGGTATCGCTCACACGGTGTTTCCCACCAGCGTGCTCCTCCGCCTTCCGACTCTGCCACAAGGACAGAGTAGGTGGTCAGTGAGAATGCGCGAGCTCGACGGCACCGAGGCCCAACGGTCTCGGGACTTTGAAAATATCGAGCGCCAACTAGGTCTGTGCGCGTCGACCGGTGAAGGACTGCATTGCATGAGCATCCTCCTACCGTGTACGGCGTACGGAGTATCTGTAATTGACATTCTCCCCTCGTGCAACATCGGACCGTTGTGCAACAAGCCCAGGCCGAGATGGCTGCGTTGCCGCCAAATCACGGAGCGTCATTGTGCGGGGCTGGACGGGCTGCCATTTCTCTTTCCTTTCCTAGACCCCGGCACGGTGTTTTTCACGACAGCCTCATGCACGCGGGCAGGCCTTGATGCATAGCAAACCGATCCGCCAGGTGTGGGAAGCCCGGCGCCGTGCTGCGTCTTCTGCGACCCGTCTTTCCGGGGCTCTAGTCTCCATCGCTTCCCCCAGCTTTTACCTTAACGTACTTGGTAATCTGGCCCGGGAGACAATAAGACGTCATCTGCAAGAGCTCAAGATCTGCACCATATCCCGATTCCCAGGGGTGAACCCACCGGTGAACCAACCCGAGATCTTTGAGTATCGCTGGTCGGCATCGAATCAAGGCAGCAGATGTGTTACTGAAATGGCTGATGTTGCTGCAAGCAGAGGCCTCACTCGCATTCGTCATGTATAGTGTAGGTACTGAGACGTTGCGCCCCTCAAAACTTCCCTTTCGATCGGTGAGACCGGTAAAATGAAGGCCAGGCCGTGGCCAGCCGCATTCGTGCCTGTGTCAAGTTTGAAAAGGGCCCTGTTTTCTGTTGCACTGCATCTCTGTCGCACACGTCCTGCAAGAAACAAATAACAAGCGAGAACGGCGTGGCCGAGAGCTCTGCGGTTGAAAAACAACCCGCAGTCCGCACCAACCCAGCTTTGCCTTTCAATTTGCCATCTAGCTTTGCCAACCCACCGGTGTAGCATTTCCCTGGAGCAGCACGGGCTCAGTGTGTCCCGTGGCTTGGTCCTCGCCGGAGTTGGTCGTGACCTGCCGGCCGGGTCCCACATCGGCCGGGTCCGCGTCGGCGACCGGGGGACCTCCGGAGCCGGAGCCCTTCTGCTGCCTCGAAACAAAGTTGGTGACCGTGCGACGAGCAGCGGCCGGGACGGTCGAAATCGAAACCGCGACTTGCGGACGGACAATCTCGTAGTAGTGTTGCAGACGGACAATGTAGTAATAGTGTGTTGTGGTGCGGTAATAACATGTACAGCCGCCAGTTGTGTGGTGATTGTGTCACATGGCACCACAGATTGGATGTGTCGAAGCCCAACGCGTCGTCGTGACAGGCGCAAGACAAGATTCGCAATTCACAACTTGGCAGTTTCCACGGACAGCGGCCCTGCGGAAGTACGTGCGACCGGCTGGGTAGAAGATCGGGTCGACGCGGCTAGTGCTATTTATCCCCGGCAGCGATTGTTCATTCACAGGCCGAGATCTTCTTAACGTCCTCTGTTGTGCTTTCTCGAACACCAAGTCGATGGCTTAGCACACGATGAGCTCCGGTGCTGCCATGTCGAGATACTCCGGGGACCCAGAGTCGGGGGCAGGCGCCCTGCGCTTAAACGTGTCGGTTTGTCCAACCATCTTGTCCGAGGGGGGCCTGTAGATGGACTACAGTTTGCCTCGCCTTCCTTGTGGTCCAAACATCTGGGGAGACGTGGCTTGACTGCTGAACGATTGTCCTGCTTTTCGTCCCTGCGGCTGTGTTGGCCAGGAACCTCGATCCTTGGCTTCAAGGCTGGCTGCAGTGCAGCCTCCTTGACTGTCGCATCATGCATTTCAGTCTCTTTCTTACAAGGCGAGGGCTGGTCGCCCGACGGCCAGGCTTCATCCATCAACGCGCAGCTGCTTGCGAGGGAGCGTCTTTGGGGACCATGTTCCGCTTCTCGGGAGACGAAACATGGTGGAATTTCCTCTTGAGATGATGGTTGATACACGATACATGTGTGCTTAAAAGCGTCTCGTCCACGTGGTTCGACGACGGGTAAAGTCGATTGATTCTACAGGCAACTGCAAGTCGGCGCGGCACTCCGTTCAGTGTCAACCGGTGCAGTAGATGGCGGAACCGGGTCGACTTGCCCTTTGGAGATGTCGACTTGCATCTGCGTCGACTGGACTTGAAGGTTGGAACACCACACCACGGCGTCTGGACCCAAGGAGTGATGCAGAATGGAACGACAACGAGCGTCTCCACATGGTCGAAAAATCAAGTCGCATCCCAACGCAGCGTCCCCCTCTCCTCCGACAAACCCAAACCAAAAACGAAACCCAGACCTCGACAGCCCTCTCAAAACAATGGCATCCGCCAAGGTCTTCATCGTGACCGGCGCGAGCAAGGGTCTTGGCGCTGCCATCACGCGCTGCCTGCTCGAGCAGTCGCACAAGGTCGTGGCCACGGCCCGTTCGGCCGACCTTTTGGAAGACATGAAAAAGGCATACCCGGGTCAAGTGGAATATGTGGCCGGAGACATGACCAGTGCCGAGGTACGCCGCATTCATCCCCCCTTTCGACTGCTGACTTGCGCGACGCGTCGTTGAAACGGATGCTGCCGTGTCTCGACTCTTCTCTCTGCCATCATCGGCTTGCTATGTGGCGGCGCGTGGGCTGACGTGACAGCAACGTGTCGCAGATGCCGGAAAAGTTGACCAATCTCGCCGTCGCATCGTTTGGGAAGCTTGATGGGCTGGTCATCAATCACGGACTTCTTGTGTCGTCGAGGATGGAGGACACCTCTCTCGAGACTTTCAAGAACCTCTACAACGTCAACGTCTTTAGCTGTTTGGCCATGGTAGATTCCCTCGTCACACCGACACAACACGCTACTCATGTACGCCGTACTCATTCTTTCTATGCTCTAGGCCCAAGCAGCCCTTGGTCAACTACGAAAGAGCAAGGGTTGCGTCGTCTGGATCTCTTCGGGTGCCGCTCTCAAACCATACATGGGATGGAGCGCCTATGGATCATCAAAGGCAGTGCTCAACTCTCTCTCCTCGCATCTGGCTGTCGAGGATAAGGACATTACGAGCATCACCATCAGTCCGGGACGAGTTGACACAGATATGCAAGTGCAGGTTCGCTCATCTGGACTACAGTCCATGGACAAGGCACAATACGACACATTCGTCCAGGCCTTTGAGCAGGGCAAGCTCTTGAAGCCTCATCAACCCGGCAATGTCATTGCCAGATTTGTGGCCAGTCCCAAGAGGGAGTTGAGCGGTCAAAACCTCACGTACGTAACATCCTATTTACGCCATGGATACTTACTGACAACATCAACAGTTGGAATTCGACAGAACTGGCTTCGTATCAAGAGTAGGCGACGGCCGGGAAAGACTGTGCAAGACTTGAAACTCATGTCAGCTTGGATTCCAAAGAAACCTGAATCAGTTTATAGCAACGGGCAAAAAAAAAAAAATTGCAGTCAGTCGAAAGATGAAAAGCTCTTAGTTTACTCCACATGCGTGCGATTCGGTATTAGCATGGAATGTAAGTTTCTTCATCATAGCAATCATGTAACAGTGAGGCCAATGTACCATAGCAGATGTCCTCACCTTTTGTAAAATGTGATCCGTGGTGACTCTAGTCGGGCCATGATTTGGTGGGTTGCGTACTCGTATACTGAGCCTATGTTAGCGTGCCTGGTTGCATTGGCTATTCCAATCGACAGTTCTTGTGAGCTGCGCTCAGGCTATCGAATCTCTCCGTCATGAACGCTCGGTATTTGATAGTACCAGATAGCAAAAGGCATCACTGCGGCAGTCGGGGGTGGGAAAGGCACGGAAGATTCTTACACTGCGAATGAGCAACGTGGAAACCTAGCACATGTACGAGTTAGCTTTGTTTGATCTTGTGCACATCACGTTGTGAGCGACACGACGGGACTTCGAGGCCAACAAAGGGTCAGTTGTGTCTATTTGGCATAAGACGTGTCTGTCAGCAAAGAGGTTTGTCGGACCTCGTCAGACTGGGGCGACAACAGAACTCATCACTGGAAAAGGCACGAGGTGGAAAGGATGTCAGTTGAGCAGGTCTCACCTCCAAGCGACTGATTTAGTCACGGTGGTTCGTGCAAGAGCAAAATCAACTCGATTGCATCACGAATGCTTGGTGAGAGGAAGGAAGGTGAAGATGGGTAAATTATGTGTTAATTTTTTTCTTGCTGGTCGCTTTTAGAGGACCCGCTGGCACGTGCAGCCAGCCAGGCTTAGGCTGGTTCCAAGTGCCCGTGTGCGCACTGGGTACAGAGTACGGAGTACCTACTTAGATTAGGTAGGTACCTAGGTACCTAGGTAGTTACTGTAGGCAGCCATGCCGCGCTTGGCAGTACGTGCAGCTACATGGAACTCCCTCGGTGTCAGTGCAAGTCCCAGCCGAGCCCCACCATGCGCCGTGCAAGCACCTACCTGCCAATCTGCCAAAGACTGCCATCTGCCATCCGCCCATTCACTGCTCAACCGTTTCCGAGCTTCAAATTCATCTCATCCTCCAACTTCCAAGTGTCCTCGCATCCATCCGCGTCTAAGCCGCCCACTCCGCACATCCAGCATACATATTCATCCGTCAAAGCCCTTGCTTGCTGCGTTTGCACGCCATATTTTATGCGACGTTGCATACATAGAGCAGCCCTCCGCCGCCAAGACGAATCATCCTCGCTTGTATCCCCGTCACCATGTCGGATCACGAATTTGGCGGTACGTTGAGTTTGTCCATTCATTCAGTCACTCATTCATTCTGCTCAGCAGGCTCATCACCCTTGTCTCCTCTCATGCATTCACCATTGTTCCGACATTTCGTCCATTCCTTCTTGTCTTTCTGATCTTGCACCACCCGCCCCTCCTCGTCGTATCAAACGTAACAAGACAGTCAATGTCGGTGTGGCTGTCCGTCATCGCGGTCCTCCCGCGGGTGCTCATTTCGTGGTGCACGAGCCGTCTTTGTTGTTCCTCTCTCTCTTCCTCTTGGGCATATAATACGACTACCAAGCTTCATCGTCGTTGGCCGCGGTTGCAACACGCAAGTGCTTGCTGTCCCGCCTTCCGTCCCTTGCTGCGGCTTCGCGCATTTTCTGTCCGGCTTCAGGATACTTATCAGAGATCAGAGGCGCTGTCGAACCCAGTCCTGGTTGCGTCGTGGCCCAACACATTCTCACCATGCCTCCTCAGCCACGATTGGAACGATATTGGGCCTTGGTAGATTCAGGCCTCAGTACACGCTACGTTTCTTGGTTTCGCCATCCATGTGCCACGTTTTCTAACGGGACTGTTTGTAGGCAATGACGACCTGTCGCTCCCCAAAGGTATGCTCTTCATGGCCGCCGTGGCCCTTGTCAAGGTAGCCAAACTCACCGTTCCCCTCGATAGCCACTGTTCAGAAGATTGTGGGTGAAATCCTGCCACCCCATGGCGGCATAACTTTCGCAAAGGAAGCCAGGGATCTCCTTATCGAGTGCTGCGTGGAATTCATCACCCTCATCTCGTCTGAAGCCAACGAAATTTCCGAAAAGGAGGCCAAAAAGACGATTGCTTGTGATCACATCACCAAGGCACTTGAGCTGCTTGGCTTTTCCGACTACGTGCCCGCCGTGCTCGAAGCTGCTGCCGAGCACAAGGAGGTGCAAAAGGTATGTTTCTTTGCCGCGCTTCTTGGGCCCTCAATCTCGTCTGGACGCGTGTCGTGCTAATCCGCCAATTCTACCGCAGGGCCGCGAGAAGAAGGCGGACAAATTCGCCAATAGTGGCATGTCCATGGAGGAACTGGCGCGTTTGCAGGAAGAACAGTTCGCCCAGGCCAGACAGAGACATGGATAAGACTTTTATTGTTATTTTTTTCTATTTTTTGCCTTTCTGTCTTCTCCTCGCGCAACAAGGGGACCTGCTCCGTTTATTAGGCGTCGTGATGGGCATTACTTGGCGTTGACATGTGGGACACGGACACGAATGCTTGGTGATGCAAACAATCTTTGCTGAGGTGACTTGGCTTGTTTTGCTTAATCTTTGGCTAGAGTACGCACATTCTGTGCTGGCCCCTGGGCCTGAGTTGGCAGGATGCAATGACTGGGCAAATGAGCGATGCAGTTGCTTTGAATACCATGACGTACCATCATACTCCGTATCTGACTTATATCCATCTGGCTTGTTAACCCCAGTCGCTCCGCCACTTGCTCCACGAACCACCCAAGATGTGGTTTGGCCACTGCGCTCTCGCCTCGCCTCGTATCAGCAAGTGAGTGACATGTGAATGGCGGCATGGCTTCGATCTAGATCGGTCTGAAACAAACACCATGTACTCGAGTCTGATTGGTGCCGATTTCATGACAACTGAGCTGATGAGTCCCCCACCAGCAATTCTGTGTCTGGACCGCCCGTTTCCCTCTCCTTTCTCCTTGGTTTCAACTTGGGTTGTTTCCAAGTCACATCACTCAAGGTGGGTGTCCATGTCTGTCTGCATGGTCACCGGGCAACAACAGACCGACTGCCCACACCATTCGAACGTGCTCCCACAGTCATCGTATCGTGTCTGCATTCCCACAGTCCGTAGGACCGGCCAGCCAATGCAAAAGGTCAATGGACAAGACGACTTTCCGCAGTCTGAGACCTGCGTCGTCGACAAAACGGCCCGACGCCGGCTCTCACGCTGCATCGTCCAGCGACGAGACCGGAACTCCGGTTCCGGGGTCAAGTCGGACAGCGGCTATACAAGCCTGCCTCGACTGTCGAAGACTCAAGATAAAGGTTGCCTCATGACCGCCTCTCGTGCCGCGTGCCGCGTGCCGCGTATGCACTCTTCCACTCGTTAATCCCGATGCTGACACCACCGGCGCAACCCAGTGCGACGGCAACAGGCCCAAATGCTCAACGTGTACCGTCAAGAAACGGAGCTGCGGCTACGTCGGCCACGAGGGCCAGAGCCGAGCGACGGCCGTCAAATCGCGGCTCGAGTCTCTTGAAGGGCTCGTGGCCACGCTAAAGACCAGCAGCCCGGCGCAGCTCTCGACCATCCTCAACGACATACGGGGCGCCGACGACGCCGTCGGAGCCATCGAGAGCCTGGCGAGCCAGACGGAGACGGTCAGCCTCGACGGGCGGAGCCGGCAACACGCTCTGCTGCTGCTGCTGGCCGACGAGCAGGCCCTGGACCTGCGGCTCGTGCTGCCCGAGGCGTCGGTCGTGAAGCGGGCCGTCGAGTCCTTCTTCAGCTGCAGCGGCAAGCTCTTCCACGTCTTCTCCGAGGCCTTTATCCTGCTGTGCCACGAGGCCGTCTTCGGGGCGGCCCAGGACGCCTCGGACTTCGTCAAGGCGAGGGTCTGTTGTCTGGCGGCCGTCGCGGCCGTGGGCGCGCAGTACGCTCCCGACGTCTTTGGCAAGGACGTCGAGGCCGGCTTGTACAACCTGGCTAGACACCTCCTCGAGGTGGCTATGGAGCATGAGCCGCTGCATGCCATCAAGGCTTGTGCCTTGCTTGCCCAGTACAACATCATGAACAAGGAGATGATGTCGCTCACTTACGTTGGTAAGTACCAACCAGGGATCTTTTGCCAGACTTTGTTCTTTTTTTGGGACATTTTACTTTTTCGCTTCTACTCTGACTATTACGTTTCTTACTTGGCGCCGCTCGCTAATCTGCCCTTCAAGAGATGGGCTTGGGCATGTGTCACTTCCATGGAATAAACAACCGGGAGACGAGGCCCGAGTCCATACCCAGCCAGGAATGGCGCCACGTCCGGCATGCTTGGAGGACTTTGGTATTCTTCTCGAGGTAGGTCATTGACAGAGGAAAATAAAGACCTTTTGTGGCCATTTTTCTGACCGCAGTGTGCTTCCTTACTTGCAGCTGGCTCTCGGCGACACTTGGGTACATTTCCCGCAACCCTTGGTCACCGAGCAAGAGAGTGGTGAGCAGACGATACGATGAGCTATTTTTGACCTTTGATCGTGCGGAATCTGACTCGTCTCCAAGTTCGCTGATCTCAAGTTTGATGATCCCGCCAACATCACCGAAGGTACGTCTCGGCAAGGTTTCAACCACGGCGGCGCTGGTGACCTGACATTTGGCGCAGTTGTGCAGGGGGAAATGGTGAGGATATGCCTTCTCAAGGCGGACATATTGCGAATGCACCTGGTCTTCGAGGATCTCTCGGGCCCGGCCGTGGAAGCCATCACGAGAGACCTGCAAGACTGGTACCAGGAGCTGCCGGAATCCATGCGGCTTGGGGCGAGCGTGCGCGAGGGCGTTCCGGTCGGAACCAGGCGGTCCATCTTGCATCTACACATGCTCTACCTGGGGGCCATAATGCTTCTCCACCGCAGGATAGCAAGTCAGTTCTTGAAGTGGTATGCGGTCAGGGGCTGTCCCAGCAGCCTAGACCTGACCTCTCGCTATGTCTTTGTCCAACAAAGCGCCGAGGCTGTTCTCGCGGCCAGCACGTCGGCCAGGATCGTCAAGCTCCTCCTCGACGACGACGGTGTCTTCAAACACTGCTGGCTCGTCATGTACGTCCTTCTTAAACGGTGTTACACCCCGCGCGGGTCCGAGGTGAAGCAGCTTTTTGGGCTAACGATGACGGGAAACAGTTTCCAAAGCTACACCGCCTGCACGATCCTTCTGCACTCCGTAATCCAGAAGCAACTCCACGATTTCGAACCACCGCGGTGGCAGGATGACTTGGACAGAGCCGGCGACTGCCTCTCTGTGCTTGCCTTCTGCGGCTCTCGGGACCGCGTCGCTGCTCAATTCCACGAGCAGCTCCAGGCCATCTTCGAAACAGTCTCGGTGTATGGCTTCAACAGCAGTCCTTGCCAAGCCCTCATGGAGATGGACTTCCAACACAGCCCTCCCAAAAGCGACGGGGATTTTATTCCCACGGACCTTGACGGATACGCAGACTACAGTTATCTTTTGGACATTCCTCCCGAGGCAGAGGAATCGCTTCGACGACTGTCCTTGGTGCTTCTCATGATGCTTAGCCAGCCGTTCGGCGACCTTGGCACCAAGGAGGCGGCGGAGCGCGACCTCAAGGGGCCCTGGCTAGCATATCCCTCGAGATATGAATACCCGCAGTTGGCAAGTCGTGTGGACTGGGACCTGGGCAGTAGGACTTTGTTCTCGTGGGATATGAGCGGGCTGAACGTTCCGCCGTTGGACGTGACGGCGGCGGCGGTGCCCGTGCCGGGACAGTCCGGTTCGGCGCAAGATGCACCCCGTCTCGGCCTCTTGGACGGCCAGGCTCGAGGGACTTTTCTCGGCAGCTCGGAACCGAGCGGATGGGCGTCGGCGGCGAGCCTGACGAACCCCGTGACGAACCAGGACGACGTGTTGCGGGAATAGATGGAGAGATTGGGGCGGCGGCCGAAATTGTCGATATCGTCAGCATCAAGTGGTATCCAGTTTTTGAGCAAGCAAGTCAAAGTGACCAATTTGTAAGAGCAAAATAACAACAATAACAAAAAAAGAATGATGGAGAAGAAATCCCCCAGAAGCACTCTTTCCGACCAATGCTACCGCTCTTATCTGTCCCGTCGTATCGATAAGCAAGACGGTGTAACGGCGGGACCCGGAAACCCCCCGCGTCCAAGTTCACAGCCACGTAACTGCCAACGTCGGAAGCTGAGCCAAAGCGAGAAATTTCTACAATCATCGTCAACTGATTGCCGCGACACATTGCTCACCCAGCTCCTCAGGTGAAGTTTCCGCAGCCGCCGCCAACATAGTCGGTCAAAGAAGACGCCATCGCCACCGCGCCGGCCCAGGCTTCCGGCTCCCGCGCTGGCTCCGTCGCAAGATGGGCCTCGAGGAGTCGACCCTCGTCCAGGATGCCGTCGAGCCCAAGTGTCTCAAGGAGAGGTCGCTGGCAGCAGTGGCAAGCTACCTGAATGACGGCAGGGGGAAGAAGGTCGTCGTCCTGACAGGCGCGGGCATCTCTACCGCCGCCGGAAGTACGTAACCTGACCTCACCGCTTGCTCACCACCACCAGAAATCCCGTGTGTGCGTGGGCGTGTGTGTGCGTGCGCGCGCGCGCCTATACCACATGTACATATATCTTATACACATCCCAAGTCCTCTAACTACTCGGCACGCTCCTGCAGTCCCCGACTTCCGCTCCCCCAAGACCGGACTCTACAACAACCTGGCGCGGCTCAACCTCCCCTACGCCGAGGCCGTCTTCGACATATCCTACTTCCGCTCGCACCCGGAGCCCTTCTACGTGCTCGCGCAGGAGCTGTACCCGGGCAAGTTCCACCCCACCGTGTCACACTCCTTCATCAAGCTCCTCGACACAAAGGGCCTGCTGCACATGCTCTTCACCCAGAACATAGACTGCCTCGAGCGCCGGGTCGGCGTGCCCGCGGACAAGATTGTCGAGGCGCACGGGAGCTTCGCCACCCAGCGGTGCATCGAGTGCAAGGCGCCCTTCCCCGAGCGCCTCATGGCGGAGCACGTATCCGCGGCCCGGGTGCCGCGGTGCCGGGAGCGCGGCTGCACGGGCACGGTCAAGCCGGACATCGTCTTCTTCGGGGAGATGCTGCCCCCCGCGTTTGCCAACAACGCGAGGCAGGCCGCGGCGGCGGACGTGCTCCTGGTCCTGGGGACCAGCCTCACGGTGCATCCCTTTGCGGCGCTGCCCGAGCTCGCCGCCGAGGGGACCCCGAGGGTGCTGTTCAACATGGAGAGGGTCGGGCGCCTGGGCTGCAGGCCGGATGACGTCTTGGAGCTGGGGCCCTGCGACGAGGGCATCCGCAAGCTGGCGGACGAGCTGGGGTGGAGGGACGAGCTGGAGGCGTGCTGGAGGGACGTGGTTGGCCACGACGAGGCAGACCGGCAGCTGGGGCGCGCGGGACGCCGCCATCGCGACATCGAGGACGAGGTGCAGAGGTTGACGGCCGGCGTGGACGAGGCCTTGAGGCTGCACGCGAGCGAGGAGGACGAGGCCGGGCCGTCGACGGAGCGCGCACACGAGGAGGCCCAGACGGCGAGCGGGGAGGAACACGGGCCGACGCATGCATCGTCAGAGGAGTCCGTGGCGAAGGCGGAACCACTCGACGAGACTCCCGAGGCGACTGTTGCCGTGGGGGGTGTTGCCAGTGAAGTGGCTGAGCCAGCGTGCTCTGAAAGGCTCGTCGAAGAAGGAAAGGAGGGTGAAAAGTCATTGCTTTAGAGCCGTGATGGCTCACCTTTTTTTTTTTTCGTTTTTTGCCATCTTTTTTTGGGGTCACGACTGAGTCATGTCGAGGTTTCTTGCATATAGAGGCGTCACGCGTTGTCTAACTTATATACACATTTCGAGCAGTCGATGTGGGACAGAGGGAAGACTTGAAAATTTTTGTCAAAAGAATCAATAAACACACAAGTCTCACTGGCTATACAAACCGATCGTATGTACGGTGTGTCAAATGACGGCAAGTTCGGGAGTCCCCCTTTGACTGTCCTTTACAACCCACTATCTATCTGATCCGGGATGTTGGTGTTGGTCCACTCCCCCCATTGCCGACACGTCTCGGCAACAACATGCGGCATCGTCTGCTGATACCTGGATACCTGGTCGGGGCTGGTGAGGAACTGCGCAAAGAAGCCGGCCGACGCATGCCACGCGATGTGGCAGTGAAACGGTCAGACGCCTACCCGCAACCTGTCAGCAAAGCTCTCGCACGGGACCCATCTCCCTGAGAGGGGGACGGTGTGACGGCACATGCCTGGGTTATCTGTGGCATCAAACTGAATGAGCAAGTGTCCGTGCTGCCTGAGCTGCACCACGTCTCGCCGCTGCGGGTTGTCCCTGTTGATGATGGTGCCGTCCCATTTCCCCTCGCCCTCGTGGAGGACGTACATGTCGAAGCCGTGCAGATGCATCGGGTGCGTAGGGATCGCGTCAACAAACCGCCCCGAGCGAGTGCAGGGGGACGACGGCAGGACTTACGCAACGGGCGTGCGGTTGATGACGTGGACCCTCACGCTCTTTGCGCCCCGGGTGTCCTTTTGACGAGGACGTCTGTCCGCTGCCCGATGCCCAGCGTCACCACTTTGGTGTCGTAGGGCTCCACGGACACAAAGTCGTTGGCGATGACGGTCATGGTAATGGTGAAGCGTTGCAGCGCCTCGCAGCCAGAGTTGATGAGGCGCAGCCGGTGGGTTCTGCCGCGCTTGAATCGGAACGTTGCCAGCCCGGCGATGCTGCTGCACGGGGTCTTGTCGTCGGCCGGGAGCTTGGTACAGTCAAAGTTTGCCTTTCCATTGATCAGGCTGGTGTCCGATTTGAATGGCCCGCCGTCTGGTTTCATCGTCTCCTCTACCAAAGTGAAGTAATCCTTGTGGTACCAGTCCGAGAGCATAATGGACCAACGTCCACGTCGGACTTCCTCGTTCGAGGTTCGTATATGACTATTGGCCCGACGATGCCGCCTGCGTACTGCGCAGAGTAGTGTGAGTGGTACCACGTCGTGCCGTACAACTCGGCCTCGAAGGAATACGTGAAGCTTTTACCCGGGGCAATGGGGCACTGGGTTACACCGGGGACGCCCTTCCCAGGGCTTGCCGTGGTGCAGGAAGCCGTGCCAGTGCAGGGCAACGCCCTCTTCCGCGTCGGAGATGTTGTTGTGAACCGTGACTTGGATGGTGTCGCCCCAGTTGGCTCCTATGGGGGGACCGGGGGATGCGCCTTTGACGAGCAGGGCGTCACGCTGGTATCCGTCTGGTGCGATGAGGCCGCGGCTGATGGTGAAGTCATATGATCGTATGACGCCAGTACGGGGGAAGTTCTCGTATAGTCTGTTGTGAGGTTGAGCCGACTCCAAGGCTGTCCGTTGGGCAGGGGATTGTTATCCAGAAACATGGGCAGCAGATGTGCGAGTGCTGTTCCCAGAACCGATTTGCTGTGACATGATGAGCTTACTGTTCTCGAGAGCAATCATCGATTTTCTGCACGTGATTCGAAATACCCATTCGTTCTGGTTTGTATCGGCTTTTCTCCAACCTTGACTGCGGAATAGGTCGATGCATCTCGTTTACTGAACGTTATGCCCCTGACTGAAGCGAGCAAGTTCTCCTAGGCTGTGGCCCTGACGTAGACTCAAAGCAAGCGAAAAGGAGGAAGACGCGACAACGGCCGTAGGGTTCGAAGCAATATACTCGTTCGACATAATGAGCGCTTGAGCGTATCTATAGGAGACCCGGACCTACGAGGAAGCAGAGGAGAAGCTCCACGATTCCATCTGCGTTCCGAGTTCCGACTCGAGAGAATCACGGTACGGTGAGTCGGTGACAGTATTGAAAACGACAAATGCGAAAGTGCATGCATACTGGCATTTCGAGATTCCCCCATCCTCGAGATGAATTGCCGAGCACTCCGTGGAGAGGTGAACGGAAGCATGCTGTCAATGAGAAGCAGAGAGGACGTCGAAGCGGCAAGCAGCTCTTGGCCCCACAATAGAGGAGTGGGGTTTAGCTTGACTCTCGCGAATGCATGATTGGCTGTGCCGAATAAGCAAGTCTTGTGTGGCTGTCCTAACTTGACGATTTATCTTGTAACCTACGTATTCTCTTAGCCAGACCAGACATATTTATTGATTGATTTTATTTTTTTGGCTTGTCTTCAACTTTGCGGGGTCTCCTGGCTGTGGGTTGCTCATTGCAATCTCAAGGTCTCAGATATTTGCCCAAACGTTTGTTCTTGCAACCCTTGAACGGAACGGTCGTGACTCGTTGACTACGTACGTATTATGTATGCTGTCCTGCGCGGCAGCAAACGCGCCGACGCTCTCGAGATAAAAATAATTTGTATACATGAAAAATTGGCGCCTGAGTATTCACTGCTGCACGGTATGTGTGCGAATACCAATATCCTGCTGCTGCTGCTGCTGCCCTACCGCCGGAGCCAGCCGCCGTCTCGGGCGCACGGCACAAGGGAGGATATTCTGGCAACACAATTGGTGTCCCTGGCTGGTTTTGCTTCTTGTTCTGTACGAGCCGACGGCAGACCTCGGTCCAACGCAGTTTCGGTCGTATTCTTCAGAGCTACAGATTCGGCCTTGCGTCGAGCGAGGCGTGGTTGAAGTCGGATAGCCAGCGCCGATGACACTAGCATGCATCAGCAAATGGCCTTGGCGTCGCTCGAAGAGTACGGATCATTCGGTGAGACCCCATCTTCAAAGGCAAGGACGGCATAGCTGCTTCGTTGCCATGTGTAAGTCAGAGCGTCGGCCGAGGAAACGGCTCACGATCAAGGCTATTGAATATAGTGTACGGAACTAGACAGCTCTGATAATGTAAAGTGCCGTTAGCAATCACGTCCGGACAAGCATTGACGACACTAGAAATCTCCCTATTTGACCTATTCATAATTCCGCCATGTCACGGTCATGGAGCACGGCTATGATTAATCTCGGTTCGGCTCAGTCGCAAATCAGGGAAACAATCAACCGACACGACTTGTAACCGCAAGTAGGACAGTCATGTGGGACTCGGCCGGGAGTGGGTGTTTTAAAACCTTCGTGAACCACCTCGTAGACTCCATTCGCTTGCAGTAGGAATTGTCATTCTTCAACCTTCACAAGCAGCTTCCCTGTTCTAGATATTGTAGGCATGAATCATGTTACATGTGTATATGTTACAAGAGGTCTTGTCGGAGAGGCGCTCCATACGTCCATCTCTAGCCACTCAAGGGGGTTATATTGTTTTCTCGGAGTAGGTTTGTAATCAAGGAGAATTTCGCCATGCTGGATATGCCATGTTTACTATCGGTCTTCTTTGCGCCCGCATGTATAGTTCGTGCATTTTGGGGTCGGCGTCTGATCGAATGACAGAACCGATCGACATGAAGAAGCTGCAAAAGGCTGATTAGTTATTTCCGCGTAGACTGAGAAACAAGGGAGCGCCTATCATACCCGAACGTAGTGCCAGAAACAAGCATGTACTGTCCCAGTGTCCTCATGATACCTTGTGTACCAGCGCCATACCGGAAGATGTTTACAGTTCCTGTCATGTTGTTAGATGTCTACCAAACCATGGAACCGGATTGTCATTCAAACCAAAAATGAAGCCCATGATGGTTCCGACAGCTATGCTTTGGTCAGCGCAAGCAATAAGACGCGACAAGTCCTTCGTTTGACATACTACCACCCATCATGGCACCCATTTTGACTAGACACCATGTTGTTAGCCATTTTGATCTCCTACTTGCTGTACACGTGATGCAATCATACGCTTGTCAAAGTTGGACGCGCCATGCTGGCTGCCAGTGGGGACTGCTGCGACAGGAGGCATATTGTTTCTTGGTGAGGTTGCTCGCTCGTCCGTAAGGTCGGGACTCCCTTGAAACAAGACCGGAGTCAACTCAATCTTGAACTACAATCCCATTCCCTGGTGAAGACGACCCACTGATGAAGCTCCCATCAGCCAAGCACATGATTCGAGGGTTGCCTTGTGGGTCGGATGAATATTACTCCGCTTGTCGGGCAATTCGCCCCTCACAGTCTTGATTTCTAAGTGGAGTAAACTGTTTGTACTGTATTTTTCATCACGTGAACCATGATCATGAGCCGGCGACTGGGTCTAATGTTACAAGTCATGAGAGAATTATGCCCGTTGGACTGGTGCCAGTAAACCGAAAGGCATCGCGGACGCCGTACACGATATCCTGACTGTTTGTGTTGGGCCTTGAGCGGTGGTCGATCGCGCGCCGTGCTGCACTGCACTGTATGTGGCTCCAAACCCTCGCTCCGGCTTGGACAGTTGGACACGCAGAGAGCACACCCAAACAGACCCAGCAGTTGGTGACCACAGAACGGGGGCAACGCCAGATTCCCATATCTTCCCCTTCAGCTCTCTCCACACCAGCGTTCTTGTGACAAACGCGCCTGATCCCATCGCCAGTATTCCAAGCTTTTTCTTTTGGTAGGTCAAGTCCGGCCATTTCCCCCGACGTGGCCGACCGGCAGTCGCTCTTTCGCGTTGCTTTGTCGGGGGGCTGCCAATGGTGGCACACCTCGTATCTGAGTCTATTCTTCGTGCTAACGAAATCTCGGCATCTCAGAATCATCCACCTTGGGGCTTCCATTGGCGTTCAAGGGAGTCGGTCATTGCTCAAGCATCACTTCTGTTCCCGAGAGGTTCGAGTCGTAGCTTCGTGTCCTCCCAAGCGCGTTGGACAGGTGCAAAGTCGACGAAATACGCATCCCCGGTTTTCTTCCGCAACAGTCATCACGCCCTCCGCAGTGTGCCCGCCCCCTTTCGCGACAAGATACGCTTGAGCCTTCCTCATGACCGCAGTAGCCAGCCCTCCGACCTTCCCTCAGATTTCTCGACCAGCATGGGGCGCTATTAGCGGCAGCAACCCGATGGACCCCGACGAAGTGAGAGGCATGTTCGCACCGCGGAAGTCTCTCTCGAGGACAAACTCTGCTTCATCATTGTCCTCCAACGCATCAAACACATCTGTTGCCACAAATGGTTCACAGTCAAATGGCACTTCGCTGTCCGCTGCTTCCGATCTGAGTCAGTGGTCTGCAACAGCCGGTCCTCGAAAGCGACCGCAACCGAAGGCGTGGCCACCTAGCAAACCCGACGTACAACCGGACTACTCGAGACTTCCCGCCAGCCGACCCAACAGCATGGCTGCACATCACAATGGAATTCAGCCGGGATCAGGCCAAAGTCAATTGATGCAGCAGCAACAGATGATGCGCGGCCCGATCGGCGCGGAGCAATACCCCCCGGGCCAACCAGTCCTTTATCTCCTGTCACTGAACGGCACATTCGAGAGAAAAACCATAGCTGTTCCCTTTGCACCGGACACCTTAAGAATTGGCCGGCAGACAAATCAAAAAACTATCCCTACTTCTACCAATGGCTTTTTCGACAGCAAGGTTCTATCAAGACAGCATGCTGAAATATACGCGGAGCGAAATGGCAAGATATACATTCGAGACGTCAAATCCTCAAACGGTACTTTTGTGAACGGCACGCGGCTGTCACAGGAGAATCGCGAATCAGAGCCCCATGAACTCCAGACGGCCGATCATTTGGAGCTAGGCATTGATATCGTGAGCGAGGATCAAAAGACGGTGGTACATCACAAAGTTGCTGCAAAGGTCGAGCATGCCGGATTCTTGAGCAATACTAACAATGTCTTGGACATGAACTTTGGCGACTTGGACCCGGCCAACGGCACAATGATGATTCCTAATGGGCCTCTTCAGATGCGCGGTCGAGCAAACGTCAACGCCCTGATGCCTAACACGGGTGGTCGAATGTTGAATAACGGCGGCATGAACAATCAAGGAAACGGAATGGTTCCGCAACGAACCTTCTTCCCGGCGCCGATTGCAACGGATCAAATATTGAAACGACTAACGGTATGTTGAACGTCTATTTAGAAACTCAAATCTTTCATGCTATTGCGCACTAGCTTACTATTCTTGAAAAGGCCGAAGTGAGAAATGCTCAGCTGCAGGGCCAGGACCTCAGCCGAACCAACCAATTCGTGAAGACTCTGCTCACGAAAGACGATGTTAAGGACCTGGAGAAACCCGAAGCGCCCGAACCGGCCAAGCAGCAGCAGCAGCCGCAACCTCCAGTGAATGGCGGCATTCTTTTCCGGCCTGATGCCAAGACTCGCTTCTCGGAACCGCCCGCACCTCCACCACAGCAGCCACTACCTGAGAAGCCAGATGTACCCTCATTGAAACGAGGGCCAACCGAGAGACCAAAGCCTGGTCCTCCAAACTCCGCCGTGGTGCGACAGGAGAACTTGAATCAGATTATACAGCTCACAGAGGCATTGAACAATGCAAAGCGAGACATGGATACCCAAATAGCGCGGATGCGAGAACTAGAGGAGATGCTCCAGAAAGAAAGAGAGGCTCGCGAGCTTGCCGAGGATCTCGCGAATCGGCTCGAGGCGTCTGCAAATTCACAGTTGAACGGTTTCGTCGTAGCCCCTACTGATGTGGCCGTGACGGATGTTTCCGAGGCGGCTCAAGATCAGGTTACCGAGAAATCAGAGGATCCACCGCCGATCCCGGAAGAATCAGAGTCACGAAAGGACGAGACGGCCGTCAGTGAGGTGGTAGCTTCTCTGCAGTCTCGAATTGACAACATGGACGAGCAGATGAAAGATATGCGAGGGCAGGTCGAGCAGTGGAAGCATCGATGCGAGTCCGCCGAGTCTGAGAGGGATGAGAGCCGAAAATCACTGGCCGAGATGGTCTGCCAGCTCCGTGCAGAGGAAGCCAAGCGCTCTGCTGCCGAGGAGAGACGCCGCTCGAGATCAAAATCAAGGGTAGTCGAGTCCAGGGCAGATGTGACGGAGCAGACATCTCCGGTTAGGACGCGTGGGAGTCCAGAAACCCCCGACCAGGTGAATTGTCCTACCGATACACACAAGGCAGACATGGAGGATGGACCAGCCCTGTCAAGAGCAAACACAATCACACCACTGTCTTCACAAAGAGTACTTGCATCACGGGACCAGTCATTACAGGCCGGGTTGCCATATGCGTCTATGATAGGTGTGGTGCTGATTGGGATGGGTTTGATGGCGTACATTAACGGCTGGCAGTCTCCGCCTCCAAGGATAGAGCGATGATGGGGCCACACACGACATGCTTGAAGACGATGTTGAGATATACACTACATTCGAAACCATGACCTCTGCATATGCCGCAAAAAAGATAATGCTCGTTATCACTTTAATTTCCATGGGCACAGGAACCATTTCAGTCTTGTTCGGCGAAGCGTACAACAACACTGTCATAATAGCCTTTTACTGAGATAACGACATGAGAAGATGATGACCATAACAGGATTGACCATACCCTCTTTCCCTTTGTACATTTTTTTTGCCCCCCCCCCCCTTTTTTTTTTGGTTGTACCAAATCGAATGCAGACAACCGGGCCAGGGCTCCGGGTTAGGTGCCGTATGATACACGCAAGTAGTCTTGCATTTGCGCAGGACGAACAGGGCAGGCGTTCATTTTTTTTTTTTGACGTTTTGTATGTGGGAAACTGTCAGGGTGCGTGCGGCGGACTTGGACTTGTTGATGTGTGGACTGGTATTGGGTGTAGGCACTCGTGGGATGTTGTAATTCATTTTGCATAGTCAGCGTCATGGGTTAGCGTCCCAATCGTCATGAAGACCTGGTTACAAAGCAATGGTTTTTATTTGATGCCACGGCCAGAGTGACTTGCTGACGCTCCTAGGGGCTTTGCAACCGCAGAGAGAGGTAGGTGACTGGCGACGGTTTACAGAACAGTTCTCATGCTTGTGCTCTGGACGGGGCGGAGGTTGAATTCTTTTGCAGGTTCTCTTTTGAAGTGTAGTTTAATCGGCAAAGAGGAAGCTTCAACTGTTGCTCCGAGCGCAGGGTAGATATCAAGACTTTGTCGATCCAATATCGCTGCTGCTGCTGTGTTGACAATACGGAATTTTGATCCTACGATTTTCCTGTTTTGGTTGTGAGAGAATCACGGATGATGAAAACATCCATCTCCATCACGTATCGCGGCCGAAGGTATGGAATCTCGTCTATATTCTGGCCTCTCGTCGTCTGTCCTTGTGCCCGTTGGGTGGTGATGGCTTATGACTGGTAGACGGCTGATTTGCCTCAGGGTAGCTTGGGCGGTTGGTGCACAGACCAGGCGAAACTGTGGGGTCCCATCAGCGTCCTCTACGACGACCCAACGACGACGACAAGTTCCCACATCGCGGTCGGCGACAAGCCTCGCGCAGCCAACAACGACACTGCTCGACTGCTGTGCCGGGAAGCATTACATATAGGCCAGCCAAGCGCCAGCGATACCCCGATTCGACAGCCGCCACAAAGAGCGCCGGCAGACCGCGATGCCAACGTTCCAGAGCAACAGGTTCCGGGGGGCAGGCGACGCCAGCAAGGTGGGCTCGCAGTACCGCCGTCTCATGAACAAGCACCCCTTCGTCATGTTCGGCTTGCCGTTCATTGCCGTCGTCGTCGCGGGCTCGTTTGTCCTGACTCCCGCGACGGCCGTCCGGTACGAGCGACACGACCGCAAGGTCCGGCAGATGACGAGGGAGGAGGAGCTCGGCGTGAGGCGGGCAGCGCGCAGGGTGGACATGAAGGAGGAGTACTACGTAAGTCTGACACTGTCTACGCGGGGCAGGCCTGGGCCCGTCACTCCACGACTCCCAGAGAGGAGAGGGAGGGGATGGGCCGGGCATGCCAAGGCCCCGACGCCCGAGACGTTTGGGTGGTTTTGGATAGTCGACGGGACTGTGGCTAATGCGAATGGATATGCGTCAAAACTATAGCGCCTGGCAGGACGGGATCTCGATGACTGGGAGCAGAAGCGCGTCGAGCGGCTGCCCGGCGAGAACGACGGCATTCTGTGATGCACCCAGCTTGGCGATTGCGCGTCGCCGGAGCCACGGCGTCGGGGCATCGGGTACTGTTGATGGACTCCCCTCTCGGGGGCCGTGGCGATGCCAGCTGCGAGACGGACATGACGAAAGGACGGTGGAAGACGTCATTGTGAGGGACGATTACAATGAGGATTTCCGTCCGTTGCCCTGCCGTGCCGTGCTGGACGTTGGGCGGCTTTTACGAATTGGCAAGGGGGAATTGACTTGGGTGAGATCGCCCTCCACCAGAGTCCTTTTTCAACAGAGTTGGATGGGACAAGGGGCAACCTGCGGAGGGGAACTTTGCGGCGCGCTGGTGGCTGTCGGTGCTGAAATGGAATGTACGTGACACGTTCGAATCTCGGTCGAGGGGCAGCCAAGGAACTAGGAACCTGCGTTGCAAAAGTACGTTGCCATTGAGCGTGATGTGATGATTGATGGTGGCTTTTGCACACCAACCAGGGGTGCCGGGCGGGCAGCAGGATATCATGTATATCGGCTGGCTCGGCTGGCTCGGCTGGCTGGGGCAGTTGTTTCGAGTAGTAGACACGTGCATTGCAGGCATAAAGATGCGTGGTCTGAGACTCTGAGCAATATGCGCCGGGGAATGAAACGGGGGAGGCTTTTGATGACGTCGACACGTCGAGGCATCCATCCCTTGCTCGCGGCACCAGCAAAGGTCGGGGAAATCGGACAGCGGTCAAGCTGGCACTAGATACGTTACTGACTGGGTAGTCTACCGCACTGCACATTGCACATGCGAGCTTTTCTTTTCCAACGGGAGCGCCGGGAGGCCATTCGAGGGCACGGCCTGCATGCATGGGCTTACCACACGACCAGTAACTATCTAGCATTCAATGGAGCTTGACGTATCTGTTCATTCACACGACCTTGACAAGTCATTTTTGCAACTTGCTACATTCGACCAACACGGTGGGTATAGTCGGCTCGGAACTTGGATGGTGTCTTGCAAGAGGGCACAGCAGGCAGGGGACGAGACGAAGGATGAAACAGATCGACAAATGCCACTCAGGACCTGCGGTGGCAAAATGCAACCGCACCGATCAAGGTCTAAGGCGCAGCAGCACCACCGGCGGCCATGACGCAAAATGCACGGATTCGACGCGTGTACTTGGCTCGGCATCTCGGCGCCGGGTGGAGAGTAGAGGAGAGGATAAAGGAAAGAAGATTTAAAACCTTGCTGGACAAGACGCTCACTACGGCCGGCTGATGGGTGCGCAGCAGCGGACCGCGGATGGGATGGCGGTATTAGGTTCGCCGTTGTGGTTGTGGTTCGAACTTGGAACAAGCGCGAGCGACGGACGTTCAGACCGTGTCACATGACCTGCCATGACACCGGCGCGATGACGCAGTGTGCGGATCTGAAGGCCAATGAGAGGCGAGGAGGGCGTCTCGGCTCGACAATCAAGGTACGTACACTATAGAGTACGTGCTGAATTATTCCTCGGGAGAGGGTCCTGGAGTCTGGAGTGAGGGGGGCCCTGCGTCGGTCAGACTGACCCGAGGCTAGATGGAGAAACTATGAGATGATGGAACGGCCATGTAGGACGTGAATGGGCAGCCGCGCACGTTGGCTGGTGATGAGGCGTGAACATTGCCATTGCCGGGGAAGAGGAGAGGGGGGACCGTGGGGCTCGGGAGGACGGGCACGCAGACACTTGGCACTTTCGAATTTGCGCGTGTACAGAGTACGCAGCCCGGTAGGCTGGCGCGCACGGCGAGGCAAGGTCCCCGGGTACTCGCGTACTTGAGCACTCGCTACTTGCAAGTCAGTGGTGTTTGGCCGTGCGCGCCGTCGGATCTTGGGGACCTTGAGGACCTTGAGGACCTTGACCGCTCGCTCGTCGCCTCGATGCGCCGTATCTAGTATCGGGGCGCCGCCGCCATCGTTCCTCCGTGCCGCCATGGCGACTGGACTGGACTGGACTGGACTGGGCGGATCGACTTGACACAATCTCCCCGCCCCGTCGCCCGAGACTGCCGTTCCAAGTAAGCCGGATCTGCGGCGAGCGAAGCGGCCTCCATGACAATCAGCATCGTCGAGCGCCGTGCTGGACCTGGACGCCACAGGCACCAGTGACCACCACCACCCACCACCACATCCCGAAATCCACCGATCATCCGATCGATCCTACCCTGGACCACGGACGGCGAGGCGGCGACAAGGTTTTGTGTCTGATCTGGTGGCACCCGTCCAGCGCCGTGTTGGGGTTGGCGTATGTTGGGATTGGATTGATTATGTTTTCCCCCTCCTCGCCGTGAGCAATGTATTGACTGTGAGCCGGGGCGTTTTGACGGGTGTGGTGTGACTGACGTTTTTGTCCTCGGGCCGGTGCTTACATGCAATGCGGTACGTAGCAGAAAGCTTGGGTGCGTGCTCCGTACCTGCACCCTTCCTTGGGAACATACCAAGTACTTGGGCATGGAGGTGTCAATGTACCAGGCAACTCGTACCTCACGTGGCATCGAGCACGAACAAGAGCAAGAGCGCAAGCACGGGTTCGGATGGACCTGTCCACGCCCAATTGCTCCTGCTCAACTGGTCACGGTAATGTAAGTAAAGTGCATGCCCAGGTACCCGGGCGCCTAAATGCACACGCACCAGGCCCTCCCGCGAAGCAAAAGCAAAAGCACAGACAGGACGCACCGCCAGACAGACAGAGAGACTGACCGACGGACCTGGTCACCCGCAACTAAAAAAAAAGAAACAATCAGAAAATCAAAGAATCCTGACAAGTCATTTTAGCATCGCCGACCAGGTCCGTTTCCGCTGCGCGGGGACCCGGCGACGTGTCGTCGGGTGAGAGCTGCCTCGACGCGCAACCGCGTCTGTGCGCCACTAGCAGCCAGGCAAGAACGTGCATGTCACTGGCGGTACTCCGTAGGGATTGGGGGGTGGCGGAGGATCCTTGCCCCGGTATGATTTTGCTTGATTGAAACAAGATGACACATGAAGAAACAATCAATACGCTGCGACTCTGCTCTTTGCTCCTGCAATGCAGTGCGACGCAACGCAGCCCAACGCGACGCAACGCAACCCAATGCTGCGAGAGAGAAGGCGCTGCAAGGGCCGAAAAGGCCAAGCCTTGTACTCCGTACTCCGTACGGAGTATAGCATGACGAATGATGTGAGCGGCGGGGTCATGTGCTGCGGGGAACAGAGGCGGCGCGTGTGATTGGCCGGTAGGGGCTGGACAGTGATTCCCAAACTTCAAACGGCGGATGCACATGCGGGCTCTTGCATCGCGGCGAGGGAGGCAGACGACCTGTTGTTCGTTGCATGTGGGTAAGTCGCCTGGTCAGCTGACGGTCGCGGGCTGCGTCACGTTGCTGGTGCTGGTGCTGGAACGGACTTGGCGCTCGTCTCTGATGGAATTTGCTGTCTTGCGGGAGCAGCTTGCCGTGGTGTACGCTGCTGCTGGGCCGCCTCGGATGAATAAAGATTGTGGCCTTTACGGTGGTCGCAATTGGCCGCGTGTTTCTCTCTCTCTCTCTTCCCTTCTCGTCTGGCTTCTGTTTTCTTTCTCTTGGCCGTCTTCCAAATCTTTTTCCTTAATTACTCCGTACATGCTATCAGACAGGGCCCCCCCCTGGTCGAATCTCCTCCTTCCTGTCTTCCCTCCTTCAGCCCCTCCAGTGCGGCGGCACTCCTCGGCCCGCCGCCGCATCCCACAGCATCGACGGAACATTGAACCAGATTGACCCTTGCAAAGCTGCAGGCATCCACGCCGTCGTCGTCTGGCGTCCCGGGAAATTGCTTGTCTCTGATGTCCCATTCCCATTCCCATTTCCGTCTCCATCTCCAACCCCGAGCGCCGGACGCGCCGGTCGTGCTGGCCACAAATACGCGGTGGAAAAAGAAAAGAGGAGAGCACCGGGGAAGAAGACGAAAAAGGAAACAAGGAAGAGAGAAAGAAGAAGGGCGTCTGCACCCAGGGTCCTGGGTCGTCTTTAGGGCAGACGCTATCGGCGGTGACGGTCGAAATGCCACTAGCGTGCCTGGTTGCGGTGCCGAGCGACTTCTTTATCACACTGCACCGTTTTTACCGGAGACGAGGGGCTTGCGTCGTCGTCGTCGAGGGCCCGATGGGATGGATGGATGGGGGTGCGCACAAGCACGAGACCGCTCTCTGGCTGGCAATAGTAATAGAGTACTATACTATGCTGCCAATGCTCGGCTCGTGCATTCTCGCCCGTTGCCGCGCGTACCCTGGTGACAGTCCCGATCCCAGATTCGGATCGACTAACCACTGCTCAGGGAACCAACCTACGTCCTCGGTACTCAAGGAACCTGGGCACTTGACGAGGCAGTTAGTTGGTGGTCCACCGTAGAAAGATAGTACGTGCCATTCTTCTGCTACCAGCACTAGCAGGAAAGCTTCTGCTCCATACTGTTCACATCCAAGACACGTTCTATTCTGCCCGGAGAAAGGAAGCCCAAAAAAGCAAAGTGCATTCCAGTCGCGATGCAGACAGAGTTCAGCCCCGTCTGATGCTGACGCCGGCCGCAACAGCTAGCAGCGCTACGTCAAGTACGCCTCGCCGCTCGGTGACGTGACATGGCGACCAGACAGACCACTGAGACCAGGCACCGCGAGCCGACTAGCACCAGGTACCGGCCAGCGCGCCAGCGTGCCAGAGCATCGTCGAGTTAAGCAGCGACCGCGCTCCCAGGCACCTCAGACGATCGATTAGAGTTCGCCTGGCTTGGCGGGCGTCGTCGACACTGCTGCGTCCGATGTCGGGTCAACTGGTAGGAGCAGCCCCGGAGCGTCGGATCGTGGGTTCCGGCCTCAGGCACCATCACGCACACTCGCCAATTTTCCCCATCGCCACATGCAACCCGTCGATGGAACTCTGTGTGGCGGCGCTGTGGCCGAGAAGAGGCAAACACCCGAACGAGACAATCAACGCAAAGTCGAGGAAAGAGACTACGACGAACGAAAACAATTCAAATCCCCAGGCAAGGAAAGGAACATGCCACCTCTCTGGCTCCTCGCACACGGACCAATCAGCGACGGGGTCGTTTTCTATCTGGCCGTACGTACCTGAAGTACGTAGTACTATGCATGTGGTACTATGCATGTGCGTTCTTAAGTATCTAGGTACCTAGCTACTTAAGTATCTAGTATGAAGCATGTGTGTCAAAGTACTTGAGGCATGTACTCTGTACTGGCCATCCGGAAGGCTCCAGCTCCAGTTTTGTTGTTTCGTTGTTCACCTCCCCCCTTCCCAGGCTCCTACCTCCACCTTTCGCAGTGACAAACCCAAACCCCAGACAGACAGACCAAGAGGGAACAACGGACGGTAGCGACTCTCTCGCGTCGTGGCCCGTTTTGCCATTCATGCGCCCTCCCTTCTTCCCCTTCGTCCGTTGTCCCTCCTCCCTTGCCTTCGAATCCAACTTGCCATCTTCCCGAGGCGGCAGAGGACGGTGAGCGCAGAGAACAAAGTGGGCCGGGAGGGCGCGAGATGAAGTGTCGCAACATCTTGTCGACCTTGTCTTGAACGCACCAGGCACGGACAAAGGACGGGGTCCAAGTCAAAGCATGCACGCATCTCCTACATATCTGCAAACACGCACATACATGGCACATATAACTTACTCACACATATACCGAGTACACATTGTACAATGTAGCATCTATCTGGATTCTGGACTGGGTAGGCTGTACTTCCTCGCCGCCCGCCCTGATCGATCCGCAATGGCCTATGTTTTTCTTGTGGCAACCAAGTTTTCTCAAAGACGCGGCTATTCCTAAACCAGAGTGCATCTCCGGGCGAATCTTGGGCATCCTTTATGCGCACGTGCTTGGTACTCTGTAACTTTGACTCCCCAGAGCCTAGAAATCTAGAAACGGCGCCAGTCCCGCCGTAACTCAAGTGCCACGCCAGCGAGTGCCGCGCAAATTGCCTCGATACGGATATATACACGGTTCCTAGTCCCCCAACTTGGTCAACCTAGATGATCGCGGCACTGACTGGCGACGATTCCTTGTTCCGCGGTTGCTCAGACAAGAGGCGCGAACTCTGAAGAGGGGGGAACAGGACAGGACAGGACAGGACAAGACAGGATCCTATCCCGATTCCCGAACATCCCGCGTCGATGCAGCGAATACTAGTGGTGTCGTTTTAGACGCTGGGCGTCAATTGGTAGTGTCATCGATGATAAGCTAGGACTACTACGGAGTAGCGAGTGACAGCTGGGAGTGACTGGTGGCTCGACTTTTGGCTTTCGGGGCATGCCATACATACAACATACATGCATATATATGTGTATTAGAGTTTTTGCTTCCCCGCTTGACATGGACGGGCGCCGGCGGTGGGCATCGTCCGATGAGGCCATCTGTCGCACCCCAGCTCGTCTCTTGTCCGGGAAGTTGAAAAGAAAGAGAGTGCTCCGCAGGGCGTCGTGGTACGTGCTGTATCAGCTGGAAAATTAAAACTGAAAATGTAATGTAATGAAATGGAATGAGATGGAAGATTGCAATCAAATACTTTTTTTTTTTTGGCGATAGATTTCGGGAAACAAGTTCGACGACCGCAGCCTGCTCGGCCTGTACCTGCGTTATTCAGTCGTGCCAAAACGAAACATTTCGGCAATCCAACAATAGCAACCGTAGCTATTGGATCCGAACGATGGCGCAGCGCCAAGCGAATTCCAGCAGGGGTGGTTGTTGACAAGCATCGCTGTCCTCAGTAACTGAGACGTCCGTTCTGTGTGGACTCTGGAGAGTTACGTCTTCGTCTGGTTGTCATTACCGCGACTACTCCCCACTGGTACTAGTGCGTACGTTCAGAAAACCAGGGACAGAACGCTCCCAATATTACGGCAACGACCGGGGGGGTGATGCAAAGCTCCGTCAGCCTAGCAAGGCCCATCTGTGGCCGTGGCCCTCGTTGGTGGGAGCGCGACCATCATACGAGGCGGATGACCTCAATCGGACAGGGGGTTGCTCGTTCACGGGCCACTTACGGAGTCGAGCATACCGCGAGGTGGTTCTTGGGGTTTCGTGAATTGTGACGGCCAGGACTCTGGATATTGCACGGCTGAGAAGGAGCTGAGCTTGGTGACGACTCACGAGGGCTGCCCCGATTCTGGATCACGGTCAGCTCCAGTCTGACTTGACCGTGACTGCACCGGCTGAGATGAAGAAGGGGGAAGAGAAGGAAAGGAGGGGAAGCGGAAGCGGAAGCGGAAGCAGAAGCAGAAGAAGACACACGAGGACAACCGCGATACCGTCCGGCTGTTGTGTGGGTTTTTGTTTTAACCTCGTAGATGATGTGAATTTCGTCTTGGTGGCTGCTGGTCTTGGCGCCTCGCACACGTCACCGGCTGCTCTGTCTTGTCTGTGTGTGCACTATGTTGCGTCGCTCGTCTTTGCACTCCCCTCTTCCGAGGAACTATTCCAACGACGCGAGCGGTCTGGTGTCAGATAGCATGAGACTTATTAACTGGTGCGGCCGAGGCGTCGATGGCGTCGCTGGTGGCGGAGCCGTGGCCTTGGACAGATGCCTGGGGCTGGGTTGCAGTCATCACGCCTCCACTCCACTGCCACTTGACTCTTTCGGGACGCATCGGACTGACCCACCTGGCCTTGCCTTGACTTGCCCCGGCCTGGCCTGGCCTTGCCTTGCTTGGTTGCCCATCATGTTGACGTACACACTACCTGCGTAGGTACTCGGTACCGAGCGCAGAACGGACGTACGTGCATTCGCATTGGGGCATCCACGGCATGCTAGGTACCCATGCTCATGCTCCATGTCACTTGGACTGTGATGGCAAGAGGACTTGATTCCATCCACACCATGTACGACAACTCCCGTACCTGCATGCGGCAAGTGCATTCTTATATATAGCAAAAGGCCCTCCTCCTCCTCCTGCATCGTGTCGACTTGATCTTCGCAAGGAGCCGGCCTCGCATTTTTCTTCTCCTGTCCCCCCCAGGCACCCGGCCGCAAAACATCTTTACCCCCGTCTTTGTATTAACGCGAGACGGAACAGAGTCAAGACCCAACCTGGACCATTCAGTCATTGTCTCCCGTGTCTCTCGCTTGTTGCTGTTGTCCGGCCGCCCTTGCGATTCATCTGACATCCATGGTGTCGGTCGCCCTATCAATATCCAAACCGAAGTCTCTATTATTTACCCAGCTTCGACGCAACCGACAAAGCCCAACACGTACATAACACACCTGGGTATATATTCATGTATCAGAGATACAACCTCTTCATCTCTGTCTACACTCCAACGACACCGTCCTCATAAAATATCTGGCCCGTCATGCACGTCCTCGGCAACATCGGCCATGGCTTCAGCCAAAGGCGAAAGACACACAAGCCCAAGGACCTGCACATCCGCAAGATTTCCTTGTCCGGAAGCTCCCTTTCGTCCGGCAGCTCATTCTCATCCTCGTCTTCCACAGCCACAATGCGAACATGCTCATCCGCCCGAACCCCAACGGGCCTCGACCCTCTCAGCTCACACCCAACCTTCAGTCCGCCTCCACGGCTACACGACAGGCCGCTCATCAGTCCTGAGCGATGCCATCATCACCAGCAAGTGTCGACCTTCTTGGACGACTCTACCGACGACGAGGTGGACGGAGACTACACCGTTGCCAAGGCGCTGCACTTGTCCCACCCCGCCGAGGCGACGACGATGCTGCCGCCGCCGCACCCGTTTACTCTGGGCGGCGACGACGCCTTGACATGGACGGAGCCGTCCAACCCGCTGGACTACTTTACGCTGCAGCCGGCCAGCAAACGCCCGCCCCTGCCGCGCTCGCGCTGGTCCGAGTCCACCATCCAGACGCTGGACCTCGACCTCGACCCCGAACTGGACCAGGACCTCTCCTCGGCAGACGACGACGTCGTCACGACACCCGACTCCGAGGTCCATGTTCCCCTGGAGACGGAGATTCCCAATTTTAGCCACAAGCGCAGCGTCTCTACACCCAAGCGGCCGCCCATGAGGTCGCTCGATAGCCTGGAGGACCTGATTAAACGAAGCGGATGGAAGAGACGGGGCGTCGTGTTTAACGAGAGCGATGCGGAAGAGGACATTTGACTTTTTTCTTCTCTTTCTCTTTTGTTCTTTTATCTTTTTTCTCATCTCCTTGGGGACACAATCCTTTTTCGAATTGGTTTTCATAGTGTCTAATCCATGGCAAGCCTGCATTTTTTTTTCCTTTTTTTTTCCTTTTTTTTTTCAGCATGGCGCTCGGGAAGGGGGATACCACGGACATTGAATGGGATTTGGGCAGGACTATCTATTCTACGAGAGCTACTGTATTTTTTTTTCACTTAATGTAAATCTATCCGCGGATGAATGAATACATCCCATGTTACCACTCCACTTACTTGCTTCTTCGTCTCATGCGTGTGTGCGTGTCAAGCCGCAAGGTGACGTCTCTCGACCGGACTCGACCCAACAACGGTCTTGCATGTCAAACCAACCAAGGCCCTGGAACATTTTTCCTTGAAGTTTTAATTTTCATATAGTAATGGCATTTCGGCAGCCGCGTCAAGTCATGCTCGCCCGGGTCCACCCAACTCGCCCACTCACCGCTCCGGTGAAGTCATGACGATGCGTGGATCGCATTAAAAAGAACCACAGCGTCGCTTTAATCCAGTCAGGGCCAAAAACCTTGTCCTCCCCCCCCCCTGCCGCTCTCATGCGACTTGGCCTCCCGGCCCCTACGCGCTGCGGTCCACTTCAATTTTCTGTCCTTTGCCAGGCCACCCCAGCCAGCTGGCTCTGGCGGGGCGGTAATCAAGGCACGTCACTTGGAGCATGGAGCATGGAGCATGGAGCAGAGCAGGCAAATGTCGGGCATTCCGGCAATACAATGGAGGGAGAACGGACATGGCGATGCGACCAGGCCAGGCCAGGCCAGACCAGACGAGACGAGACGAGACGAGACCAGACACAGACACCCATTTTGGAAACTTCAACGCCGGTCCGCGGGCCGATGGATATCGTCATGCTTGAGCACGCTTGAGCTGGTGCTTGAGCTGGACGGGGCTGAAACGTCATGGTCATTTTTTCCCCTTCCGCCTACTCTGTACTCTGTACTCTGTACCCTCTCTGCACCAGTCACGTACTGCTTCGACCGCCGGTCGTTCCGTGCAGGCGACAACGGCGACAGGTTGGACCCGGAATGCCAGCTTCAGCTGCGGCTTCAGCTTGTCTAGAGAGCTGAGGCGAGACGCAGGACGCAGGACGCAGGACGCAGATACGGACCGTGTATGTGCATATGTACTCCGTACATGGCGGTCTGATTTTTCTTGCCTGTTTCCTTTCTTCTTCCGCGACAGGGGCCGTCTGTACAGAGTACGCAGTACATACTACTAGTTACATAGTAGTTACTCGGCGGCGCGCCGCTGCAGGTTTGGCAGAGGAGGGAAGAAAAACGTGGCAAGCAGGCGAATGTGGTTGGGGGCTTGGGGGCCGGCGACGCTGGACGGACTGTCGGGTCTGGAGTCTGGAATGCGCAGCGCCCGTCGGCAGAGCGGCATGCCTGTTGAGGTCATGGATGGATGGATCACGGCTCGATTCGTCCAGATGTCACCGTCACAGCCCCGGCGTGATGTGGAATCGAGACGCGGGTGCCGCTTTCGGGTTCCCCGACGGTAAGGCTGAGGGCGAGGGGTGAGTGTGCGTACTCCGTCCCCGTGCCGTGTTCCTGGGACGTGCGTGGCATGGGAAGGGTAATACGAGGCGCGAAGCGGGGAGGGGGGGCGGCGGGAGCAGGCTGTGTCCCTCTCTCTTTCTTCATGATGTTCCTTCCGTTTTTGGGGTTTTTTTTTTCCTTTTCGGCCCCCCTCACGCACTGACTTGCCTTTTTTTTTTTTTTTTCATCAACGAGCTGCCTGACCGACGTCGGACGACTGACTATACTTGGCCTGCAGCTTGGGACCCGGGACGAGAGTCGGGGTTTTGTTGAGCCCTGCAGCGGGCGGGCTGCTCTCCCGTGGTTTTGTTTAGCCGGCGCCTGTTTCCCATCTTGTGTCAGACGGTCCGGTGATGGCGTCTGGCATTTTGGCTGTTTTGGGCTGGGCAGCTGATTTGAAACCCGGCTACGGCTTCATTACTAACGCAACGTCGTGCCAGCTGGTTGATTGGGCTGACGTGACGTGTCGTGACGTGTCGTCGTGTGCTACCAAGCGTCGTCTTTACTGTTCCTGGACTGCCCTCCCGCCTGCGTGTGCTTGAATGTAGTATTGAGTTCTTTGAAATGTCAATTGAAGTAGAATTGAAAACAAACACTCGCGAGCTGGCCACGTAAGCTGCAAGACAGAGAGAGTCGTGACACACCACATCCTTCAGTCTTTTCTTCTTGGTTTCGCAACTGCATGCAAGTGAAGGCATCGTGCCATCTCGACTTGCCCGCCGCAATCCCAATCCATCCTTCCGTCGACGCCGGCAACACGCAGCCACCATCTTACGTGGTGTTCTCTCGACGCCACGCCCGCCTCGTCAAAGTCATGAAACGCACCAACGCAAGACACTGCCTTGCTCTTCGGAGGATTCGCCGTCCCCGCAAATCCCCAAATGTCCTTATACGAGCTTGGCCACGGGCGCGCCGTGCTGTGGCTGTCAACAGTCCTGGTCGACCGCCCCAGTCCTTCCTCCACCCTCACCTCGCCCTCGCCCTCGCCCTCACCATGGTCACCACAACCTCCGCTGATAATATACGGGCGTGTCGGCCTGCGCTAGCCTCTGGATCTCGTCCTTGATGAGCTTCCTACGCTCTGCCCTCGTAATCGGACGGGCATTCTTGGCCAGCGGATCCGGATGCCTGACCCCCCACGTCTGCCCAGCAGCCCGCTGCTTGATCGTTTCCAGCATCGTCAACTGCGCTGGCGTCGCCTCCTTCTTTGGCCCCGAGCTCTGCGCCTCGCCTGGCGCACTGCCCTGCCGCTGCTCCGCCTGCCGTCTCACGTCGTCCCCGCGCCCCCTCGTCGTCCCCGTCTTGTCCTCTTGCAGCTCATACTTCTTAGCTATGCGCGCCTCCTCGTCCTTGTCCGCTGGGCTCTCCTGTACCTCCACCGTGCCGTCCTGCAGCCTAACCGTCTCCCGCCGGAAGTAGTCTGGCAGATGCGCCTTAGGCGACGGTCTCGAGTGTCCCGGACGAATCGCCGCCCGGAGGTCCTGTAGCGTGCGCTGCTGCAGCGCGTAGCCGCTGAGGAAGAGCGCGACGGAGAATAGAACAACTGTGGCATGCCGTTAGAATGGATCGTCATTGCCAAAACCGCACGTGCCGCTGGGCTGTTTGGAATGCGGCCTTGTTTGTGGGACTTTGTTGCGTACCGACGGTCAGGGACACGAGGGCCGACACCTCGGACGAAGTGAGGAGCGCCTTGCGCATTCTCCAAGTATCGACGTATCCGACGAACTCCCAAGGAAAAAAGAGAAAACGAAAGACCAGACCGATAATTCTGGCTCTCCAGCTTCTGTGTCTCCGTTCATGTGTGAAGCTTGCTTGCATCCCCTTGGGAGGTTGCTTATAGCGAGATACTGACCACGTCATGTCACGTCATGCATGCCGTTGGTGTTGGCACGGCAACTATCTTATCGCGACCCGCCTGCCCCAGCTGGCAAAACCACCACAGGCCACCATCACCAAGCACCGTGTCTCTCTCTCTCCCCCCCTTCCCCCCCTCCTCACTTGCTTTTTTTTCTTGTTTTTCGGGGGAGGATAGAGTGATGTTGCCCCCCCCCCGCCAGAGTCTTCGTCTTCCCCCAACTACGACACAGCCATGGCCCAAAGCGACACAGTGCAGGCCGACGCGCGCCGCTTCCTCGACGAGCGCGGTTCAACGGCGGCCCTCGCCCCCAACGGCCTCAACCCAGCGACTATTATGGAAAAGGCGGTCAAGGACCGCATCGTTGAGTCCTACTTCTACATGGAGCAGTGCTTCGCCCTCAACGAGGCCGACATTATCGACCGCGTCGTCGAGCACGTCCGCTTCGTTGGCGGCACCCACGGCGACGCCCAGAAGCCCAGCCCCTTCCTGTGCCTTGCCTTCAAGCTCCTCGAGCTGGCGCCCAGTGAGGCTATCCTGCGCGAGTACCTGTCCTACGGCGGCGAGCACTTCAAGTACCTCCGCGCCCTGGCCTGCTTCTACTACCGCCTCACGCGCAGGGCCGCCGACGTGCACCGCACGCTGGAGCCCTTCCTCGCCGACAGGCGCAAGCTCCGGCGCAAGGGGAGGCGCGGCACCACCCTGACCTACGTCGATGAATTTGTCGACGAGCTGCTGACCGGGGAGAGGGTTTGCGCCACGAGCCTGTGGAAGATGCCTGGCCGGGATGTCCTCGAGGACCTGGACGAGCTGGAGCCGAGGGTCAGCGCCATGGGCGACTTGGAGGACATTTTGGACGGCGACGACGACAGTCAGGTCCACGACGAGGGGGCCGAGGCCGCCTTGAGCTGATGACGGTTGCGAGATTCACAACGAGACGGGCAGTTGCGGTCACCGCTGGTGGACGGGCTGCCTGATGTGCCGAATCTGGGTCCACCGTGCGCATGTGCGCGTGTGTGCGTGCCAGACTGCCTGCGAGGGCGGTAGCCCAATCAATGTCTACGGGAGACGGGCATACTACTGGCTACCAGACTGCCTACATGTGTGCGGCCCTGGGGTCAACCAAGGTCGAAAGAGAATGGGGATATATTGTCACTCGGATTCTCCAGTAGCAGGGGGCTCAACAAACGCGGCTTAGTGGTGCCAGGTCCATACCGATGGGGACAGTGAGAAGCATCACTCTGCCTTTGCCTTGGCCCTTGTCAATGCTGCGCGTTTGGTCGTGTCTGCGATCAGTGTTGTAGGGGGGGCAGGGGCGCAGTAAACCTTGACATCCTCATGAAGATGATGTTGGATATGAAAGAAAGCGCAAGGGACATGTCATGAGATGATGTTAGATATATTAAAGAAAGCGCAAGGCGCTTGCTTGACGTCGTCTTGCCTGTCGGTGACACGCAAACGCCCCCATCTAAATCTATGCCACCAGCGCCTTCAATCTCTCGGCCATGGCCAACAGCCGCCTGTCATCCCAGTACTGCCCGACCAACTGGAGCCCCAGCGGCAGGCGGCTCTCCGGCACCCGCCACGGCACGCTGACGGCAGGCAGGCCGGCCAGGCTCGCGGGGACGGTGAAGAGATCCCCCATGTACGCATCCAGGCTGCTCTTTGCGAGCACGTCGTCCAAAGTCGGCGCGGGCGACGTGGCCGTCGGCGACAGCAGAAAGTCTACCTGCGGAGGACCCTGCTTGTCCTGCAGGGCAGTCCCGGCCGGCATGTCGCAGAGGTCGAATTGGGCCGCTGCGTACAGCGGGCAGCGGCGTCGAAACACCCTGTCGAAGTCGCGGCGGACCAGGCGGCGGACCTTTTGCGCCTGGATAAAGTAGTTGTCCATGGCGTCGGAGCTGAGGCTGTAGGTGCCCAGCAAGATGCGGCGCTTGACTTCGGGCCCGAAGCCGGCCCCCCGGGTCTCCGAGTACAGCGTGCCGCGGTCGGCGTCGCCGTGGTCTCCGCGCGCGCCGTAGCGCACGCCGTCGTACCGGGCGAGGTTGGAGGACGCCTCGGCCGGGGCGAGGACGTAGTACGCGCACAGGGCCTCCTTGGTTGACGGCAGGGACACGGGCACGACGTCGACGCCGGCGGAGCCGAGCGCCGTCGCGGCCTCAACCCAGGCCCTTCGCATCAGGGGGTCCAGCTCGGAGACGTTGTACTCGAGCGGGATGCCGACGGTGAGCCTGGACATGTCGTCCAGCGCGGGCGGGCACGCCCTCGCACACCGCTGCCTCGAGGCCGCGGACAGGGACGTCGGGTCGTTGGGGTCGTGCTCCCGGTCCAGCTCGCCTTGCACGAGGAGGTCGAGGATGGGCCTCACCTCCCTGGCCAGCATGCCCACCGTGTCGAGCGAGTTGGCGTAGGCGACGACGCCGTGGCGCGAAATCATGCCGTAGCTCGGCCGGTATCCCACGGCGCCCGTGTACGCGGCCGGCAGGCGGACCGAGCCGCCCGTGTCGGTTCCCAGGGCGATGTCCGCGTCGCCCAGCATGACGGCAACGGCACTGCCGCCCGAGCTGCCGCCGGCGGAGATGGGCTCGTCGGCAGAGAGGTGGTTGCTCACGGCGCCGTGCATGGAGTTTGTCGAGTGGGAGCCCATGCCGAACTCGTCCATGTTGGTCTTGCCCACGACGACGCCGCCCCGCGCACGCAGCTGCGTGACAATGGTGGCTTCGTAGGGAGACCTGTGGCCGCGGAGGATACGGGAGGCGCATTGTGTCGGGAACTCGGCCGTCGCGATGTTGTCCTTGACGGCGAGCCTGAAGGGCTTCGCGGCGCAGGGGAGCAGCGGCGGCGGCGGCGAGGCCGGCTGTATTCTTTCTGTCGTGTTTGACGGGCCACGTCAGCACTGGTCTCATGGGGATTGACGGGCGCCAACGCTGTCGGGGACACACACCGCTCTTCACAAAGTGATTGCAGCTTGTGCTCTGGAAGCGGCATCGCGCCGTGGGCTGCCGTGATGGCTCGAGCCGGGCAGTTCGGGCAGCTCTGCGAGATGCTCGCATTTGCATGTGCTCGCGGACAGCAGTCGAGCAGCGCGCACGAGCTGCCCTCATGACTGGCTTCGAAAGACCATCAATACGGGGATGGAGAAATCCGACGTCGAGCAATGGCAATGGATCGATGTGAAGATTGAAATATTGGGTCGCAGTCTTGGTGTGCAGCTACTGGAGTACTGGGGGTATCTTTAGTACGTATGTGCCTAGGTGCCTGAAGTACCTACCCAGATACGTGCCTACACCTAGGTACTTGAGTAAACAATCGGCACGGAAGTACTACGGAGTACGGAGTACTTGAGTACTTACTCAAATGGGCAGTTGTCAGTACTTACCAAGCAAGTAGGTACTTGAGTACTTTGCCGGCACGAGGCGTCCAACACAGAAACACACAAGTTCATCCATGATCCGCCAACTCTGCGCCTATTCCATCACCAATATTCACTTCGTCGCGGTGGCCTTCCTCCCCAAGGGGCACGTCTTTGCCCCGGAGCAGCATGGCTGCCAAACGCGAGCTCTCACACGTCTCGGGTGCCGACCAAGGCGAAACCTCAGAACCAGGCCCCAAGCGCGCAAAGAAACAAACCGGCGCCGTGCCGCGACACCAACACCAGAACTCGTCAATAGACCCAACCTGGGGTCAGAAATACGTCTTTTCAGGCTTGCAGGATGCCACCACCATCCCCTACGGCGAAGAGTCAGACTTCGAGGACGACGCTGACGCCATGGCCTATCTCCTGTCCGTCAGGTACGCTAGCTATGCTCGGGCATGGCCCTCCATGATCCTGTCCCATGCTTCTCGGGAACGTGTTTGCTGAATGTGTTGCTCGTATTCTGAATCACTTAGATACTGATACGGTGAGTACCGCAGAAGAGAGGCATACGACATTCCGCATTTGCTCGTCGCGCCCAAAGTTCCCATCGGGCCTCAGTTCCCGCCCGAGCTACAGCGAGACGAGCAAGACGAGCAAGACGAGCAAGACGAGCAAGAAGGCGAGGTCGATCGAACCATCTACCATGGTGGGACGGGCCACGACTCACGAGGATACTACGATGACGGAGCATACATTGCTCTGCCAGAAGAGGGAGGAGGAGACGACGACGACGACGACGACGACGACGACAGCCGCGCCAATGATGAAAGAGAGCTTCACCAAGTATATTTTTCTTCGGTAATGACCCAGTACGCCCGTCTTCGTCAGAGTCTACACTCCCCTCCGCCCCCAGACGCCGCCAAGAGGCTGTCTTCAACACATGCAACTTGCGCCGCGCCGCTTGGTCGCGATTCCACCACCAACCAAACGTGGGCAGGTATCGTGCGCAACACCGACCCCCATCCGGTGCAGTTGGCACTCATGTCCAAGGAAACCGTAATTCGCATCCTGCGCGTACTCATGGGGGGCACGTTCCTGCGGAGGGGCCACACTCTATCCGAACGAACGAGCCAATGGCTCTGGGGTCTGCTGGCACGACTACCAGACCGAGGGGAACTCAATCATGCCGAGATAGGCTGGGTGCGAGACCTCGGTCGGCGCGCAGTCCTCCTCAGCAGGAGTTTGGCCGAGATGGCGGCACTGCGGGAAGAACTAGCAGACGGGGAGCTGGGTGTGAACGAGGGTGTCGATGCAAGCAGCAGCGATGAGGGCGTGGTGGGGAGTGATGCCAACGACGTAGAGGGCGAAGACGGCACCGGCGAGATTGGCAGCCAGGCGGGTAGCTCAAACCAGGCGAGCGTCGCCAGGGAAGATGCAGGCGAGGCAGAGGCAGAGGCAGGGGCAGAGGCAAACTCAACTACAGACGGCGAGGCCACAGGCCAGGGAGATGAAGACGAGGAGGGCGAGATTCAAGAGTCGGAGGCTGGAGACGTAGCCATGGACCTCGACTCGGGCTCGGACAGCAACGCAGGCAACGCCGTCGATGGACATCTCGAGGCTGCCAAGCGCCAGTTACTGGCGCGCTTGGATGCCTCGGATGCAGACCACGAACTTGAAGCCCAGGAAGATGACGCCGCGCTGCGACTACGCATGAACATGCGCGCGACCATAAACATGGTACTAACTGTTGCCGGAGAGTTTTACGGCCAGCGAGACTTGTTGGAGTTTCGGGAACCGTTTGTGGGTATGTAAGCCTGACCGCATCGCCGTTTTCAATTCTAGCATGCTGTCTGCCATTACCCTTGGCGGTGACAAGTCTCGACAAGTTGAGACTGTGTACAGTACATGAACAATTCAAACACAATGCTCCCACCCTCCCCCGACTGGCAATACTTCTGCCTGTCCGCTGATGCGTCCTAAACTCCCCGTACTTGAAGCCCCCAAAGCCCGCGGCTGCCTCCTCCAAGATATTAATACAATACCGACTCGAGAAATGGGGCTCGTGACAGAGAAAGCCGAGGAAAAACAAACAGAGACTACCCTTTGGCTGTTGTCAAGATAAATCCATGTCTCGTTCGTCGCAGGAAACTAGAAAATCGGCCTCCCCAAAGTCCCCGTCCACTGCCATGTTCTCCTGACCCATGTCCTTGAGCGACGGGCGCTTCTTCAAACGGGTCCTGGGGACGGCCATGACTCTCGAATTCCCCCATTGCGAGGGCGCAAAGCTCCGCGGACTGACTTCATCGTCCCATCCTTTGGACGGCAGCGCCAACAGCGTCGGGCAGTCCGGCCGCTCGTCGTCGTTGTGTCCTCGCTTCCGCGACGGTTCCGGGGCATTGCTGTCCACGCTCTCTTGCGACATTGTCAGTCCCGGTACGTCGTCCAGCTCGGGCGCAGACTCGTCCTCGTCATCGCTGCGAAAGACGGGCTGCGAGTCGAGGCCGCCGACCTTGTTGATGCCGCAGAAGGGGAGGAGCTCTCTGGACGAGGCCCCCATCCTGGTTTTTGTCAAGGGTCCACACATCGCCGGCGGCTTGGTCTTGTCCGTCCACAGCTTGAATGCGCTCGTGCCGCTCGTCTTGTATCCTTCTGGGACCGACTTGCGCACCCGCATGCCGACGCTGAGCAGGTTGGACTGCACGCTGCTTGGGAGCCGAGGCTGGCGGGGGGGTTGCGGCTGCGGTGGCTCGTCGCCTGCCTCGCCGGGTGCCCTGCTTGCAAAGAAGGACGTGATTTGGCGCTGGGAAGGGTCTGCTGAAGAGCCTGCGAACTGGCGCTTGATTCGTGGCATCGACATCGTGGCGATCGTTGGATTAGCGGTCAATCAGAGTAATAAACCCTCCAGGAACGCCGCGGCGGCCTTTGTTGGGCGGACTCAGAGTCTTTTATAGCAGTCCGTGCAGGACAGGCGGAGAGCAAAGAAGCTGCCTGGCGACACGAGTCCAGGTTGCAGGTTTCGCAGCAGATGACGCGATCCGAGTCCGTGTGGTGGATTGCTATCGTCCCCCTTCCCCTTGTGGACAAGGTGCCTTATTTTTGCTGTTTCTTTCGGCAGTGCGTTTCAGTGATGCTGTCGGGGCGGTTTGTTACCTGGTCCATAGGAGACTGGTGGGCGAAAAAAACACCAGGGAGGAGGTTGGTTTCAACTTATTAACGGACAGATAGAAACAAAGCGTTGACTAGAGTGGAAGAGTGGAGAGTCTGTCAATGACTTGCAGTTTGCGCAACAAAGGACAAGGGAGGGTGATGGACAAAGGTCAATTGCTGAAGAGGCAGGTCTGGAGTTGAAGAAGGACGACGTTGGCGAAACGACCGCATTTGGCCTTGGGCCTTGGAAACCGGCAACCCCGTGGGTCTGGGCGAAAAAGGTGTGGGGCTCGAGGCGCGTGGAAGTCGCGATCATTTCGTGTAGTATACGGAGTGGGGTCCGGGGGAGACGACGTGTCGGGATTGGTCGGCTCGTTGCTGTGCATACGGTGTTTAGGGTAGCCATGGCACCACGGGCCAAAAGGCAGATGATGCGAATAGGAGCCGTCGTTCGTGCTGTTGCTTCCGGTTCACTGTTCGCACCCACGCAGAGAAGTCGAGGGCACTGGCCACATCGACGATGTTGTGCGAAACCAAACTTATAATGACAACTCCGGCTGATTGTCTACTAAACACCAGGTGAGTTCTACACTCATCAAACATGACGTACAGTAGTGGATGGATCGCAGGGTCACGCAGAGGCCGAAGCGTCCCCGTCAAGACTGGCAAAGATGACCGGCTCAAGGTCACCAATCCCACTGGCGTCATGTCGCAATGCCTCCTCATATCTACCTGCCTGTTGGTTGGGCTTCTTTTACAAGGGGAAATCATCAGTAGCGTAGTGACAAGTGGGTTGGGCGACTTGCGCCGTCAGTCATACAACACAGCACCCTTTCGTCTACGCACATGTGCACTCACGACCATGACAAGGAGATCCGCGGAAACCTTTTGAATTTTCGCAAGCACAGTGCCTAATCTCCACAGCTCCGAGCACTCGGGTATGAAGCGATCCTCAAACCAGCGGTCCCACGTCCTCATATCCAGTTGGCCATCCAGGCCACACCGGACACACGTGGAAAAGCTCTTCTCCAGCCATCCACCCCCAATGCAGTGCTTTTTGATTCCTGGTTCGAAGACGACTCTTTGGTACAAGGCGCGCGTAACGGAAAAAAAAGTGATGAATGACATGCCATGCAAGATATCCGGAGACCCCAAACGCCCCTGTTCTGGGTGGTTTCCATCTTCTATCTGCAAAAAGAAAAGAGGGTTGCTGATTATTTTTGTTCTCAAAGGCAGGAACGGACAACTTCGTCCATGCGCCTATTTGTCGGGAGTTGGTTTGCTTTTATTTTGCAGATGGAGATGTGATCACCATGAATGAACCGTAAGAGTCATGAGTACCCAAGGGAAGAAAACCGCCAGCGAGCAGTTTACTTTCTTCGGAAAGAGCAACCCTCGGTTAATCTGGCCTTGCCACCAGTAGGCTGGCACAGAACCGTAGTGCAGCCCTGGCAGATGACGACGGTCTGGGCGTGTGAGAAGACGGTCGTGATAGTGAAGCAACCGGGGCACTTGACGTCCATGAAGAAGGATCGGGGCGCCGGGACCAGAGTCTAATCAATTCTTTGTTAGAGTTCATCTTCCTGGTTGGTTGCGTGTGATTGGTTGGTGTCGTCATGTCGAAGGATCGAAGTGGTGGTTTGATTTTTTCTGTCGTCAGCGTACCTTGAGCTTGTGCTTCTTGGCCTCGGCGGCCGGCGAAGGGTTCAAAAGATCAACCGCGAGAACCTGCATCAATCTCTGTTAGCACAATTTGCCTTCCATTACATTTCATCTGTGGTGGATCAAGTCCTGGACATCCGCCGACAGCACTTCTCCATGGTGGCGATGGGCGTTGTCTATCGTGTCCATTCCTTTTGCCACCCTTTACGAAGCGCATGTCCATCAATTGCTGGCGCCGCAAGGGAAAATTTCGTCGCTCACCATCTTGACTGATTGACTCGTATGAGATTTGCCGTCGGGGTCTTGCGAGGTTCGGGATGTTTGACGAAATCTGGCGGCAGATTGGAGACTCGCAAGATGCGTAAGAGGTGTTAAGCGAAGCGAGGAAAAGTTCGGTGGACTTGAGGGGGAGAATCTCGGTTGCCAGTAGCTTTGACATTGCCCCAAGCGGATTAGCGTGATAGGGCTTTCTGGCCCAGCACCACGTGACAAAGATTCCAGATGCTCTGATTGGCGCAGCTGCCCACGCCCAAAACTTGCAACCAACGGACCCACAGGATTATGCAGCCCCAAAGAGTTCCCTTGTGCGACTTATGCCATTACTGGCTGGCAGCTCGTGGGGCCGTCTCTCGAGGCTGTTTGTTCTCTGATACAGGCTGCCTGCCGCAAGAGCGGCTCGAGGCGTTACCGTCTCTTCCTCTGCTCATGTTTCGAGAAAGAATCGCTGGCTGTAGATAACTTGATCCTTGATCCCCAAGGCTCAGGGAAAAAATGGCGGCCCCTGGCGATCAACGCATCGCTGTTCCCATTGACGATCCCAACGCAGACACAGAGTGGTGAGTACGCCTACCCCCGCGGTGATAACTCCCGTCGCACAAGTCTGACCATACGTAGGAACGACATCTTGCGGAAACATGGAGTCATTCCAGAAAAGCCACCGAGTCCTACCCCCTTGATCCAGGAGGCTATTCTTGAAGGGAGAAGACTGGCACACGAAAATCGACTCGAGGGTAAAGATCTGAATGAGCTCGACGAGCTGGAAGATTTCGAAGACGATGAATTTCTGGATCAATATCGTCAAAAACGAATAGCTGAGCTCAATAGCCTGCAGAGGCAGTCCATACATGGCAGCGTATACCCAATTTCAAAGCCAGACTACCAGCGCGAAGTTACCGAGGCGTCCCAAAAGGGGCCTGTGTTTGTCAATTTGACATCGGGCACTGGGACTAATGTTGAATCGCGAGTCCTATCAGAGCTCTGGAGACAGGCTGCTGAAGAATATGGAGATGTTAAGTTTTGCGAAATCAGAGCAAACCAAGCGATTGAGAATTACCCAGACAGAAATTGTCCCACCATTCTGGTCTACAGCAAAGGGGAAATTGTTGAGCACATAGTCACACTGGCGACCCTCGGAGGCGCTCGAACGAATATGCGCCACATAGATGGTATCCTTTTGGATGTCGGCGCTGTTTCCGAGTCGGATATGCGCATAGTAAAGAGACGGCAAGCTGCTGAGGATGCAGAAGAGGAACGACTTAACGGTAAGAGCATAAAAACTGGCACAGCGGGACGATCAAGAAATAATGATGACGACGACGACGACGATTGGGATTGAAAAGAATAGAGATGCTAGGAAATACCAATCCGATTTGTACCATGAGACAACATTTCATTTGTCGAGATGTTTAATTTCGAGTTACCAAGGCGGGAGCCTCTGGAGTCAGACTTGTCGAAATGTCCAGCTATGCGATGCATCTCAGACACTGTAGGTGCCTGCATTTATTTATGCAACTCGATACTTTTTTTATGTTCATCCACGTCTGTTAAATGGACACCCCACCATTTGATTTCTGGGGTGGTCTTTATCGAAGTGGGTCCAGGTAGGCCAGCAGAGAGGAGGACCCTGGAACTTGGAAGTGTGGTTGCTTTCCGCGGAGCCCCGAAGTCGAACTAGTCGTCGCGTTCCTGGCGCGTGTCAAGCCATTGAGGTCACGACTCACGACCGTATTCCCCCGTTTCTACCTGTCCAAAGGCTTTCAGCTTGGTCCATTGAACCATCTTTTCGCTCTGATAGTGTTTCCTATTTAGACCACAGCACTGCCCGTCATCAATGGCAGAAGAGCCATCTCTTCCCTGCCTCCCTGCGGTGTCGTGGGTTGAGAGCTCGCAAAGTTTCAGCAACAACCCCCGAAAGCGTGTCCGCCACCCGCGCTCGGGAGGTCTTTACAACTCCAGCGACCCGGCTGTTTTCTCTAGTGACGACGACCCTGGCCTAGACAACTACGTGGAAGGCCGGAAGAAGAAGCGTTATGTGGGTTCGTGGTTTCAGCAACAGCCCACGTCGTCCGACTCGACCTTTGGTGAGCGTATGACTGCACCGAAGCCGAAGCGCAAGTTGGCCCGCCAGTTTGACAGCGGTATCTACTTGGGAAGCGATGGAACTGAGGGGGATGACTTGGCCTCCGAAATCTTGGAGATGCCTCTGCGATGCAAGCTACCGCAGCTGCATGAGCAACCGCAGCGGCGGACGACTCGTGCTGTTTCTAAAGCGGAGCTGCTGGCCAGGGAAAAGATTCGGTCTTGTCTTGAGCAAGGAGATGAGACAATTGATCTCTGGTCTATGGGATTGGAGGAGATCACCAAAGAGACTTTGGGCCCCCTGGAGAATTTTTCGTGCATTCCAGTGGTAGCCAAGGATGTTGCCTTTGAGCAGAAGGATCCGGAACTGAAGATATATTTGACCATGAACCGGCTAGGGCGCGTTTCGGGAACCTTGTTCGATCTCGAGTACCTCACGATCCTGAGCTTGAGAGGCAATAAGCTGACGGAGATTCCGCCGGCGATAGCAAAGCTGTCAAATTTAAAACAGCTCAATCTTTCACAGAACCGGCTTCGCTCCCTTCCAATAGAGCTTCTAGACCTCTTCGGCAAGAACTTGGGAGACGTGGTCCTGCATCCGAACCCATTCTTTGAACCCGAGAGGCAGCTATGTATTGAGGGAGACGATGGCTCTGAACACCTGGAACAGCCCCTGCTAACCCGGCATCTTGGCCGATCACCTCTGCAGATGGCAGACTCAATGGGACGGATCCTATCGGAGTTCAAGTTTCCGTCTTACCAAGAATCGAATAAACTGTCCGTGGCGTCTGGAAACCATCCGGACAAGGACACCAACAGCAAGGCAAGCCGTGTGGCGTCGTTGATGGAGATTGCACTCCGCAGCTGCTACTCCACCTCGCAGCTATCCGAACTGCAGCGCTTCATCCCCGAGGGCCTATCGCATCTCCGCGAGCTCCTGGAAAGAGCAGCGAGGCAGAAGGACATGGGCGGTATGACGTGCTCTCAGTGTCGGAGACTGATCATCGTGCCGTCTCTCGAATGGGTCGAGTGGCGTGATATCAGGACAAGGGAAGTCAGCGGGGATACGGTGTCGGTGCGGCCTCTGAGTTTGGGGGAAGATGAGCAGGCGGTTCCGTTTCTGCATAGAGCTTGCTCCTGGACGTGCGGGCCTGACGCTTGAAAAGGAATCTTTGAGGCATAGCGATTTTGGGTGATTTAGTTAGAGCGAGCATTTACAGTCCATGCATAGCTGCGATTTGGATGGGTCGATGACGGCCGGGATGCTGGGACTGAGTTTGAAGTGGCACAGGCCGTGAGGAGTTTGAGCAAAAGACCATGTGCGTCCTCTGTCAAATATGAAACATGTCGAAATCAAGCGTATACACAAACATGTGTACTTTTGCCTCGCGAGGCTTCTGAGTACTACAAGCACATGCAAGCCATGTCGTTTGGTGAAATGGACAGGCGCTAGTTTCGGCGTGAGATGGTTCGCTCCCACGTACTCGGTACGCGGCCGTGGATTGGAAAGAATGCATCAACTGAGACATGACAAGAATAAACAATGCAATCGAGGACGGTCACGACTCACGAAGGACGGGGTTGAATGCACGTGGGCATTGTCGGCGCCACGTCCCACACCCATGCACCATGGCGAAGGAAGGCAGGACGAAGGGAGGCAGGAAGGCAGGAAGGCAGGAAGGCAGGATCCGTCGACGAGTCGAGCAAGGAGGAGCCTCGACCCGGACAGCCGCGGGCACCAAAACACCAAGCGTGACGTGACATGCAAGCACTTGAGCACTCTCAAAGTGGCGCACGCGCGTGTGTCCGCTGTCGATTGACTAGCCCTCGTTACCAAAACAACATGAACCTATAGCCCATCCATCTACATCTACCTGCTCAAGCACCTACGAACCTATACTCACCTCGAGCCCTCGTCCACGGTCCCATGTCCTCGTACGCGGCGCCGTTGTGCACCGCCGTCACCCCGCTCTAAAGACCGACGACAACACGGCCTTCAAGTCTGCCATCGCGACCACCGGCGAGAACATCACGCAGTCCGTCTCCCCCAGACACGCTCCGTCGCCACGCGCCGCCCCGAGGCACCCAGGCACCCAGACACCCAGACACCCAGGCAACCCGCGATGCCGTCCCCCGTCACCTCGCGTCCGCCGTCGCCGACGCCCTCCCAGCTCCCCCCCGTCCCCGGCTCGCCCGTCTACTCCATTGCATCGACGGCCAACCCGCTGTCCAACTTCAACCTCCCGCTCCCGCCAGCGCCGCGGCCCTCGCACGCGCTCCTCACCAAGGCTGACCTCGAAGCCTCCCACCAAGCCTACTCGGACCTCCTGGCGTCCGCCAAATCCTACCGCCTCGCCCTGGCGACGCTGTCCACAGCCGCGTCGTCCTTCGCCTCGGCCCTCGAGGCCTGTGCGCGCCTCAAAGAATCCCGCGCCGAGCCCATCGGCCACCACGCCGCCGGCACCAGCATGACGGCCAGCTTCACCACCAAGGGCGTCTGCACGGCCGACACCCTCCTCTCCGCCTCGGGCGTGCACCACCTCATCGCCAACCACCACCAGATCCTCTCCGAGACGGTCTACCGCTCCTTCGAAGTGCCGCTCCTCCACGACCTCGACAAGTGGCAGACCGTCATTGACGACGAGGAAGAGACGTACCAGCACAAGATCAAGGCCCAGAGCAGAGAAGTCAAGCGCCTCGAAAAGGAAGGCCTCAAGCTGCACAAGCAGCGAAGGCGGGACGTGGCCCGCTTCCGCGCCCACCTCGTCGAGCTCACGCGCAAGCTGGACGGCCTGACGACCCTCCACGCCGACCACTCGCGCGCCCTGCTCCGCGAGAGCCAGGACACGAGCGGGCGCATCGTCGACGCGAGCTGCAGCCTGGTCCGCGCCGAGGTGGACATCTTCGAGAGCCTGGCGCGCAAGGGCTGGACCGGCGGCGGCCTCGACGACCTGCTGGAGAAGGGCACTGACCTGTTTGCCGCCGACGACGCGGGCGGCCACGCTGCTGTCACGGCCGCCGCCGCCGCCGCCGCCGCCGCCTCCTCGGGCAGCGCAGACACCGCCAAGCTGTTCTCGATATTGCCGCCCAAGAGCATCCTGGCCGACTCGGCGTCGGAGCTGTCGCGCCCGGGACACGGGAGGGGAGACAGCCTGCTGGGGGAGTCGGATCGCTACCAGTCCCTTGCGGCGCTGGCGCTGGCGACGGAGCACACGCACAACGGGGCTGGGGCCGCAGCTGCCGCCGCCGGAGACGCGGACAGCGTGTTTTCGGCCGATTTTAACAAACCGCGTGGTGCGAGGCCGTTTTCGCCACAGCCGATACGCCGAGTTCCGGCCGACGTGACCTTTGAGTCGCTCCGGGCCATGGGGGAGGCGCCCGCGGAGGATGCCGACGACGACGACGACGACGAGCAAGAAGACGAGGAAGGCGTTGAGAACGGCGAGCAGGACAGGGGACGAAGGAGGAGGTCGACCTCGGACTTGAGAGGGGACACGGATCATGGCCGGCAAGAGAGCGCGGCGGACACGTGGGCGGATTCATGAGTTTTTATTTTTATACTTTTTTTTTTAAAGTTGCGGCTTGTCACGACCACTACAGTTTGTATTCATCACGTATGCTCCATCATCGAGCGGTATAATAGTATCTATTGCATGGCGGCATGTTGGCCCGTTTGGAAGGGAAGGAAATGGAAACGTATATGCTTGGGCACGTTGAGGGCATTGTGACGGACTCGATTCTCATGTTTGCGGCTTTCGCGGGCGGACCTCTGCCTCTGGTCCTAGATGTATTCATTACACGTCGCTGGTATAGACTTCTTCCATGGGCACGCCATGCCCTCGCCCCTGACTGGTCCTGCGCCATCAACGCCGGCAAAGGTGCAAATTAATACCACCAGCTGTACTGTGGCAGGCTTTTCGTAAAAACTCTCGAGTGGGATTATCCGCCCGACGCAAAGCTAACGCCGTGGCTGACAAGCGACAGGCTTCTAGTCGTCGTTGTCGACGCTGTAGACGTCGCCCTTGAACAGGCCAAACGTTGCATCTAGCCACCAGATGATCTTCCAGTACAGACTGGCGCGTCCCCAGTCGAACTCGCCTGTTTCCGTCCGAGGGACCTCGTTGCCAATCATGCTGCCGCTGAACCACTTGATGAAGGGGACGGCATTGACGAAGCGCTGCATGACAGACTGCTGCGGTAAGAGAGCGTGCTCGGCGGGGAGGAGGCGAGCTCGACGAGCAGTGGGGATGCGACGGCAAAAGATGCTGTCTTGTTGTGGCATCTCCATGGGTTCCGCACCTGAGCTGAGGCCGGGCACTTCCTGCATGGTGGCGGAGGACGTGTGCGACGGCGTGAGTGTAGCTGTGTCGAGGGTTTGGCTGGACGACTTTGACTCTGACGGCGACAAGTCAAGCAGTCGGCTGTGCAGCATGGGAGGCAGGTTGCTGTTGGTGTTCTTCCGACGTGGCGTGCCGACAGTGGCAGGCAGGCTCTGGGCACGCTCAAAATCGTCGTCCATGACGCTTTCGACATCGGGGCATGCCTCGTCCTTGGCAGGCGGCATGCCTCTGTACGGCTCGGCAAAGACGAGGTAGCCGAGGATCTGCTGCGGGCTGGCGCAGATGGCTGTGTTGGCAGCCTCAACGCTCTCGAACGTGACCTTGACCCAGTGTTCGCCGCCATCGGCACGGTTGACGAGGGCTCGTTCGTCCGGGTTCAGCTTCCGTCGGCGCGTAAAGGCAGGGTCCCGCAGTTCAGACTTGTATCGCCTTTGCGAAGCCGGCGGCTCTCGAGGGTAGTCTTCGAGAATGGCGCCGGCGAGGTCCTCGTAATGGGAGACGGCCGCGTATTGCTGCAATGAGGAACGGTAGCCGCGCAGAATGAGCTCAACTGGAGTGGACTTGACGACTCGCTGGGGAGGAGCATCGTCCTGCATCAGACCGCTGCTCTTACGCTGGTTGTTGGACGGCGGTGCGGCGGCGGCGGCTTGGTTGGACACCCAATCGCCGAAAAGCTTGTCTGCAGCAGCGAGAGTCGGGTTCTCGCGACTTCGAGCTGGGGTGCCTGTTCGCGATCGAGACCGACGGGTGGATTTCCCAAACGAGCCGGTTTCTGCAACGCTGCGCCGTGATCTAGAGGTACCGGTGTGTGCGTCATTCCTTTGGACATGGAGTCGGTCAGAGAGGCACACAAGATGACGGAGATGGGGTGAGTACGAACTGGTTGAAATACATGGCGTAGGGCCGCTTAATGCCATCGTCGCCGACGTAACACTCCTCATCAGGGACATTGTGCAGGATGAGGGGAGCCATGGCTGGGAGATGACGTTTGATGAAGAAGACCAATGGCTGACGGGAGAGAAGTTGGTGAAGGCGCAAAAATCACGGCCACTGCGGATTGGCACAGCTGGAGAGAGAGAGAGGTGCTTAACATCGAGGTGAAGCCCATGGGATGGTGATGGAAATTATTTGACGGTCGAAGGCCAGGCAGAGGCCCAGAATCTCTCGGGAGCTGCGTAAAGTGGGTCAGGAAGGAGTGGATGGGAGCTGCTGATTTGCTGCGCGGGTCTTGGAGGCTCTGGCAGGGCAACCCTGACTCGGCCCCTGGGGTGGGTCATGCGCGTCGGTTTTAAGGGTCGGTCCAGGGTTAGGGTTTTGCTGACCCAAACCTCCAAACCTGAATCTACATGTGCTCTTGGTCTTCATCCACGTTATGCCCGCAACCTTAACACATGGGTCTTTGGTTCTGATGAAATCATACTGGCGTATTGAAGTCCCGTCTGAATTTTCTCTACCTACAATCTCGCTACACTCGGTCCTGGCAAGCACCAAGACACTCCCACCTCCATACCTATCGACCTGGGTGTTTGTCGTAGCCATGTGTCTAGAACCCTAATAAGGGCACTCCCGCTTGTCCGGAACACGAACGTCCTTGCCACAAAACATCTTCCACTGGGCCTCGGGACAATTCTCGAGAACACAGCATGCAATGCTGTTTGGAGTAGGACCAGTACACGCTTCGACATAGGGGTCTTGTTGCTTGCTCGTGAACTCGCTCATGTGCTGGTTGAGGCAACTGACCTAGTCCCAGAAGGTCTAATTAGCAAGTTGGCCAGAACATTTCCATCACGGGGTTCCCCCCTACAAGGCATGGTCTCTTACAGCGCACTCGATTGGATTGTGGTGAATTTGAGTAGCCTGCACAAGCGAGGACCACCAGAGAGCTACACACAAGGCTGCACCGAGTGGAAAACGTGCCATTTTTGCGTGAAGTTGTGTGTAGGACAGTTAAGTTGTGGTTCTTGCCGCCTCTAGTATGTGAAAGGTATTGAAGACGTGATTCTTGGCTCCTCCTCGTCCAGAGTCCAAAATGGCTTTGAGGTGTTGGCACTCGTGTCCTGGATCTGGCCGAGTCAAGGTATATAAGACACAGAGTCAAGATGGACCAAGAGAAACAGGCGAAAGGAATAAAAAAAGGAAAAAAACATAATCATAGTAAGCACTTCCGCAATCCATCCATGTCCACGAACGAGGAGCTGACAGGACCCCATCCAATCAATGGCAATCGGACACGACGTAGGCAATCGACTGGGTGCCGTAGTCCAGACGGCGTCTCTAAGCTCGGCGGCGGAATGCGCAACACGGGAAAGCCCGACCATGGATCGGCCTCGTACGACTCGCACGACAACAGCATTTTTGCCGGGATCATGCCAGCGGCAGGAGTGAATCAGACCATACGAGAAAATATCAAGGCATATACACACGTGGCCGATGCCGCACACACAAGGGATTCGGGGGTCTTGGCGGCGATGTATTACCGGGTGACGATACGAGAAACAGCATCAAAACCTCGTCATACGAAGGTCGTGACTCGTCATTCCAGGCCAGGGTCGGAGTAAGCTGCAGGGCCGTGAAGTAATCAATGCATCAGAACAGGATCTGTGCCGTCGGCCAAGGCGCGGCATAGTGCATACATTCTCAGCAGGACAATGTCTGGGGAGCTGTCGGGAGTCTGATGTTTGCCGTGGGAGCCATGTCGTTGCCTGAGAAGCTCAGCGTCCTCCGTGTAGTGGAGTCTCCAGTGCTTCTATAACGGGAAGCAACGAACCCTAACCCTAACCGTACCCCCGGAGACTACACCGCTCACAGCAGCGTTGCGCCAAGCGCTGCCCACGGAGTACTCCGTACTGAAGTACTCCGTACACATGTCCATATTCCAAGTGACTCCGGAGCGGCTGAGTAATCTCTTCTTCAGCGGCTCTTTACAATTGCCGCGCGCTAATTGATCGATCATCCTGCCCACTCGAACTCGTGACAAAAAAGGCCACGAAAGCCATTTCTCGTCTACGTACTCGGTCGTATTGAGCGAGAGTCCAAGGCCGGGGCGTAGCAGGTCGGCGGTCTCTACAAGTCAAGCTTCAAGTGAGCGAGCCAAAGATGTCGTGGCTGTCCAGTCGAGTCCTCGTCGCTTCAATAGCCGTTGCCGTAGCTATTCTTTTATCACCAGTTTCCGTCATGGACATGGCCACCAAGACAAAAGCGTATCTGCAGGCAAGCTTCTCAAACACAACTTCGGCCACCCCCAAGACCAAACCCCCCGTCTACTTCTTTAGCCACGGAGGCGTAAGTCGCCCGCCCACCTGGCCACCCAAGCTTTTCCAACAAGGACTGACTGACTGACTGACTGCTGCAGCCCACTGTCCAATACGACACAGACCACGCGGCGTACCCGGTGCTGCAGCAGATCGGCAAAGAAATCACCCAAAAGGTGAGGCCCAAGGCCGTTGTCGTGTTTTCCGCGCACTGGGCCGGCGAAGGGGACGAGATCCACGTGAACAAGGATGAGCAGGCCGACTTGATATACGAGTTGAGTTTGTGACCGTTCCCTTTTGCTGCGCGGACTAGTCTGACGGCCTGTATTACCGTCTGGTAGCTTCTACGGATTCCCCGACCATTACTACCAGGCCAAGTACCCGAACAAGGGCGACCCCCAACTCGCCAGCAAGATCATGCTGATGCTGTCCGAAGCCGGCATTGCGAGCCGTGGTGCGAGCCGCGGCCTGGACCACGGCGTCTGGTCCGGCTTCAGCGTCGGTAAGTCGGGGAAAAAAAATAGAAAACTGTTGCGTGGCACTTTTGACTCTGACCATCACCACGCAGCATTCGACCCTGAGACCAACCCGCTCAACGTGCCCCTGGTACAGGTGTCGCTGTTCAAGTCGGAATCGCCATCCGCGCACTATGCCCTCGGCCGCGCCGTGTCGGCCCTGAGAGACGAGGGCGTCGTCATCATCGGCGCGGGCATGTCGGTGCACAACCTCGCCGACTTGTACACTCTCTTGGAGGGAAACACCACGCCGCTGCCGTACACGGTCAGCTTTGATAATGCCCTCAAGGAGGCTGTCGAGGCGGATCCCGAGCTGAGAGAGGACAAAATGGCGGCTGTGTGCAAGAGGCCCGATGCGCGGCAAGCCCACCCCTACATGGACCATCTGATGCCCGTCTTTGTTGCGGCCGGCGCGGCGTACGAGGACAAGGCGCAGCAGACGTGGACTCTTCACGAGGGCAGCATGGGCTGGGCACAGTATCGCTTCGGCCATGTACCCCAATGACATACGTGCCGAGTATACCAAACCGGAAGGGTGATTTTTCAACGTTGCCGCTTACTAGTACCAACATCGCCATCCGTGCCACTCTGTACATTCAACCAAGGGACCCTCCGGCCACATGTTTGCATACTTCCGCCCTTATAGAGAGAACCCAACGCCCCTGACGACGGCTCCCCTGTTGTAGAACTTGGCCGCTGGCAACAGCTCGCCAACCACCCATCTGGCGGTGGTCGTATGCGTCGAGCCATGTCCAAACGGCTCGTGCGTCGTGTCCCTCCTCGGCCTCATGTTCCAAACAGCCAAATCCCCAACGGCACCAATGGATGCGTTCGCACGAGACTCCGCCGGGTCCTCGCCCCTCGGCAACGACGAGTATCCCTCCGCAAGAGCCTGAAGGAAGACGATCTGGTCCTGGAGGAACTCGTCCACCGTCCCGTTGAGGCTTGTCTCTTCGTAGAGCTCTTTGCAGAGACTGCTGCAAGCATGCTGGATAATTCCATCTCGCGACAACTTGGTCTTGTTAGCAATGGAGAAGAGCGAGTCGCGGGCCCAACGAATGCCCCCCTCTGAATGCGCAACCAGCAGGATGCTCCATCGGGCGTCGCTCCCAGAGTCCTCTACGACCTTGAACTCGACACCGGCGTCGGGGTACAGACGGCCCAGCGCGGCAACAAGTTCATCCCGAACACGCCGGTGAGATGCCCGGGGAACAATCACACTGGCGTCCACCCTACAGACTCGGTATGACTCGGGAAAAGCATACCTGGGTGCCGGCGAGAACCTGACGGCCCTCCCCCTGGGCACCGGGTGAATCGTGAGCGTCATGTGGCCTCGCGATCTCGGCCCAAGATTCCAGCCGCGCGCCGTGAGCTCTCTCCCAATGTGGATGCCGAACCTCTCCTCCAGCGTCGGCGCAAGCACTTGGTCAAAGTACTCGTAGCTAGGCGACCAGCGGACATTGGTGCCGCCCCGGATATCGAGCACCACCGGCTCGTTGGCGTCGTTGCCCGCGAACAAGACGTACGGCAGAACGGCCTGCAGAATCAGCAGCGCGCTCGCGGCGTCGGTTCCGGCCTCGATTTCGAAGCAGCGCCGAGCCAGGTCTGTCGGCGGCCGCGCGGGACTGAATGCGAGAGTCTCGGAACCGACGTGAAGGCCGGTTGTTTCTGCGTCCGTGACCATGGCCAGCCACGACAGCGACGCGACGTGCTGCGCCTTGAGGCCTGCACAGAGAGCGGTCAGCACGACACGTACAGCCGAGCGCGTTCCTTGGTAAAGGGGCAGGGCAGGGCATTGATGGGATGCGGACGAACCGCCGCCGCGGCCTCGGCCTCCCGCACGGTTTCCACGGATGTTCACCACCGTCACGGCCTGCGATGTGAGTGCTGCGAGGCCGCACGCTATGCGGACCACTTGGCCGCCGCCTTCGCCGGTGCGCCCGTCGAGCACGATGGGCTTGGTGCTTTGTGTCGTGCCTTGCTTCATGCTTTGAGCGGCTGGATAGTAAAATCTGCATCTGCCGAGGACTCTGTTGGGAGTGTGCGCAGTGAATCGCCACTGCTTCCGCCGCGCGGCAACCCAACAAAAGCCTGCCGAATCCAGGTTATATCACTCTTGCCCGTTTCCGTGGGCTTCGGGACAGGGTCTTTTATGACTTTTACGTACGTGTGGCTATTTCCCCTCGCGCCTCCTTTGCGCCGACATCCCATGACTCACTCGGCATACAAACGCATCTCTGCCGCCCCATACAAGTAGTCTGAGCGATGTGCGTTTGGTTGCATGTACTCGTCGCTGCGGTGCAAGTTGTCTCAGATGGTTCACGGACCGTGGTCACTGGTGGCTGCTTTTCATTACTGCTGCTGCTGGTCACGACGCAAACCGACTGCATTTGGCCTGCGCTCGACCAAGCTATGATATTGAGCTATTGTGCCAAAGGGTACGTGCCTCTGTACTAAACGAGCCGAGGACAAATCGTGGGTAATCTCGATGGAATACACCCCGAGGTACTGAAAGTAATCTATCTACAGACGACAATGTATAAATCATGGCGAATATTGACAGCAACCCGATTGGGGTTGCATGGTCTCGTTCTCAGATGTGGACGCGGCTCGGATAACCTCTCACCAAGGGACACGTAATAGACCACGGACCGGCCCAGGAAACCGAGTAGGCTTGATTCCACGACGACAATATTTCCGTACACCAGGCGGCCGGAGATCTGTGCTACTCTCAGGGGCATCGGATGCCTACCGCAAACAGTTGATGGGCCCGGCTGACTGATTCTTTGGCCAATGCCGTTATACACTCGGGTTCCGAGCAACGCTGCCGGCAGACCAACAGCCTAGAATGCGGCATAACTCCTCTGTTGTCCAGGACCAGCCGAAGAGCGCCACGGCAAAGCCTGATCCGGAAGAGGTCAAAAGAGCTCACCGGTGGCATCCTAACCTGCCTCTCTGGAAAGTTGGTACCGTCTGCTGCGCCAACAAGCCTCCCCGCAGACCGTGCCCTCTATCGCGATTCTTCCTGTTCAAAGCCCAGGGGCTGCTGCTGTTCGATGTACAGACAAGGATGAACAAGCAGCAAACACCGCGAGAGTATGAATCGTCGCTATCATCGTCTGCGGCGGTGGGCAGCGGTCTCGATGTCGTTTTGAGCATGCGGCATGCTACTGTCTATCCCCCTTTGCGGAAGCGGAGCATGTTGTGTGTGAAGACGCTGACCAGGTTTGCTTGAAATAGGAGGCCTGCCATCAACTTTCCTGCCGTTGCCCTCCAGCCACTCGTTTCCATGTGCCTGTGGGCTGAAACCATGCCGCCAAGAGTCTTAGACGCCCTTGGCAAGCAGTGGACGACAGCACAAACGTGCTGCTGGCGTTGCAGAAAAAGCCATGTTGCTCGTATCTGCCGGAGCCCACGATTCCCGCACTGTGATCGTTGCCGTCTCTAGCATCTCGCTGAACGGAAATGTAAGTCTCATCTATTTCTTGCCAACCTCATGATTCCAAGTGGACATATTTGCGCCATGCATTTCAAGGTGTTAGGAAAATCACCCGCAGGCAAGCCCAGACGTAGAGCGGCCATCTGAAGCTCGCGCACTAGATGAAGATTCCGCCCAACTTGACCTTTGGAGGGGAGGTCAGCCACTCGTCCACGCGTCTCGGTAAATAGTCCACAAGAGACTTTCGTGGGCTTGCTTGAATGTAATGCATATAACGAGCGACATGCAGGGCCAAAACCTGGCTCCAAATCCACCACTAATCTTCTGCTCAATGGGAAGCTCCTGACGCCCTGTCGTTGGCGTCTGACATTCTCCAGATGAGATTCCTCTCTCCCGATGCCGGTGCCTGGCGGCAAAGCCCGTCTTTGACATGATTCGCTTGCTCGGACGTCCGTGATGGCACTTCAAGCCTCGATGCCAACGGCCGGCTGGCGAATGACGACTCACACCCCCAATCCCGGCACTGACTTATATCTGCCGACCTCAGCTTGGGAGTGCCCGAACGCAAGATGTGCTCCAACACGCATCACCCTGAAGCAAGGGTACGCATGTCCAACATGTCGGCGACCTCGGACGTTCTCGCTGGCGGACCATCCAAAGGTTGGGCCGCGTACCGACGTACCATTTCCCAGTCAAAATCAGGAAGTGGGATGTGGATGTCTATCAGGTTGCAGGGGAGGAGAGATGTGGTGGATGACGGCACAAATCAAACCACGGAGGCAATCTCTGACTAGTCGTCGGATCATGGTGGTATCATTCCTGGACCGCGGTCATGCCATTTCCATCGTCGTCAGATTTGACCGGGCTCCCTCATTCGGCTTGCAGCCTCACTTTAATTTGCAACGCCGTCAGGCCGACTCCCTGAGTTGGCGACAGCATTCGCGCGGCTCGTTTTCTAGCCCTGCCTCAATATGTGCCTTCCTGCAGAACGAGTAGCCTTGCGAGTGTAAGAATTTCCGCCCATGACCATTGAGTTTCACCTGAGCGTCGATATCTCCATGGCGTAGGTGATCAGCTGACGAGCGTATTGTACTTTTCGTCTTCCGCCAGCCACGGAGCGAAGAATGGCGCAAACGTGGCCTCTAAAGCCTCAGAAGACAGACACTCTTGATAAATGCTCTGGAGAAGGAACTGGTGCGTGCAAGGAGTCTTTTGCTCGAAAGAGCTCGAGCTCGAGCGTTAATTATGAATTCCGGGACCTTAAAGGCGCAGAAAAAGCAACTTACATTTATCTAGTGAATCGAGGACCCATTCGCTACGGCCAAACCAGGACATCGTCCGCCATTCTCTGCACTTGCAACTTGGTGGCAGGACGGACTTGAATGAATTTCAAAGCTAACCAACCGAGTACAAGTTCCTCTGCTCTCCACTCGATCAATTCTTGATTACCCTCCGCCATCCTGTGTGTCGATGCCCATTCGCTACAAAGACGTCGAGTTGCGTGGCACGGCGATGCAGGGCTGAAGCAGTTCCACAACCAGCAAGCCACGGCTACCATTGTTGGCCACCTTCAGATGCATTGTAATATGCGGGTGTGACGCCTTGAATACGGTGTCAATCGTTTAATAAACCAGCCGAGGCGTTATGGATGCAGGAACTCAGAGGACATCACCAACCACCGGTCTGGTTAGTCAATCATCGCATCGTCAGTTTGGCACTCGGCAGTTTCTCCCTGATTGAGATGAACCATCCGCAAATATCCGGCGCTAGGCCATGGCAATCCGTTCCAGGCTCGGATCCCACGTAACCGTTCCCATTTGAGTTCCGCGCCGTTGGTCAACTCCCGTTGAAGTTGTTGCACATTTTTCTTCTGTTCTCTCTCCTTTCGACTGTTGCTCATGCCTTCTCGTCAGACGTCGTTGAATGCAACTCATTCCCTATTGCAACAGTGTGGGCACAATCGAAGCCTGTGGTACTGCAATCTTCGGAGGGTGTCTGGTTTACGAACCGTGAAGGCCTAGAGGCTTTGCTGGCCTCCGACCTGGCGAAGGTCGTTGAAAAAATGACTTCTGAAGATGAGCGTTGGCATCGCCAAGCCTTTGGTGGTACTCCGGAAAGAGAAGCCGACGATTATTTCGGAGTTGTCCCAACTGAAGAGTCGCCTCTTCTTCACACCGATCTGCCGCCAGATGTCGTGCCGGACAAGCCCTTCCAGCACCTGGTTCTGAGCGTGTGCGTGCTCTTCCTATTCGTCGTTGAAGTCAGCATGTTCGTCATGCAGCCGCCGTTGCAGCAAGTGATGGAGGACCGTGTCTGTGGCGAAATTTACCCAGATCATCTGGTTGGCACCATGTCGGAGACTGATGACCGTTGCAAAGATAACACAGTCCAGAAAGAGTTGGCCATGCTGCGATCATGGGAAGTATCAGCCGAGATGTTTGTTCGTAAGTTCTGGTTCGCGCGACCCTTACGGAGCAGAAGGAAGCCTAACATACTGCCCCAATGTAGCCTTCTTTGTGCAGATCCCGTACGGCATCATTGCCGACAAGTATGGCCGGCGACCCGTCCTATTCCTGGCTCTATTTGGGGCCGTCCTGCAAACCGCTTGGATCCTCTTAGTTTGTATGCAAAACAAAACTTGTTACACACCAAGGGGCTAAATGATGGCTAACGATGGCACAAGTGGGAGTGCCGAAACACTTCTCTGTCTGGTCAATATTGTATGGCAACATGGCATATTTCATCGGAGGAGGCGGGCAAATGGCGGCAGCTATGGTATGGACGCTCCTCGCAGATGCCATCCCCATGGCCGAGCGCACGAGTGTCTTTTACCTTCTTCATGCCATGATTCTCATCCTGGGAGTTCTTGTAAACCCCATTGCCGCTCTGCTACTCAAGACCAATCCCTGGATTGCACTTTGGTTGGGGTTTGCCATTCTTGTGGTTGGTGTCTTTGCCTCGCTGCTAGTCCCAGAAACGCTGGCGCTGCGTCAAAAGGCGGATAGCAAGAGATGTCGAGGCGGAATTGTCGATGGTGCGATTCATGCCAACTATAGCCCTCGAAAATCCCGGGTTCAGCATGTCGTATTTACGATGAAGAACGACATGGGCCACGTCTGGCGCTTTATTTTTGCTTCCAAGAGCGTCATGATTCTTATAGTTGCCTACACGATCAACTTCCCAATCAAGCTCAACCAGACGTTCAATTTGCTGCAGTACATGACCAAAAGGTTCGACTTGGCATGGTCAACGGTACGTCGCTTCTTGCCTGAGAAAGGCACCTCTTTGAAATGGTCTATTCGAGTGACACATGACCTAGGCAACGTATATTTCCACGGTCAGCAACGTGACAGCGGCGGTTGTGCTTCTCGTAGTATTGCCAGCGGGCTCCTGGGTGCTGGCGAATAAGTGCAAGGAAGGGCCTTTGAAAAGAGATTTGATCTTGACTCGCATGTCTGTAGTCTTTATCATGGCCGGTAGCTTTCTCATAGCAATGGCCCCTACCGTGTGGCTGTTCATCGCTGCTCTTGTCTTGACGAGCCTCGGCACCGGATTTTCAACCCTTTGCAGAGCTTTGCTAAATGCTGTTGTCGAACCTCATACCGTCGCCACCCTAAAAACGACCGTGTCGATGATGGAGACTGTCATGGGCCTTGTCAGCTCTCCAATTCTAGGGTGGCTCCTCAGCAAAGGCATAGAGCTTGGTGGAATATGGATGGGATTACCATATCTGGTCTGCGCAGTGCTTGCGGCACTCACAGGAGTCATGATGCTGGCATATAGATTTCCAACAGGATTCGCCCAGGCATCTTCATGAAAGGGTGCGCTGTACCGAATTGAGCGAATCTGTGTGTTGAACGGCGTACGGCGTTTGGTTTCTACTCAAGTTGGCCGTGGTTGTCAATCTTATAAAAGAAAGAGGTTTTATTTCCAAAAAATTTCATTTGGGAAAGATGTCATCAGGACAAAGCGCATTCATCCAGCGAATAAATTCCCAGGGCAAACATGAAGCTCAATTGAATATCTGCGTGACATGTTTGACCAAACAAAAAAAGTGCACCGAGACAGAATAACTACGTGGTGAAAAGATCAGGGCTTATCGATAAGAGCTCTACGAGTTCGTAGTAAGTAGTAATCTGGAAGGAACGCACTGGCGTGCCCCGCGCTTGCCTTCCTCCTACCTGCTTCCACCAAACGCTTCCATCCCCAACATCGACTCCATCAATCCCTGCGACAGGCCACTGTTCTTCCCTCAATCGTGCTTGATTTTTTGATCTTGCAGTGTCGCCCTGTTTCCCCGCTGCCCTGCTGAATCATCGACGTGAGCGTCAAGATGTCGGATGACGAGGATTTTATGCAGGAGTCGGACGAGGAGCAGTACGGCGCTCTCACATCTGCTGATGCATGCTGTTCTAGCTAACGCGGTATTTAGATATGATTTTGAGTATGAAGAAGACGAGGACGACGAGTCTGGAGATATCGACATCGAGAACAAATACTACAATGCGAAGCAACTCAAGCTCACTGACCCATCCGATGCGATTGACGAATTCCTAGGCATTCCGCCACTTGAGGAAGAGAAAGGCGAGTGGGGGTTTAAAGGGTTGAAGCAGGCAATCAAGCTAGAGTTCAAGTTGGCCAAATATGATGAGGTGACAAGATTTCCCCTCGAACGCCCCGTACTTGATTCGCATGGCTAACATGTCTCCAGGCAGCGGACCATTTCGCAGAGCTCCTCACCTACGTAAAATCAGCCGTGACGAGGAATTATTCCGAACAGTCCATCAATAATATGCTCGACTATATCGAGAAAGGCGCCGATGGCAAAGAAGCGGCGAAGAGCATGGAGAAGTTCTACTCCCTCACGTTGCAGAGCTTCCAAAGTACCAACAACGAGCGGTTGTGGCTCAAGACGAATATCAAGCTTGCCAAGCTGCTTCTTGATCGGAAAGAGTATAGCTCCGTGTCCAAGAAGCTACGAGAGCTGCACAAGGCCTGCCAGCGACCAGATGGCACAGACGACCCGGCTAAAGGCACATACTCGCTGGAGATATATGCCCTCGAGATTCAAATGCTGGCAGAGACCAAGAACAACAAACAGCTCAAGGCTCTGTATCAACGGGCGTTGAAAGTAAAGTCCGCCGTTCCCCATCCTCGTATCATGGGAATCATCAGAGAATGCGGCGGCAAAATGCACATGAGCGAAGAGAACTGGAAGGAGGCACAGAGCGACTTTTTCGAATCGTTCCGCAACTACGACGAGGCGGGGTCTCTACAACGTATCCAAGTGCTCAAGTATCTACTTTTATCTACAATGCTGATGAAGTCCAACATCAACCCGTTTGACTCGCAAGAGACCAAACCGTACAAGTCCGATGCCAGAATATCAGCCATGACGGAGCTCGTTGACGCTTATCAAAGAGACGACGTGCATGCCTACGAGAAAGTACTGCAGGGTCATCAGGATATCTTGGATGACCCTTTTATCGCGGAGAACATTGACGAAGTCACCCGTAACATGCGGACCAAGGGCATTTTGAAGCTGATAGCTCCATACACCCGCATGAAACTCGACTGGATTGGGCAGCAGCTTAGGATCTCGCAGCCCGAGGTACAGGACATAGTCGGATTCTTGATTGTAGACAGCAAGATCAACGGAACAATCAATCAACAGGATGGAGTCCTCGAGATTACATCAGACGCCGACATTGAGCGGGTTCGGGCCATGAGCAGCCTCTCGGCATCGATAGCCGAGCTGTTCAGTGCCGTGTTCCGGGAAGGCGATGACTTCCGAAGCAACGAGCGCGATGCTTCCTTTGATCAGTCGATGGACTTCCAAGGCCTCTCTGTGGGAAGAGCGCTTCGCGGGACAGGGCAGCAACGAACAAAAAAGGGCAAAGGGTCGAGTGCAATGTGGGCATGAGACGAATGGAACGAAGCCTCCGTAGCAGTTTATATGACGTAACGATGATGAGGAAATATTTCTCTCGCTTCAACCTTTTGTGGTCATGGATCCCGAGCATTATAGCACTCTCGACGAGCTCGTCTGATGTCAAAGGTGCCCCTCCCGAGTCCCCGTTGCTAGTGTTTATTTCTTTTTCTTTCCCTTCCGCTTATATCGGTCCTGGTTTCAAGCCGTGCTCAAAAAAAATTTTTTTTTTCCCTGTAAAAACTCTACAGTCATAGGACGCTAAAAAAAAAAAGTCCTTTTGTAAGAGGCATTGAGGCTGCATACACAACCCATGTCGGGCAAGTCGGCGACCAATGGTGTGTAGTACGAAGGGCCGGCAACGCGTGACGAATTCGGGCCCTGGACTGAAAGCCGAAAGGCAGCAGGGGCCCAGAGAAAGATGGGAAAAAAAAAGGACGCTATAAAATTTTTGATTATAAATTGAAAATTTATAGAAGAAGGCTGTGGTAGCAGTGGTCAAGTGCGTGTGCCACCCGAGGCTGAGATACGACATTACTCGTCGACTACGGAGTACGGATGACAAGAATGCGCGGAGAAGGGGAGAGGGAAGACGGGTTCTGCGCAGACGGAGGCGACGGCCAACGTCAGTGGCAGTCAGCGCAACCGCACAGCCTACCCCGTACGGAGTAGTTAATATATCAGAAAAAAATGACGAATCGTGCGGTTTGTACGGAGTACATTTTGTTTCTTTGCGGCCTTTGCCCGCCCCCTCACCCATCTCCCATCTCCCATCTCCCATCTCCCATCACCCTCCCCCCCTCCGGGGCGCCCGCTGGCCGCCATCTCGTAGCCCACCCGGCCGTCCGTCCCCCTCTGTCGTGTCCGCGTGGAGGAATTCTTGCGAGCAGGCATCCGAACCACGGAGCAGCCCTTCCAGGGAGAATTGCATGGCGTCTGCTGCAGAAGATGGCGAGCAAAGACTTCTTGTTGGGCGCAAGCTCCTTTGCCACGGGCTGGATACAAATTCGTGACACAGCATGAGTCTTTTCTGCGGAATAGCCACGGAGTGGATTTCGTTTGAAGGAGGTCACGCAAAGCTGTCTTTCTCTGTCCAAGACTTGTGCACGCCCATTGGATGTGGGTCAAGGGGCAGGGCAGGGCTCGGCCGGCTCTGTTGAAAAGACTCGTAGTAATATCTCATGATCCTTTCGCCGGCGGCCGCGATAATATTTGGCTTGCGATATGGCCACATAGGAGGACATGGACCCCGGGTATTCACTAGATAAAGAAGCAGCCAGCCAGCACATGGAGTACCATGCCGAGCCGCATTGCCAATCTGGGTGAAACAGACAGCCACGGGACAGACTGGACAAGACTGGAAGCTGTGCCTTTCCGAAGGATGCTGTACGACCAAGGTGAAGGAAACGAGGACGACGAGTGCGAAGCCGAAGACTCACATATCCGTGATGCTCGTGTTTGTACGGGGTATGTGGTGCTCATGCTCCGTACCGGGTTCGTGTGCTCCGTAGGACCAGCACTATTCAAATATAAGACTGACCACTGACGTTGAATGGTTTGTCGTTGCCGTAGCCTGTTGGCCAACGGAAATGAACGAGGCATTAGTTTTCTGGTTTCACACGTCAAGGTACAGCCTACCTACCAACCTGCGTGTAGGAAGAAACTTGGACAACTACGTTTAAAAAAAAAAAAAAAAACAAAAAATTCTAGTGACCGTGGGTTCCTGCGTCTGAAACCGCAAACAACAGCCTGTGAGAGACAATTCTGTGCAACGCTGTCATGCCTAGAGTTGGCCACCGTCGTACTGCCCACCAATGGGCCATCATGGCGACCTCACGTAGCAGGAAACAAACAAGGGAGTACGGAAGTAGAAGCTCCATTACCCCAGCAACTCGGTGGCCGTCCACATGACGCTCGGCTTCGGCGAGACGTTCGTCTACCTCAATCTCCTGTACTACGTGAGGTAAGAATCCCCTTCCCACAGCGGTAGCGGTCGACGGGGCTCCCAACTTGCCGCCGCCGCCCCTGCTTACGCCTTGTCAGCACCCTCATGCTTCACCGCGAGTACTTCCCCTTCCTGCCGACCCCGGAGTCGGAGCCACGGGGTCCAGTCGACCAGCCCATGCTGGGGGCGCCCGCCCCCGAGGGCTGGTGGGACGACAGCTCCCGACTCCTCTTCGGCGCGGCAGAGCACATCGCCGCCATTCTACACGAGGCCTCCGAGTGTGGCGTGCATCTCATGACGCCCTTTGCCGGGTTCTGCGCATTCTCAGCCGGCTACCTCAACCTCTACGTGGCGAAATACCCCCGAATGAACCTGGGCCGCAGCCCGCGAGCAAGCGACTGTCTCAAAATGTGTCTCGACTACCTGGAAAAGTTTCGACTTGTCTGGAAAATCGCCGACGGATGGGTAAGCCGCCCGCAAGCATGACACGACCGTGGCCACCGTTGCGCTAACATTGAGAGGGCGGCACGCGCAAGATCAAAACGATACACCATGCATCCGTGCTCTACGAGCGAGCAACCGAGGACCGGACACGATACCAGGGGCGCACACGAGCAGACTTTGATACTCTACACCAGTCTGTCCACGAGTTCCGTGTCGTGGATAGATCCGACGCGCATACTCGGGAGATTCGGGGCGCGGAGCGGCCCTCGGCGCAGGCGACTTGGCCGGTTCAAGGGCACGAGCACGAGCACGAGCACGAGCACGAGCTCGACACTAATACCTTGTTGAACCAGCTTTTCGCGGAAGTCAGCAATAACCTCGACGAGCAGGGGGCCTGGTCTCAATGGTGGCCGGCGATTGATCAGGTGGATCTTTAATGAGCTGCGTAATTACATCCGGGGTTTTTTTTTTCGTTGAAGCTTCCAATGAATGAGTGACGACCTTTGATTTTTTTGATTTTTTTTTTAAAAAGGGCTGTAATATCTGGTTTTCTATACATGTCCTATTTTTATTTCCCGGTCTAGAAAAACAGTCAACAGATAATGCACCTCTTCATATGGCTCCCCTCCCGTCACCGCCAACAAATGCATACCTGTCGCGTCAACCATTCGCCGTTTCTCCTTCCAATCACGCCTTTGCAAAGACCTTTCTCGAGTTCATCAGGCGAACAGCAAGCATAAAGAGCATGCCGACAAAAGGCGCCACAACCACGCCAAGAGGACGTTTTTTGAAGCAGCTAAAAAGGCACGTAAATGGCGTCTGGATTCTGTACTAGATCTACTAGAAATTTGGGACGAGAAGGGTGTACATTATAGGCGAAGAGGTTAATAGCGTTATTAGGTTGAAAATTGGCCCGCCTTGGTGTCCGGCCCGCCTTGCTGTCGAGCACCACCTTTGGTGGTGAGGGCTTTTGCTAGCCGAACCACATAAAGTGGGGCGGGCACGATTAGCAGCAGCATCCGTGCCCGTACCCCTCTTTGTCGGCTAGCCTCGAGGCCAGCGTCATGTTGCTGCGCAAGTCTCCCCTAGCGGCCGGAGACTTGGAACACAACAAAGGGCGCCCAAGATAATGTGACCGGCCTCGTGGCATGTGAAATAGACGATGCAAGTGACAAAACGCCACCAAGATCGAGACCCTGACAAGACCATTGACCCTTGACGGCCAAATGACAAGAGATTCAAAAGTGGAAACCAGGGCTTTTTACCGAGAGGGGCGTCTGCGTAGAGGATCGGTGATATCGAGACAAAGTTTGTTGTCGACGTGCTGCGATCCGTTGCGGAGTCGTTCACAGGTCACTCCGTATTGCGACTGCGTTCAATGTTGGAAATTTCCTACCAGACTGCATCAGCCGATTTGGGCAGAGCGCGGGAGGGTTACAGCCCGGTAGAGAGCCGTACCCATGTGCATCTCGGCATTATGCCAGGGTTCTGCTGGATGCGAGTGGCGACGGCCGCTGAAGAAGTTCAGGGCAGACTGGTCCGGGGTGGCCTTGGACTGGATGATATGTGCGGGTTGCATGCGAACCAACATGAGGCGGATGCAACCCTCTGGTCGATTTTCCGTGATGAAAATGACGGCGCGGATCATGGATTCATGGATCATGCTGGTACGTCCTCGACACCGGATCGTCAGTACAGCACCAGCACCGCATTAGCCGTCCAAGGCCCAAGGACCGGCACGGCGTCACTTGCCAGAAGGCATCTTCACGACGCGACATCAAAGCAGGTGACGGACTGACTGCCTTTGTTTGCCTTGGCTTGGCTAGCTAGCCTGCCTGCCTGGCCATCATGGACATTACTGGAGAAGTGGTGTCTGCAAAATCTCGGAGACGCTCGTCGGACTGGGTGCGCCCCTTGTCCATCTCTCTCGGAAGGGCTGCCGTCGGATGATGGGAGCCAAGCCTTGTTCAACGCCGAGTGAGTGACTCGCGAATATTGCAACTCGAGACCTCAGTCAGAGTCAGAGTGTTGGGGGACCAAGCCACTTCCCGGACTGGAAGCTGAGTTTTTCTGACAAGGTCCGCCAAGAGCTGTGGACAAGGGCCCATCTTCCTTCTCTGCTACTGCACCTTGAAGGATCATTATCAAAAGGCGTCACGGCAAATGGCAAAACGAAACCGGCCGGGCCTAGCTTGCACGAACTGTAGGGGTTCGCCACGGGGGTCGAGGCAGAGACCAAAATAATGCTTGTGGTTGCGTCCCGTGCCGGTGGTCCACTTATGAAATCTGGACCGAGCATGAAAAACAACGGTCCTGCATACTGTCAAAAGCTCACCACCGTGGTGGTCCATGGATGGGGGAGTCTCGAGTCTCGACTTACGGCTAGCCGACGTCTGTTGCGCCCGCCAATGCCGTGAGCCCCGTGACGGTTCGCCCCCAAGTTCCAACCAGAGTCCAACACATGGTGGGAGAAGCAAGAGGCATGCCACAATCTGATCTAGTCCAATCGCCTTGACACAAGTCTCCTTCCCCTTACCCAGAGTCTCATGGATACGATACTTGTTGGTGCCAACTTTCAACTTCGCACAATTGCCCATGGGCTCATAGGGCTTACCACGGGAACATGGGATTGGCCACAAAGCAAAGGCTATGCACCATGCGTCGCAACAGACCTTTAGCCCCCAGACCCAGACCCTGCGCAGGATTGCTTGTGAAGTGGTGTCAAGTGTGTCCTTGTTCTCGAGTCTAAAATGCGCTCGCCGACGAGGTGCGCACACCTTTGGATGGGACGTGGGCCGGTTTGTGGTGCCACGAACCGGACGTCGAGTTTGTTGAGCGTCAGTGGATGTGGTGAAGCCGACTGGACGTGCATTGCAGATAGCTCACTGACACATTGATCGACGTACAAGCCCTCCGTGGAGCGAGCCATGAGTCTGCCATGACGACGGCCGGACGATGGACCGTTCTTGTTGTGTCGAGCAGTCGCAATTGCTTTGCGGCTTTTGGTGCCATATATCGTGTATAACAGCCGGAGATATAGCCACATGGACAAGGACCAGGGTTTTGTCGAGGACCACTTCCTCCGTCCCCCGAGAAATGCGTACATGCCAGCAGGACCGGATAGCAAGCAGGGCAAGCAAACAACAAACAGAAGCAAGCAGAAGCTCGCGACTTCCACCACCCCGTAGGTGTCTTGACGGTCCGTGTGAGGTCGACAGTCGTCCGTTGCAAAAGACAGACACAAACATCTTGGCCCCGGGAACGACCAAAGGCCGTCGATTGCTGGCATTCTTGCATTCTTCACCCAAAAAACAGTCCGTCCAGCGCTCACTCTATCGCGGGCTTTCACCCTTGTCTGTCCGCCCCCATCTTCCGCCAGCCCCGTGTGGCCCGCCTCCTCCTAACGTCTGACTGCTCGCTCGAGGCCCCTTTGCCTGCAAAAAGCTCACACACTTGGCCCTCACATGCTCCAATGAAGCCTCTTACCAAGACGGTCCCCGTCCTGCTCTCCGCTTTTCAACAGCTCTCCGTCCCTGGCAACGTTCTGCCTGTGGGATTGCTGCGGCACGGACAAGTGTATGACCTGGGAAAAGCGCGGCTCCCCCGCCATGGCATCAACATGGCCTGTGCAAAAATCGGCTCTGGCTGGACTGGGTCACCGTCTGAAATATCTGTTCATACGAGATTCCGTGACAGGACGAGGTGTACCAGAACAGCCGTGCTCCTCATGAAGACGGGCCGCCCGGGAGACGGCGTGGCAGCCGAAAGGAAGGTGAAGAGGGGAGGCTGCATCTGCATGCAACGGCCTAGCTGTGCCATGTTGCGAGCCTCGAGACGGACGACCGAGTAGACGCCGCCGGTCGCCCATGTCGCCCATGTCGTCAGGACAAGGACCGGTTGACGACCTAGGTTGTTGACATCTCGGTAATATGTGGTGGACGTAAGTGAGTAACATGTTGTAGTATGTGTGTCTGGATGTGTCGCAATTGCGTCGCCAGACCCTCTCCGCCCGTCCAATTGTTTCGCCTGTTGACATTGCATAGACCCAGACCCGACCACTCGACCTAGTCTGCTGCCGTCGCCGCCGACATGCATCTGGGACCCGGAGCTGCTGGCCATGTACGTGCGGCGTACGGAGTAGGGCATCGCATTTCGTTATATTATTTTGCACCTCCTCTGAACATTTCTGTCATCTTTCATCTTTGTCCGATTTGCTCCCTACTGGCCTCGGCATTCGTTAGCCCGAGCTCTCGGTTCTGCGCCTGTTCAACGTTAGCCCGTGTGGTGAACTTTGTTTTGCACACCGAGAAAGCCATCACCACTCCTTGCTGCGCCGAGAACCTGGCGATTCATTGGCCACCCCGCCGGTGCCTTGTTCCTTCCTATCCCTGTTCCTTCCCATCCCTGGTGCCTTCCTGTGACGTCTCCAACAGCTGGGCCAAGACAGGTCAACGAGACACTGAGATTGGCAAGAGCAATTGCTTTGAGACGGTGCCGTCCTCGGAGGTGCTCACAAAACTGTCCATCGCGACTTGCCAACTCTCGTCCTTCCCTCTCCTCCCTCGCCAGACGTCTTTTTAGCACCCCTTTCACACAGCACAAATACAAAAACTAAAATAAAAATAACATCAAAACAAGACGCGATCGGTGGCAGGCTTCGCCGCCTACCTTCCACCTCTGCCTTCGTCTCGGCTGCCCGGTTTTAGCTGGATGTGACTTCTCACCCAGCCGTGGTTTCTTTCCCTGTTCATGCTGCTAGTCTCGTACCAAACTTTTCACGTCTTTGATACAGAAACGGGCCAAGGTCTGCGCATGAAGAAGCAGCTCACGGATCACCCAACTTCCTCGGGCTCACGATAGTTGAAGCACAATTTGAATTTCCTACACGAGTCCTGCGTCGCCGCTCATTAGTGCGCGCCTTGCACACAGACCTTCACCGGAGACACAGCACCGCGGAGGACCAAACGCCTCAACAGCCGAGAGCTCGCTAAGCGTCCGTCGGGGCCGTCGCCATCGCTGTCCTTCTTCCAATCCCAGCTCACTAAACAAGCCCCAACAAGCTTCGCATCGCCAACGTTTCCGCTGACGCAAGGGCTCCTGCCTCTCAGCGCTGACACCATCGAGACCTGTCGAGCCGGCCGTTCCTAGTCTGCGGCTACTACCGCACCCAAACATCCGCTGCCTTGCTCCAGCCTCGGCACTTCACCCCCGCCCACACACAGAAACGGCAAAGCAGGCACATCAGTGTCCGCAGCTGGCGAGTCGAGTTTGCCGGGTACTGGTGTTGGACTGAAGAGGCCGTTGACATCACACAATCTTTGAGCAAGCGACCCACTCGAGTGACGGTCACGCTACTCGAGCTGAACCCCAGGGCTGCTGGTACCCGATCTCCAAACGTTTGAACACGCCACCGCCGGATGGCAACAACGATCCTCGCGACAAATTAATCGTTTCTCCTCATATTGAACCATTTTGCAACCCCCCTTCACTCTTTCCAAAGTGGCAGCATGTTCCAGCCCCAATCTACACCGTTTTCCTCTTCGTCCTTCTTTTCCTCTTTGCCATCGTCCCATGGCATAGATTTTGCACCACTTTTTGGTCTACCACAACCTGCACATGCGGGAGAGAGAGACTTTGGCCCCACACATGCAGGACACCAACAGCAATATCTCGCCCATACGGGTGTCGCCACTGGCTCTTTGTCATCCTCGTGTCCTACTGACGCGCTCCACCCGCAGCAACAATACCATCTGGGCCAACAGCTTCCGCCACGGCCATCCTTGGAGCGCTCGCTTGTTGCCAACCGCCTACAGCAGCATTCTACGAACAGGCCAGCACCCAGTATGGAGGAACAAAGCAGCCATGACATGGCTGCGCAGCAGGAGGCAGCAAAGGACTATCGACCGAAGCTTCAGGTAAGCTGATTTCCAGCTGGCACTGTTTGCGCCGTGTGTGTGCTGCACCAGGAGGCAATCTCCTCTTGTTGGGAAGTTAAAATCTACATGCATTGTCTTGTCCCGACTTTTAACGAAAGTGATATCAACAGGGGCCTTTGGTGGGAGACAAAACTCCTAGTGAAGTCATCACAAACGAATACGCAAAAGCAGATCAAGTCTACGTCGAGAAGACAATTGTAAGTTCTCCAACAGCATGGCCGATGAACAGGCACACGCAGCATCAGCATTTGGATCTGAAGTTGATTATTTTTACTCTTCTGTAGGCATTACCCCAAACATACTCACACTATCGTCCTATAAGAGGCGATGGCAACTGCGGTTGGAGAGGTAAGCTTGCTCCCCATCGTTCAACAATAACGACGTTTACCATGTGCAAACAAATGAGGGAAAAATGTAAAACACGCTGACAGACTTGAAGCAATCGGGTTCTCCTACTTTGAGAGACTCATTGAACGTGGTGATCAAGCCCAAATTGAAGGAGAGTTTGCTCGCTTGAAGAGTCTGAACCAGTTGCTGGAGACAGTGGGTAAGTATGAGTATACCGAAGAATTTGCCGGTGAAGCCTTTGATCTGCTTCGCGAACTTGCAAGAATTGTCGACAAGCCAGCAGCCGCCCATTCTTTACTCCATCAGAGGTGGAATGACGTTGCTGTGGAAGGCAGCCTTATATACTACCTTCGGTTGTTAGCGGCAACGTTTCTAAAGGCAAATGCGGAGACATATGAGCCCTTTATACCCGGAGGGCAGAGTGTTGATGAGTATTGCAGCCATAATATTGAAATAGTCAATCGCGAGATTGAGCAGCTAGGCATCGTGGCGTTGGTCAACATACTCTTGAAACCCGTCAATTTTGTTCTGGAAATTGCGTATCTGGATCGAAGCACCGGAAGCCAAGTCAACCAATATCGTTTTCCCGAGGAGGCAAATGGCAAGGATATCTCAGCATTGGGACCGATCATCTATCTTCTTTATCGACCTGACCATTACGACATCTTGTACCGAACGTCGACGGTAAGGACCTCTCCACCACCGGTTTCTCTGCAGGTGAATCGAGTCACGGGATTTACACATAATGCTCCATTCAACGCCACAAGTGCTTCGATGGGCGCTTTCTCTACGGTGGACTTTGGTGCTCTCAGCATGATACCCGGCTTGAGCACTGGGTCTTCCGATGGACTGGCGGGCTTGATGTCTATGCCCGCAGTGACTGCAGCGACCAACCCTATCATCGGAGACGCCTTCTCTTCAAGCCAACAAGCGACCTGGATGCCACAGTATGGGGCGGACATACAATCGACCAAAGGGGAATCCCCAACACAGCCACCGCCAACCGTTGCGACAATCCAGCATCCTTCACCATCTCCCCTTCTTACACCAACCACACCGATGAGCTCTAATGCCCCAATGATGCCCCCATCTGCAAATATGGTTCCTCAGCAACTCCCCCCACACATGACAACCCCCGGAGCCACGGGATATCCGATACGATTCAGCACCCATCAGCTCGAGTATGAAAACAACAGCTTCCCTGAACCTACCTTCCAGGTAACGACGAACACCTTCAAGAATAGCGTGTGGAATAGGGCTCACTATGGGAATCCTGACTTCCAGCCGGAGGAGTGGAATCCAGAAGAGGATGGCGCCGAGAACCGATTAGCTGGAAAGCGAAAAGTTAGAAAGGACTCGTCTTGAGTGCTAGGCAACGGTGGATGCTTCTCAGATAAAAAATTGCCAAAAGGCATGGACACAATCATCTCAACATGAACTTCACAATTTCAACCACTACGGAATAGAGAAAAAAAAACAGCATTTATCCCATACGGGTGGCTGATACCCATCAGTCAATCTGAAACCAATGACGTTGACTGATGATTAATATGCCATGAGCGCAGCAACGTCCCTTTGGCGCCGACCTTGTATCTGGCAAGCAGCATGGAGCAGATGTAGCTAAGGAGGGATGATCACAGCGGCAGTTAGAAAGCCTAATTGAGGAGGTTGATTCGTCTGATGATGGAGTAGGAGGTCCGAGGGCTGTGACATGGAGCTGGCGTTGAGGGCATATAACATCAAATGCGATTTCACTACTTTTCACTTCTTAAATGCCCCCCTTGGAGCATTTTGGAGATTCTCGTGGCTATTCAGTGCATTTTTTATGTGGACGTTGCTCGTGGTGAAGCCGAGACGAAGCTGGAATAGGAAATGGTTGACTTTTCCTAGACTGCAGTCCCACGACTTCCCGATAACGCCCGCGCCCAGCCATCAGACTTGCGTGGGCGTCTTGTTAAACAGTCAGACCGTTCAATTGCCGGACACATAGTCGCAGACGAGGTGGTGGTAGAGCTTGGTGCGTGGGCAACAGCAATCATGATCCGCCCAGCGGCGGCGGCAGCCAAGGGATGGCACCACAGTGTCGGAGAGAGAGTCTTGTACCGAAGGTGCTTCACCCAAGAGCTTGGATATCGCAGAGATTGTTGAGCCCGGAGGATTTGTTTTCGGTCAAGACATGTCAATAGTGGCGGAATTGGGGAAGAAACATGCAACAAACTCCCTGACGTCGGCATCTCGACCGGCCTTGTCGACATTCTCCTCCTTCTTGTCACCTCCGCCGATGATGTTACTACGCATTTTTCCGCTGTACAACGCGGGATCCTGCTCCACAAAAGCGAGCTGGATCCGATAGCCCTGCAGGTTGCAACTCGGAATGTCCTTGTCATCGGCGTGAACTCATGCGGACTGTGGATCGAATAGCCTTTCAAGCAGCCTCAACCCGGAACTTTTCCGCTGCCACTCGTGTCGACTAGGGCGCTGAAGTGACCTTGTGTCGCTATCAATGTGATATCATGCAAGTAAAAATGCCGTTTTGCCGTCCTCCGGCGCTGGATATGCAAAGTCCATATTCCGCACTGCTACCTCCTCTTTGAGGTCCTCTGCCAGCGCTCCGGTTTCAGCACCGGCATCAACCTGCGGCCTTGGAACCAGCTAAACCTGGAGCGTACGAGAAGTTGTCACCTGCAGACGGCTATGCTGCTTGGCGACAGAGCAAATGAGGATACGGAAGTTTTGAACAGCGTCTTTTCCGGCCAGGGGGGTGTGCGGTGCGACTTTGCGGCCCCCGTATCAGACAGAATATGAGGAACATGCAGAACTCCATTACCGATTGGTTCATTCTTCCGAGGAAAGAGAGAGAGGTGCTGAATTTCTGATAAGCACTTCCTCTCTCGCTTGGGTAAGTTGTCGGCGGTGTCGCTGGGCCACTTTGTCTTCAGGGTCAGGACCGGGCGTCGCAATGGTTCGTATTCCGCAAATGACTTCGGAAACAAGACTCACTGTGTTTGTGTCTCTTGCATATCCCCCAATTTTTTTCCTGTTTCAGGTCGCCAAGTCTCCATATCGGGAGCATCCTGTGTTGAAAGTGATCGCTTCCGTGGCGAGGCCAGCAAGTCCGAGGTTCCATGCAAATGAGATGGCGACCACGAAGCCCGTCAACGCGGAAGCGATTTAATTTCCCACTCGCCGAGGATGGTTCCCCTGAGGCTGATGACTGGGTTCCATTGTTGAGCCAAGAATGTTGTTCACGCACCGGAATTGTTTTGGGGCTGCTGGCGAAGAAGGTGGCGTGATGCCATAGAACGCACGACATCTCGCGCTCTACGCGCTCTTGAGTTCGTATGGACGAAGCATACGCCAATGAAACGCCTTGTGGGAAGTGACCCAGGAGGATGATCCGTACGGTGAGCTACTACATGTCAGACCAGAATTGATTCCGTCATGCCCGGGGTTGTAGACGGTTCGCGGAGAGCGAGCATCATGTCATCGAAGAATATCCGCTTTAGCAGGTAGGCCACTCCTGAGAAGACGGTACCGATTAAGCCGAGCAATGGGAAGGGTCTTTGTGGGAGGTTGAGGTTCAGGAGGAATGATTGAGATTGGCATGATTGACTACCTTGGGACTGACCGCGTCTCTTGTGATGCTAGAACTCGTCGGCAAGGGTGTCCGCTTCTTGCTTCACGTTGTTTCACGTGGTCAATTCCATTTTTAGCTTAGTTAGCTTCATTTACGCGCTCCGTGTACTCCTTCATCGCCTTGAAGCTCTCGTGTGGTTGCTGGGGATTGTATGCTCCATTGTGGCCGCCATGACGGGCCCACGGGATGTGTTCCCTCGTCGGCGACGCAGCTGTGCGCTATGAAGACGACCTTGGCGGCACGTCGCACCGCTGACAGTTTATGGGAAATAATCACAAACTGTACATATGCCAGACTTGTTGCGATGGCGCAGGATTTCCAGGACGAGAGACCCGGACTTGGTATCTGGCGCCGTCGTCGCTTCGTCGACCGAAAGAACCTGTGGGCTCGAAACCTTCTTGGACAATGGAAATTCGTTGTCTCTGGCCGCTGCTAGGAATCTTTGCTCCTACCTCTCCGACGTGTGTGCCACAGCCTTGGCGGCGGCCGCTTATGAAGCTGTGGGCGTTGGGAGGATTAGCTATTGACGTCTCCTGCTTTTGACTCGCCGAGGGCTTACTCCGAGGTACTCAGAGATTGGGGATGTCCGACCGTCAGGACGGATTAAACAGCGGAACTGCAGGTAGGATCTCTCTAGCAAATACCTCAACAGGGAAAAGCGCACTTCCCTGACCTTGTAGGCCCAAGGTATATCTAGCGTGAAGTCATGTGAAATTATCTGGCCCTTCTCGCGGGGCACACGAAGCGTACCGCTCCAAACTAAACTTTTCCAGATGTGCCCACTTCCCCATCTAAGAGGTTGAACCAGTCCTCTGACAACTCAAGAACATGAGCTGGTTGCGAGAACCTTTCGACTTTCCAGTTGCTGTTATTGTAAGGCAGTGCGTCTGGAGCAGAGCTGTCCATGGACGAGCGATGTGCCGGTATAACAAGGACAAGCGGAATCTCTATCGTTGTCGTGTGCAAGTAGAGCGACGAAACGGATCACTGCTAGGGCCGCCATATTATCAAAACCTCGAATCGCAAAATGAGTATATATGCTTGAGGAAAGACTGGCTGGCAACACGAGCCCTGCAAAATGTTGTAGAGAGACGATCCTGCTCTGATCAATACTCTAAATGCTTACTTCGAACCAGCTATGGCGTTGAAGGAGAGCCCCTGGCAGCTGCAGTGTCCACATGTTCGGGACCGTCTATAATATGTACCGATCTTGTGCAAATGAACGCCTAGCGCGGTTGACCTCAAGTGCTTTCTCGTCCGTCAGCCCTAGTCTATCACCCAACGGGACGAAACCACAAGCCAGACCGAACTAGCGAGGGAAAACCACACTCGTCTCTCCGGCTCTCTTCATCACATCTCTGACATACCTGGTGCTCGCAAAGTGTTCTGGATAACCTCGTCAATCGTCAGACAGTCAAATGTCTTCGGCGGCGTTGGTGAGGACGTAAAACTGTATGGGTAGCTGAGTATAGGTAAGGCTGAATAGTAAGTGACCTACAAGCTGCGCAGCAAGGGGACAATGGGAGGTCGTGTCCGCGAGCTCCCGTCAAATGCACTTGCCCAGCCTCTGGCATAAAGGGACAAACCCAGGGAGAACGCGCCAAGGAGCTTCAAGATTTCAGACACAATCATGCTGCCAGTAGCCAGAGACGAGCGACCTTGCGCTCGCGCTCGGGAAGTGACGACTGCCGAGAGCTTCAGCCCGAGCCGGGAGGAGACTAATTAGCACCTCAGAGGCACCAACATGACCGGTTGGGATTGATGTCTCTTTTGATGAGTTTGTGAAGCCCCCAAGCTCTAGCAGGCTCGTCATGGCGAGGTTGTACTAGTTGCAGTCAAATCAGGCTAGCTGGTTTGCGGTCCAGCGAAGTTGAGGATGCCGCGAAACAGCATGGTGCATTTAGGCGGTGGTCACAGGGGCAAAGGAGGAATGCAACTGAGCTTTAGGATCTACAAACACTTGGGAGTCATATTAGAGCTCGACGTTTGGACATAAAGCAGGGCCAAGCGGCGTATTTGTTCGAGTCATAGTTCTCGCGGTTAAAGAATAGACGCCAAGCACACCAGTTGACACCTTGGCAGAAAAGCCCGGCTTCATGAATGATTAAGAGGAGAGGAGGATTTTTCCGTGTTTCTTCTCCCTGCTGTCTGTAGGTTTGCCTCATGAGTCATGAGCCACTCTCCATGGCAGTCTGGATCTTGCGTAATATTCTGGCAGGGTTTCCTGCGGCAACATGGAATGGAGGGATATCCTTGGTCACGACGCTGCCGGCTCCGACTGTGCATCCTCGGCCGACGGTGACACCGCCGAGGATGACGACGTCGCCCCCGATCCAGCAATCCTCCTCGACGGCGATGGGCTTCTCGGTGACCAGTCCAAGGTCGCCGTTGCGCAACTGGGGGTCGAGATGATGCGAGCCACAGTAGAAGCTGCAGTTGGGACCGACGACGGTGCGTGCCCCAATTGTGACGGGCACGGCGTCGTGAAAGGTGCAATTCCAGTTGAGGAATGTCCCTTCGCCCAGCCGGATATTGAACCCGTACTCGGCGCGAAGGGGCGCCATGACGACCGGCTCCCTGGCCAGCAAGGCCTCATCGTCTGCTTCTGTGGCTGGTCGCGGTGGAAGGGGGTGGTCGTCCAAGGTGAGACTGGTTGGGCGATGAGTTGACTTTAGTACTCGCACGTCGGTCGTCCATGCCATGCGCCGCGTCGACGCATCCGCCAAGGGACAAGGGCAAGTGAGCTCACCTCCTCCAGAGTTCCACCTGGTTGCGTCGGGAATAATCCCGTGAATCGTTTAGCGCATCGCAGGCGCGCGTGCAGCGGAGGCGCGCGGCTACCAGCTCGGGCACTTTAGCGTCGTAGCTGTCGCCCTGCTGCGCCTTGATCCATTCTGTAGAGCGGAGGAGCTGCTGCTTGATGCTGGGCTGAGCCATCACGAATGCCAAAAGAGTCGCATTCTTGCCTTTGTCCCCTAGAAGAGAGGGCAGCGGAAATAATCAACTTGCTCCGGACGCTGGGCCAAGCTACATTTACATGCTGCCGTGTTCGCCAGACCAGATGTGAACCGCGCGACACGAGCCCCCGTGGCGTTTCTTGGCAACTTATACCCGCGGGTCATGCCGCGTGCGCCACGGCCAGCTTACTTAAGTAGGTGGGTGACTGGAACAAGGGGTGGGACCTGGTTGGCCACAACCCGTTTTTTTGGTGCGACAGATACCCGCGGCCCCACCAACTATCGGGGCCTAGTCAACCTCCATTGTGATTCGTTTCGGTGCATTGAGCCGCGACTGAGCACAATGATTACAAATAACAACTCTTGACTCAATTATTTGGTGATAATATTTCTTCTTCCTTGGTTTTTATGGCAGGCAAACGGTCTAATACTATGCACCATGTCCTCCGATGAGCTGCCGCGCAGCGCAGGTGTAAAACACCCCTTGCATGTACTGTCGGCCGATGAAATTCGAGTGGCCGCCGCGGCTGTTAGACGCGCGCGTACAGGTCAGCTTGTTTTTCGAAACATCTTCAACCTCGAGCCCCCCAAAGCCCAGCTTCTCCCTTTTCTCGACGCAGAGCACGCCAGCACCGTCGGTGCAGACACTCCACGGCCTGCTCGTCGTGCCCGTGTCCAGTACGACGTCATTGAGCACGATGGGGGCCGACTTTACATGGAATCCACGGTGGACCTGGCCACGGGCCAGGAGGTGGACGAACGGTGCCTTCACACACATCAGCGAGCCTCCTTCACCGTCGACGAGTTCCAAGCCTTCATCGACAATGCCCTTGCTGACCCCGTCTTCCAGCGCCTCGTTGCAGAGATGGAACTCCCGACTGGCTGGGAGGTGGCCATTGACCCCTGGCCATATGGAGGTTCCGACTTTGGAGACGACTACACCACTCGCCTGACACAGCTCTTCTGCTTTGCTCGAGACATGACCAAGGGGAACCGTGATGTCAATCACTACGCCTTCCCACTCCCGATCTGCGCCGTCATGGACACAGCCACCAGGCAACTTGTTCGCGTAGAACGCCTCCCGACCGGAGGACACGGTGATGTCGACGACTTTGTTTTGAAAACTATTGGACACGGCTCTCCTGCCCCCAAGAAGCCCACAGAGCATTGCCAGCACGCAGATTACGTACCAGAGATGCTCAACCAGCCCGTGCGCCCCGACTTGAAGCCTCTCAACGTTTTGCAGCCAGACGGCACCTCCTTCACCGTGACGGACAACAGCCTGGTCGAGTGGCAGAAGTGGCGGCTGCGTGTCTCCTTCACGCCTCGCGAGTGCGCAGTCCTCCACGACATCTACTACGACAACCGCAGTGTCGTGCATCGGCTGTCCTTCAGCGAGCTGACGGTGCCTTACTGCGATCCCCGGCCCCCCTATCACCGTAAACAGGCCTTTGACTATGGCGACGCCGGGGCGGGCAGGACTTCCAACGTGCTTAGCAAGGGCTGCGATTGTCTGGGCGCAATTCAATATCTGGATGCCACCCTTGTCACGCCCAGCGGAGAGCCTGATGTTTCCCCCAACGCCATTTGCATACATGAAGTTGACGACGGCATCCTGTGGAAACACACCAACCTGATGACCGGCCGTGCTGTCGTTGTGCGAAACCGCAAGCTGGTCATCCAATACATCATCACGCTAGGAAACTACGAGTACATATTTGCCTATCACCTCGACTTGGCCGGAGGTATCCATCTCGAGACGCGCCCCACGGGAATCATGTCGCCCGTAGGCATTGACGAGGGCAAGACCTCACCGTACGGCACTGTCGTAGGGCCCGGCGTCTTGGCCCAGAACCACCAACACATTTTTGCTGTGCGCATCGACCCGGCCGTTGACGGGCATGACAATACCGTCACGGTGCAGGATTCCGTACCTCTGCCCATGGAGCCGACAAGGAATCCGTACGGCAATGGCTATCGGGTGCAGTCCACGACCATCACCAAGTCCACGTACATTGACGCGTCCCCGTTGACCAACCGCGTCGTCAAGATATGCAACCCGTCCAAGAAGAATCCCGTCTCTGGCCGCCCAGTGTCGTACGAATTCACTCCGGCGCCTACGCAGCTGCTCATGGCGGATCCGGCATCCGACATTGCCCGCCGCGCCAAGTACGCCAGACACCACGTCTGGGTGACCCGACACGCAGACTATGAGTTCTGGGCCGGCGGGGAGTTCACCAACATGTCGCGCGAGGAGGAGGGGGGCTGTCACGACGCGGCGGCCCGCGACGACGACGTTGAGAACGCCGATGTTGTCGTCTGGGCTGTTTTCGGCTTCACTCACTCTCCTCGCGTGGAGGACTGGCCGGTGATGCCCGTGGAGCGCCGCGAACTGCACTTGCGGCCGGTGGATTTTTTCAGCGCCAACCCGGCCCTGGATGTGCCCAGTCGGAGAGACGCGCGGTCTGTTCTGGTCGACGGCGAGTGCTGCGCGGATGGTGCTTGAAATGCTGTGCCTGGCAAGGGTCGTCGTGGCCAGATGGTGGGAAGTTTCAAAGTCACGCCTATCATTGACGGCATCGCGGAGCATCATGTCCAGGCGAATTCAGTGCCAAGGACGGATGTAATACGGATATTAGATTGTAGGTGACGCAAGACGGCCCCCGGGCCTACTCGTTGTCGCAATCAAGGATAGCTTGAAAAATCTAGGCGAGTTGACTTGCCAGCCATTGAGATGGTCCCGTCATGTTTCTACATCGTCAGTTCCTCCCGTAGCTTGGGATCCTCTAGGAACGAAGAGTTTGGCGAGCATCTCTGGACACATTCTGCCCTCGAGCAGACTCGACTCGACCCGGTCCCTCGGCTTGGCTTCTGCTCTTTTGGCCTTTCCGTACTCCCGTCAGTCACGACCACACTTGCCCACACATGACACATTTGCGCCCCGACTGTCCATGTTTTGTACTGGGGGAAGATGAGATTTTGTATTCCGAAACGTTTACCTCCCGCCGCGTCCCGTCACCCGCGCAACTGTGCAATGCAGCTGCCTAGCACATTGGCCGCCTCGGTCAGCAGCTCCCATCGCGTGTTGACGAAGCCGTCGCGCAGAATCATCAACAACCCCAGGCACCGGTTGCGTCGTTGCATCGCCTGAAGATCATGGGGAGATTGCAGGCCACGCATGCGCTGAAGGAATTCCATCATGTCGCGGCGTTGCTCTGCAGCCGTCATCAGAGTCGGCGGCAGGGCGATTGGACCATCGACGGCGAACCCATAGCACCAGACTATCAGTGCGGCCATGTACATTACCCACGGCCGGTTGAGGCTGTAGTCCTCCCGTCCCGAATAGACCTCGTCGTTATCGTCGTCGTCGTCGTCGGCGGCGGAAGCGCCCGTCAGCAAACACTCGCACAGGAACTTCAGGGCGTAGAAGGCGGCCTCGCGGGCTGAGGCCTCGACGATCCATCGCTCAGCCATCTTTTCAACAGCGGCGCTGCCGTCTCTCGACCGTCCCGCGCGTTGGACGGCGTCGGCAAAGCTCTGACATTCGAGAATGTCGACGCGCGATGCCATTTGGGCAAGGCCATGCAGCACGCCGCGCGTTTCCATGAAGCCACCTTTGCCTGGTGGCCGCCGCGCCCGATACTCGCAGCCCAAGGCTGGCGATGCGTCCCGGCCAAGGACATCGCCATGGTCCCGCCGCCAGTTATCAAACGCTCGGAGCAACGCCGATCGTCGATGATGTCGGCTGCCCGGAATGTCGAGCGGGCAAGACCGTTGCGACTCCCGCTGCTTCATGTACCACAACACGCTGAGCAGTCCACTCATGACGATGTGAATACCAAAGGCGTCGGTCCGCACTCGCCGTCCCTCGAGGGTCTCCTTGAGCGCGTCCAGAAACATGATGACGGGCGTCCCGCCGTTGGCTTGCAGGCTGGAACGCACGCGGACGACTTCGGCCGCGCTGGTCGCCGACCAGAGCGCCTCGTCGCACGGCAGCGGCAGCCGAAGCTCGTGCGCCGCCATCTTGGGATGCTGTCCAAACATGGCGGCATGCGCAGAGTCCAGCACCAGGGCCGCAAAGACAACCCGCCGCGTGGCCTCGGCCTTGATCCAGTTCGTCCAGGACTCGTCCGACCCAGAGTCGAGCGTCATGTTGGAGCCGAGCACGTCGCTTCCTCGGCTGGGTTGCGACGAATCCGCCGAGCACCCGATGAACAAGCTACCGCGCCGCATCAGGGCCAGCGTGGTGTCATGATGGATATGCGCCCGCTCGTGGAGGGAGCGTGTCGAATACATCTTCTCGTGGATCTCTATGAGTAGCAGGGCCTGGAACACCCAGAGTTTGGTGGGTGCCTGAAACTCGGCATCCATAAACACCTCCCAGCGAAGATGCCAGACGATGAAGTTGGCCAACTCGGAGACTGTCTCCATCACATCCGGGCCGTGGACGCGATCCAGCGTCGACGCCCCGATTGCGATGACGGCCAGAAGAAGGAGGTTGGGTGCCTGGTCCGCCACAAAGGCCGGACGATGAAGGATGGGTAGCTGCGGGTGAAAGTAAAACCAAAATGCCTCCAGGTATGTTCGCACCATTCGCAGACTCAGGATGTGATCGTCGTTGGTCATGTCGCCCTCCAAGAAGGCCTCCTTGCGGTTGGCCACCGCCGGGTGCGCTGCCTCATTGAACCGCGTCGCCATGAGGCCTACGAGTTCCTGGAGCTTGTCTTCCGACATGATGCTGCGCGGCGGCCCGGGATCCGACGACCTGGCGGCACTCGGGGATCGGTCTGCGATGGCGCCGCCGGATAACGCCCCATAGGCCGTCTCACTGATGCCGAGTTGAGATTGAAGCCGAGCGGCATCCAGATGACTGGGGATCACACCTGTCCATGACGGATATGCGACGGATGATGAAGAAGCCACGGATGATTCGTTGAACAGCCACGCGGTGAAGTCATCCTCCACGGCAAAGGCTCGCTGGCTGTCCATCTCACTGCCAAATAAGGGGTAGCCACACGGGGGGAGCGAGTCAAAGGCGGCGTCCCCAACTGCTAAGCCGGAGGCTGCCATGCCTGACATGGTACCTAGTGTACTTGTCCTTGCCTCCTGCGTTGCTGGCGCCGACTCTGATGACGTTACCGGTACGAGAGATGTATCCGGGTAGCCATTGACCAAGATTGGCAAGCCCGTGTGTGCCATGGGTGAGCCGCTCAGCTCGGTAGAGATTGGTAAAATGACGCTCGGGTTCTGTGTTTGACTGGCGAATGCTCCAACTGCGTCAGGTGCCGCAGATTGAGGCTCACCACCGTGACTAGGCTCACATGAGCCGAGGGTCGTGCAGGCTCGGCGCCGAATATGAACCGGAACATGAGGGGCGCTCTGCCTGTCCGGGAGGTTACATGTCTGGTGCGGTAGAGAGCTCGTGTGCTGTGAAGCCAGATTATGGAAACTAAACACTCGGTTCACGCCCGTCGATGGGGAAGCGGATAATGTATCAGCGTTTCCTTGGTTTGCCTGGTTACTTGCCTGGCATTCCACCAAGCCCGCTGTCGATTGCCGACGCGATTGGGGGGTGGCAGTGGATAAAGAAATCTCCCGATGTTGAGGCATTGGCGGACCGGTGTCTCCGGAGAATGTCAGGGAGAAGAAATTACCCTCCTGAAGCCTGGATCTCCGCCTCTTGTGTCGTTCTCGGTGTCGGGCAAACAGGTCTTGCCGCACAAATACTCGGTAACAGCCGAGAAAGTCGCATGGATAGATCTTTTTGGGGGCATCTACTGAGTGGTCCTCCAAGGAACAAGGTTGAGTAAGTCCTCGGTGTCATCATGTTCCGGGAAAAGGATAAACATACGGTTCAGTTGGTGGCGATAGAGATGCCCTGCACGAGAGTAGCTCTTCTCACAGCCCTCGACATTGCATTGGAATGTGCGATCGAACTGGGCTTTGCCGCTCCGATTTGGCGTTTTCAGAGTCTCGCTGCCCTCTGCATGGGTCTCGCTGTCCGAAAAAGCCGCCACGATTTCATCCTGATCCATGCCACCAATGGCGCTCTCGAGAGATGTCATGGCGATGTAGCGGATCGAAAGGAGATCGAAAGGACATATCCAGGGTATTACTGAGAACCGCGTCGCAGCTCGTGCACGAAGATGAGAAGAAGCAAAGTTTCCATAGACTTACCTTGGATATTGGCTGCGGCGGCTGGGTTTGGGATGTCGGCCGGCTCTCTTTTGCACCTTGCCGTACAAGCCATCCTGGGCAACGAGACCACAGCTAGCCAGAGCTCGATGGCGTCGAGGTTTCACACATTTCCTCTCTACAGCATGCGGATGGACGGGAGGTTTGACGTCTGCGTTGCAATTGCATACCGATGATTTGAAAAGGGTGGCCGTTCGCCCTGCATATGTGGTCTCACATTGACAACACAACGGCCGGAGCTATTTGTATAAGCGAGGAGACGCTCTCCTCTATTTTAAGTAGCACTGCCGTTCAAGTGGCGCCCGGTTTCCGGACTGAAGCTTTGTCCCAAGGACTCCCCGAGGGCGTTACGGATCGTTTTGTACGCTTCTCATGTAGTGTTGCTCGCCTGTCTCTTTCCCCTTGCTTAATGTTACCATCTAGGAAGCGCCCGACCAAGTTCGTGATAGAACTGACGTAGACGTGGCCAAAAGCACCACTTTGATGGCAGTGAGGGTTCAACATCCATGAGAGCACTCTCACGTTGTGTTTATTCATCTTTCCCGACAAGAGAATAGATCCTGCACCTAAGCTGATAGATGTGACCTTTTATCGGTGAACACCCACCCTCTTCCGGAGCCGAAGCGTCACACTTGACCAGTTTTTGTGGCCTCGGGTTGAGTGGGTAAACCGCAGGTCGGGCCAAACGACATGCCGGTAGCACAACGTGCTCTCGAATGAATACGCCTATCATCGTGAGACTCATCGAGAAGCCGCATACCATGGAGCTCCACAAGGGCGTATGTTTTCTCAGAGATTCGTGCCCAAGTGGGTTCACCCTGCGAAGCCCAAGGATGCACCTGGACTCCAACGTCAAGGGGCTTGGAGTGGGAGAGCTGAAACCCACCAGACCGAGGGTTGAGCGTTCTCGGGTTGCAATCTGGGGTGGCACTTGCGAAATGGCACTCCAACGGTCCGTCTGCAGGGTCACAGCCACATTTTCATGTTCGGAATCGACCCTACTGGGTCGTGGTCTACGCCAGGTAGACCTTTCAAGCTGCGAACCGTCGGGAAGAGATGGCGGTTCGAAGAAGAGACTGAAAGGTATTGGTTCTATCATCTATCCTCCCTCAACTTCCGCGAATGGCCGTGATGGTTTCCGTAGACTGCACCGAGAGACGTGCTGTGGTAGCGTAGCAGCCTCGATACCAGAGCAGAAGAGCGGCTGGGATGGACCCAGCCTTCCAAAAATATCAAAACCAAGCTCATTCAAAGCATTGGACGGCGGTTGGAAGTTGGCGAAAATCAATCCTGCAGAGACCCGTGGGTGTAGCCAAGGAAGCCCGGGTAACCTTCCTGACTAGGTTGCTGCAGTTGGGAAGATGCTCTTTACCAAAAGATGAGAATGAAAAGCTTTGGGCACCCCCTGAGAATCTACCACAGATTTGACTGCCTTGAGATGCTGATGGCTATACCGTCACGGCGAGACTTCATGCCGGCACACGGGGTCGCCTGCAGAGTACCAACCAACGCTTTCCCGAGGCTTTGCGTTGCCTTTTCAGAGCTCCATTGTCGCCAATAAGTGTCGAAGCCGGGTTGCTCAGCGCTGTAGGTACCGTGAATGGACGGAAATGTCTTGCCTTTGCGGTGGACTCGGAGTCCCCCTGGACCAACCTTGGGCATGTTTGTCATGTTTGGTAACTGGGCTCGTCGGCAGCCGGCAGAGCAGAACACCCCTTCACGACACCCAATTTGAGGCCCGAATGTTACCTTCATGTGGTGCGCGCGGGTTCATCCAAATCGTAGCTCAACGGCTGCAACTTTGCCGCAGTCTTCTTCCCTTGGTGAAGCTGATGGGCTTGACCGCTCCAGGGCGGGTGCAGGAGTACAGGGCAGGGCGTGAACCGAAATTTCAATCATCAGCAAGATGCAAGATGCACAGATCCGCCTCGGTGTACAAAAGACGTTGGTAGCCAAAGTCCATCACGCCCCGTCTGGTATGTAACTGCGCTCCTCGCCGCGCAACATGGAGGCCCCGACGACGGCATCAGCATCTACAGACATAGTCTGGAACAAGGACCGTAAGAATGATCTTGCGCGCTGCCGCTTGTTTTCCGTCATTGCCTGCGTATTTCTGCACCATGGCGGTCCTCTCGTTGTTCGCGGGAGCGTCTCCAGAGGCCAGCCTCGGAGAGCTATGGGGCTTCGATGTGAATATCTCCTCGTCGGCCGAGGCGGCCAGCGCTGATGTTTGCTTGAACAGTGGGCGTTCTCTGGCATTTCGACATTCAACCACCTCCCACACTCACGATGCTTGGTCAACCGCTCTGAAGTGTTCGACATTGCCATCGTGGGGGTCCCCTTTGATTCTCTCACCACCTACCGATCAGGTAAGACGGCTCGGACGCCGGAGCCTCGAGAGAGGAGGGAGACGTGATGACGGTGCTGACCCTGCCAAATACTAGGTGCCCGCGAGGGCCCCAAGGCCATCCGATGGGCCTCTGGGCGCCATCTCTCGGCAAGGAGCTTCCATCCCAGCCTTCACTTCAACCCGTACGAGTCGTGGGCCGTGGTCCTGGACTGCGGCGACATCCCCGTCGTCCCCAACGACCCCGTTCTGGCCATGGAGCAGATGGGGACCGCGCTGACCGAGCTGCTGTCACGCTCTACATCGCATGCAAGCCGCTGGAGGCATCCTCGCCTGGTGATTCTGGGCGGCGACCACTCGATCGTGCTCCCCATGCTGCGGGCCCTGAATCGGGTGCGGAACGAGCCCGTCGCGCTTCTGCATTTCGACGCGCACATCGACACAATGGATCCCGACTCGTATCCGCGAAAGGGCTGGAAGTCTCGGGCCTCGGAGATCAACCACGGGACGGTGTTCTGGCAGGCCGCGCAGGAGGGCCTCCTCCGCCCGGGCCGTCTGGTCCACGCCGGTGTTCACGGCAGGGTCTCGAGCCTGCAGGACTTTCGGGGCGACGATGCCATCGGCTTCCTGCGCATCGCTGCCGAGGAGATTGACGAGGCCGGTCCGGCGGCCATCATCCGCACCATCAACCATACAATCGGGCCCGATGTGCCGGTCTATGTCAGCATCGACATCGACGTGCTCGACCCGGCGTTTGCCCCTGGGACCGGGGCCCCCGAGACGGGCGGCTGGACATCCCGCGAGCTGATGCGGATCATGACGGTGCTGTCAGAGTTGAATGTGGTTGGGGTGGACATCGTCGAGGTGAGCCCTGCGTACGACAGCGCCGGCGGCGACACGGCCTTTGCGGCGGCAAATCTGGCGTATGAAGCGATATCGCTCATGGTCCAGCGTGAGATTGAAACAAGAAGCTCGGAGAAGCAGTCGCAGTCTAGTTCTCAGGCTGAGAAGACGGAGTTGTAAAGCAGCTTGTGGGGAGGGGGGCACGTTTCCCACGTTGTGTCTCTCAAGGCTTTTAATGGGGTTACATGCACGAGCGGCCTGGGCTCTGTATCAAAGTCCGCCGGCATATGTTGAGGGGAGAGTAATGCCATCATGGTGAGGGAAGGGAACGGCTTAGTCTTATCTATAGCGTCTCAAGGGGACGATTGTGAAATGCTCGTCAGGGGCGTACACGTACAGGTGTTTGAAAACGAAACATGGATTTCTGGATATGCACAAATGAGTTGCAAGAGTTGAGAATCTAGCAACGCCATGTAGACGTTGTCTCTACATGAATGGTTCGTCAAGCTTTCTCGGTTTCTACAAACTACCGTTGGCGGCATGTAGTTTCTTCAATTGTAAAATTGTACAAACTACCGTTGGCGATACACATGCTTCACTCTCCGGCGTCATGTATCAAGCAGCTCAAGCCACTCTTGCCAGCTCGCTGTTGACGGCGAAGCAGCGCCCCTGGATCTCCGGCGAACTCTCACCCTCGAGAGCCGCGCCGAGCAGGGGAGAAAACGTCAGGCAAACGCCGGGCTGGAACAGCACACAGTAGGAACTGCCGCCGTAATGAAAGCTGCCCATTTCCTGGCCCTTGGACACCCTGTCTCCCACCTTGACCTTGGCCACGCAGCTCGACACGTCCGACATGCCGACGGCTATGAATCCCACGAGGCCCAGCCTGGCGTCGTCGGCGCCGAGTATGACTACCGTACGCGTCGCAATGGAGGTCAACAGCCTTTGCGACTTGTCGGGAGCTTGACGGTCGGGACACGGCATGTGGGCGGCGTCGACGCTCTCGAATCCGTTTGAGGCGTCGGCGGCGAAGTACGTCCCGGGGATCTGGGCGACTTTGGCGACTGTGCCGGCAACAGGCGCGTGCCATCGGTGGTAGTCGAAAAGGGAGAGCCACCCCTGAAAGACGGTCCCTCCAGCAAAGCTCGATGCTATGGGGTCATTGTTCAGCATGCCGCGGAAGGAATAGGTGGTTTCCTTGAGCGAGAAGTGCTGTTGCTCCGGCACATGCGCGGCGAGCGCAAGCGGCTGCGACTCGCAGGGCATGACGATGACGCCGTCGTCGTCCGGGCACGCCACTGGTCTGATTTGCGGCCGGAAGCGACGGGTGAAGAAGTCGTCCCACGACCGGAAGCCCCATGACGGCTGGGACGGGTCGCAGACAAATGCGTCCTCGAAGGACGGCGCCTGGAGGGCCGCGTTGTGCGCCGCGTTGACGGCCTGGAGCATCTCCTCGCGGGCTTCCGGAGATAGCCAGCCCCCCTGCTGGGCGTGGACGACAGAGGCGGACGCCGGCGAGGACAAAAACCGGCCCCATTCCTTGAGAATCATGCCGAGATGCGAGTTGATGTCGTCGCGGGCCAGGATTTGCGCCCCTGTCCGGGTGTTCATGAACCAGATCTGGGCGAGTCAGCTCGACGGGACACTTTCGCTTCCTGGCTTCAGATCGACGAGACTCACCAGTGCTTCGTTCATGGGGCAGCCGATCACGCAGTCTGTCCGGAGCATGGACATCCAGACCGGTGCTGTCTTGGTGGCCCGGTCGATGGCCTGGACCAGATGGCGGTAATGGCGAATCCGCTCGTGGCCGAAGCCATCTGGAGTCTCCTGGAAGGGCGCAGGAATCTCGCGGAATGCCCGTTCAAACAGATGGAGCAGCTCGGCACTTTTCTCGATCTCCTGCAAGAGATGATGGACCGCAGGCGCGAGCCCGTTTTCTGCAAGTTTCTGGCTTGCCATGATGGTGCGAACGGAACCGAGTCGGCGGGAACGAGGCGAGGTCGGGCGTGGGACTTGGGGAGTCGACATATATGCACTTCATACTTCAGACTTGCACCAGCATGACGAAAGCCATTTCTACTTTACTTCTTCACTTGAGCGTCACGGCTGCGAGTAATGTGGTCACGCAATAGGGGCAGAACTGAAAAGCCACATAGCACATGAGGCGATGCAGCTCTCGTTTGATAGACAGGTCCCCCGATGCCCACACCCACGCCCACGCCCACGCCTCAGCGCGGCCTCCCGTCTATGTTTCTGCTGGAAAACGACGGCCTGCTTTGATAGTACGGCGCGATCTGCTGCCTGCTGCCTGCAACCTGCATGACTGCCCAACAATCGACGTGTTCAAACCCCACGCGAATCCTGCGACGGAGACTGAGCGGATGCATCAACACCACCTCCTCGTGCCTCCTTGTCGCTCACAGATGCAGGAATGACGCCGGGTAACATGCGAACCCGCGGGTCACTGCGGGTAAAGACCCTCGCCTGTGGTGCTGCCAGCAGAGATGCATGGCCTCGACGTGAAGGGGGCTACTGCCGCGGCATTGTAGTCGCTCGCATTGCGGTCATAAGCGGCTTCGTTGAGCGTCGAGCACAGTGGAGTGCTTCGATGCCTATTCCCGTACGGAGCACCGTGACAGCCTCCTGTTGCAATATCCTTTTTTGCCGGACAAGTCTATGATTTGTGCCTCTCATCCAAATGACCTGGAGCGACGCGCCCGAGGACGACCAACACGGCTCGTCGACTGACGCGCAACACGCCGGCAATGCCTCCTTGCCTCCCGACGGGAGCTCGAAATCTGATGCCGCGCAGTGCGCCGTCTGCACTGCCAAGGCCCGCAAGGTGGCCAAAGACGCCATCGACATGGACCGAGTCCGATCTCACTTCCCCGTCCTCGGCGGCAAGACGGTCCCGTTCAACAACGCAGCAGGGACCGTCGTGCTCAAGGACGCCATAGAAGCGTACGTCCTTGGGCCTTGGCTCTCGACGACGAGGACGCGCGACTGATCAGACACACAGGGCGAGCCGTGTCATGAATGCGATGCCAATCGACCACGGAGACGGAGATGCACGAAGCCGGGCCGCGCAGGCCGAGTATTCGGACAAACTGCGCCAGTGCGCGGCCTTTATCAATGCCGAGCCGGCCGAGATCGGTACGTTCCAGGCCGGTGCCTCCTTCCTCCTGCTCCTGCTCCTGCTCCTGCCTCCTTCCTCGTGCCTCCCGCCCCTTGCTCCACACGCGAAGCCGCATGCGTGCTCACGACGACGTCTTTCTCAACCCGCGCAGCCTTTGGACAGTCCACGACGGCGTTGCTGCGACTCCTGGGCCAGTCGCTGCGGCCGCACCTCGGCCCGGACGCGGAAATGGTCTGCTCGACGCTGTGCCACGAGGCCTCGGCCAGCGCCTGGGTCCATCTCGCAAGAAGCCTCGGCGTCACCATCAAATGGTGGACGCCGTCGCGCGACGGCGAGGACGACCCCTGCCTCACGGTCGACTCGCTCAGGCCTCTCTTGACCCCGAAGACGCGCCTCGTCACCTGCAACCACGTCTCCAATGTCGTCGGGACCATCCACCCCATCCGGGAGCTGGCCGACCTCGTCCACACCGTCCCCGGCTGCGTCTTCGTCGTCGACGGCGTTGCCTGGGCCCCCCACCGGCCCGTCGACGTCAAGTCTTTGGACGTGGATTTCTACTGCTTCAGCTGGTACAAGGTGTTTGGTCCTCACATGGCGCAGCTCTACGCGCACCGCCGCGCACAGAGCCGCCACATGACGAGCATCAACCACTTCTGGTTCGACCACTCGACGCTCGACGGCAAAGTCCACCTCGGCACCGCCTGCTACGAGCTGGAGGCCATGTGCGCCCCCATCGCCAGGTACCTGGGGGACATTGGATGGGACGCCATCATCCGGCAGGAGACGGTCCTGACCGAGGTACTGCTGGACTATCTCGTCGGCCGGCCCGACGTGTACCGCGTCTTTGGAAGGCGCACCGCCGACCCGAGCCAGCGCGTGTCGATTGTCATCTTCGAGGTCCTCGGGCGCCAGTCGAGCGACGTCGTCATGCAGGTCCACGTTCGCGACCGCTTCCGCATCACCTGGGGCGACTGCTGGGCCCCGCGGCCGACGTTTGATGTCCTGAGGCCGCACGGCGACGGCATCATCCGAGTCAGCTTTGTTCACTACAACACGGTGGCCGAGGTCCGCGAGCTGTGCGCCGAGCTGGACGACATTGTCTCGACGTCGGCGGCCACCGGACGGGGCTTGCCGTCCGATGCATCACGTTCCCGGGACGGTCTACTGGGTCACGGGGAGAACATAGATGCTTCCTTGGGTACGTCTTGAGCGCTTGATTAATCCAATGGCTGGTGCGGGTGCGAACTTGCCGACTTGTTGGTTACGCCGCACTACTTCTGTGGGAACTGGTGGTCCACCACGGAACTTGGGTGAACTGCCCATTCATTACGCTGCATAAGACAATGTCTAGACATGTGTGTGCACTTGTCCCACGAACCACCATCACGTCCATTTACGCGCGCTCCGCGGACAGACGGTGCCTACAATCTTGTGCCCATGTTGATGTGGACAGCCTTGACCTGCGTGTACGCCTCCAAGCCCTCCTCGCCTAGTTCCCGGCCAATACCGCTCTGCTTTAACCCGCCAAAGGGAATGCGAAAGTCGCAGTCCTGGCTGCTGTTGATCCAGACCGTGCCGGCCTCGATCTCGGCCGTCACCCGGTGGGCTCTTTGCACATCCCTCGTAAACACAGAGGCGCCGAGGCCGTACGAGCTGTCGTTGGCCTTTGCAATGGCGTCGTCCTCGTCGTCGAACGGGCAGATGACCGCCACCGGGCCGAAGATCTCCTCCCGGTATATGGCCATGGACGGCGCAACGTCGACAAAGACGGTCGGCTGCACGTAGTATCCCTTGCCGTCGATGGGACACGCAGAGCCCCCCATGAGCAGCGTCGCGCCCTCCTGCTTCCCCCGCTCAATGTACCCAAGCACACGGTCGAGCTGCGCCTTGGAGACCTGCGGGCCTTGGAAGGTATCACCGTCCCACTGGGGCCCTACTACGGAGCGCTCACGCACGGCTTGCTGAAACCGGGCCACAAAGAGGTCATAGGCGTCCCTGTGGACGAGAATCCGGCTCGTCGAGGTGCATATCTGCCCTGAATATGCCATGGCCCCCAGGTGCGCCCACTTGACGGCCTGGTCCATATCGGCGTCGGGAAACACAAGCAGCGGCGACTTGCCGCCGGTCTCGAGCGTAATCTTCTTGAGCGTCCCGGCGGCCAGAGACATGATGGACCGCGCCGTTCCCGTCGACCCCGTAAAGGCGATCTTGTCGACGAGGGGGTGCCGGACCAGGGCGGCCCCGGCCTCCCCGCCCCGGCCGTTGATCAGGTTCACGACCCCCGGCGGAAAGCCCGCCCGCCGGACGAGCCGAGCGAGCAGCAGGATGCTCAGGGGCGTCTGCTCCGCCGCCTTGAGCACCACCGTGTTCCCGCAGGCCAGGGCGGGGCCGAGCTTCCAGCCCGCCATCATGAGGGGGCTGTTCCACGGCACGATCTGGCCGACGACGCCCACGGGCTCGCGGAGCGTGTAAGCGAGCTTCTGCGGCGACGGCGTGACGGTCCGGCCGCCAACCTTGTCGGCCCATCCGCCGTAGTAGCGCACCGTCTCGATCGCGCCCGCGACGTCTTCGCCCGCGGCAGACGTGTAGGGCAGGCCTGCGCCCGTCAGCGGCGGAGCTTTTGGCTTTTGGCGCAGACTCACCGTTCTCCCACGACACGACCGATGCCAGGAGCGCCTTGTCCTCCTCCATGAGCTCGGCCAGCTTGGCCAGGAGCCTGCCTCGCTCGCTGCCCGGCACCTTGCTCCAGGCGTCGCTGCGCAGGGCTCTCCTGGCGCACTGCACTGCCCGGTCGACGTCCTCCGCCGCAGCTGATTGGACGCTGGCGATTTCTATTTCCGTCCTGTCACGGCATTTAGCGCAGACGGCCTTGGCACATGCACTTGCGCGTGCAGGTGCGGATGTACGTACGCGGGATCGATGGCGGTGATGGGCGCCGCCGTCGACGCCCGCACAAACTCGTTGTCGATGAACAGCCCCAGGGGCTGCGAGTAGACATGGCCGTTGGGCGTCGTGAGCTCCTGAACCAAGGCCGGTTCCATTGTGTCTTGGTCGTGTTGTTCGTCGAAGCCGCCCGTCGAGAGCTGAGTGTCCTCGTCAGATGCACTTCTGCTACCAGGGCCACGCGGCTTGCCGGGTTCTTGCAAAAGATGGGAGAGAGAATAATATCATCAGAGCAGAGAAGAGAGTCGCGCTGACCGCCCCTCCGCCTCCGGCCCCCCGGGATCCATGGCCAACGGGTCGGTCAACGCACGGATGGGGCCGTCGGGAGCCTGCATATACGGTCGCATATTAGCTTGCATCTGCAAATGCTGCCACTATAATTTTCCTAATTTGTATTCTGCTGATTTGCTGTTAAAAAAAATATTTTATAAATATAAGTTATTACTATAATACTAATAATACTTAAACTTCAAGAAGTAACTTACTAATAAGCTTATTCTTAAGTTAAAATTTAATACTATAAGTTTTTTCTAGTAGAAATAATAAAAGTAATAATTAAAACTAACTTAAAAATAATTCTAGAATAGCTAGCTAATTTTATTCTCTAGAGAACTATTCTATTATTTTAAAGTAAATAGTATATTATATAATTAAGTATAACTTACTAATAAGCTTATCTTTAAGTTAAAATTTAATACTATAAGTCTTCTTTAGTAGAAATAATAAAAGTAATAATTAGAACTAACTTAGAAATAATTCTAAGATAGCTAGCTGATTTTATTCCCTAGGGAACTATTCTACTATTTTAAAGTAAATAGCATACTATATAATTAAGTATAATACTAACTAGATATATATATAAATTAATTCTTATTTATTTCTTATAAATATAGTAATATATAACTAAGTTATTACTTTAAAACTATTATATTTAATTTTATAAAATTAACCTAGAGAAGTACTACTTTAGAGATAATAAAAAGCAATTAAATAATAACTTAGCTTATAAGTTGCTATAGAAAATAGTTTAAAACTAGTTATATAATAATTAATATTTATTTTATATAGAATAATATCTAGACTATATTAATAGCTAAGTGCTATTATAAATACTATATAAGCTTATATAGTAAAGTATAATGCCTTCTAAGGCAATTTCTATTTCTGCTTTTATACTGCTAACTACTGCTATTATTACTACTACTAATACTATAGTTTAAACTATATATAATAAAGCTACTACTATTAATACTAAAGTAGTAGCTACTATATACTACTAACTAAGAATAGTATATATACTACTTAAACTACTTATAAAGTAATTAGAAAAGAGATTAAAACTAATTTTAATAAAATGCTGCTAAGCTGCCTGCCTAGTCGCTCTTGCTCTTGCTCTTGCCTCTGCTCCTGCTCTTGCTCTTGCCTCTGCTCTTACTCTTGCTATTATTATTATTATTGTTGCTATTGCTGCTGCTGCTGCTATAATTATTATTGTTATTATTATTATTGCTATTGCTTCTGCCTCTGCCTCTAAGCTTCTCCCTCTCTCTCTCTCTTTCTAAGAATAAGAAGAATAAAGATAAAAATAAAAATAAAGATAAAGTTAAGAATAAAAATAAAAATATAGAAATAGTATAAACTACTTACTAAATAATTATAAACTAGTTAAGAACTAATTCTAGCTAATAGAATTTACTTAGTATATTACTAAATAATATACTTTTTACTATATAGCTACTATACTATAAAGATAGCCTTTTTATAATTACTAAGATATACTATATAGTAAGTTTCTAGAGGCTTTGTCAGCGGCAGATACTGCCTACTATAAAAAACACCTATAAAAATAAGGGAAACAACTGCAGCACACAAATTGTCTACAAGGAACGTTTGCATGCATTTTGTATGCAAGGATTTAATATGCTTTATGCCTACATTCCTTTGCACATATAAATAAGGTTAAGAGAGGAATGCTGGCTGGAATTCAACAAAAACACTAATAAGCCATAAAGGCTAATCTACTCTATAGCAGGAAAGCAGCCACAAGAGTTATTTTAAGCCTCTAAGGTTATTTTAAGCCACTATCTATGCCTAATCCGGCAGCCCTACTATAGGATTTACCTATAAATAACCCTCCTTCCCCCTAACTAGATAGAAAGGAAATTAAGCCTCTACAACTACACTCTTTAATACATACTATTACATACAATTTTATACTATATATAAAGTCACTTCTATTATACCTTAAGAATCCCTATTATCTTATGCTTAGTAATCAACTAGATTACATAAGCTCTATCTATTAAGATATACTATATAATAAGTTTCTAAAGGCTTAATATAGCTTATAATATTTATATATTTATTTTATATAGTAAGTTAGTTAAAATTAAAATTAAATTAGAAATAATTTATACTAATAGCTATAAAATACTTTCTCTCTTACTTTAACTAGTTTTATAAAGTTTAGAAATATTTTTATTAGTTTAGTTAGTTTAATTAGTTTATTTTTTATTTTTTATTTTTCTTTTGTTTTTTATTTTTCTTTTGTTTTTTTTGTTTTTTTTTTCTAACTAGTACTTAAGCTAGCTACTTTATAGAGGCTGCTTATTTCTATATATATATAGTTATTACTAGCTTTACTAGCTATAGTTAAATTCTATAGTATATAGTTAAAAATATATATATAAGCACTAAGCTTTAACTACTTTTTAGTACTAGTATTCTCTATATTACTAAGTAAAGAAAAAAATACTTATTTATTCTTTTCTCTACTTCTTTTTTTTTCTTAATTTCCTGCTTTAACTACCTTCTAGTACTAGTATTCTCTATATTACTAAGTAAAGAAAAAAATACTTATTTATTCTTCTCTCTACTTTCTCTCTTTTCTTAATTTCCCTCTTTTCTCTTCTTAATTTACTCTTTATTCTGTCTTTTTCTTCTAGTTATTTACTATAAAATATTATATAACTAGTAGTAAAAATATTACTCTAAGGTATTATATTATATATATAATAAGATTTAAAGTTAATATCTAAATACTTAACTTTGCCTCTACTATAGTATCTTCTAAGTAGTTTTAATTAAAATTAATTTAGAGATTTAAAGTTAATATCTAAATACTTAATTTTACTTCTATTATAGTACCTTCTAGGTAGTTCTAATTAAAATTAATTTAAAACTAGATTTATAGTAGTCTTAGTTTAGTTTTAATTTATTAAGATAAATAAAAGCTTAATAATATTCTTACTATATTTTATTTATATAAATAAAATAAAATTATATAAGTAACTTTAGAAAGAACTTTTAAGCTAAAGCTAATAAAGTATTATAAGTAACTTACTTAAGTATATAAAAAAACTCTTAGTATAATTTAACTAGACTACTTATTTAGCTTATTCTACTACTACTAGCTTATTTTACTACTATTAGTTAGTACTTTTTAAGAGAGCTTTTTTATTTCTAAAAAAATAAATAAGCTAGGTAGAGATATAAATTAATTATAAACTAATTTAAGACTAGCTTCTATATTTATACTAACTAGTTCTACTAAGTCTAATTAAACTTTAGCTACTTTTATAGTTAAATATTAATAATAAACTTTTATATAAAAAGCAATAAATAAATAAATATATTTAACTAAGCTTTATAGTATAATTTAATAATAATATCTCTTTTAAGCTTAAATAAATATAGTTTAAGTAGGCTAAATTACTTTAACTTCTGCCTTAAATATATACTATATTATATATAGTCTTTAACTTATTTTATAAAAATAATATATATAAATAAAATATTAAAGATAGCTATATATTAATTTAGATATATTTCTATCTTCTATATTTATAATAAGAGAATATAAATAAGACTTAATTTAATTTACTATAATTACTAACTTTAAGTATATTTAATTTACTTTTAACTATAATACTCTCTTTAAATATAAAGTTATTAGCTTTACTAATTTACTTAATTAAGTAGAGTAGTTTAATAAGCTTTAATAATTTACTTTTTATAAGCTTTATAGCTAATAATACTATATAGCTTAAAGAGTAAGTAGAGTCTTTTTTAATAAAAAGTTCTATAAGTTATACTTATAGCCTAAAGTAGCTTAAAGAAATAGTAACTTATTTAGAAGAGATAAAAGCACTAGCTACTATTAATTTCTTTATTTTAAAAGTTTTATATTTACCTTTCAAGGTTTTATAGAAGTAAATTACCTTAAAAATTATTAAGTTTGTAATTAAAATATCCTAGCTCTTCTAGCTATTTTATACACTATTTATTTATAATTTTAGTAAGAAATAATTTAATATTAATTCTATAAAGTAGTATAAGTATATTATATAGAGCTTATTAATTAGCTATATTATTATTAGAACTTAGTAGAATACTTTAGTTTAAAGTATTTTATATATAATATAAGTCTATAGAAATTCTAGATTTAATATACTAATAATTTCTTTATATATAAATTTTATAGCTATTTTATAAAGTAATAAAGTTAGTAAACTTATTTTAAATAAAAAGTATATATACTATATAAAAAGTAATTTAGTCTTTAATATTGCCTTTAATAAATAAAGTATATTTAGCTAATTTATAATCTTAATACTATAATTTAATTTTATAAAGAATAGCTATATTTTAAGGTATTAAACTATAAATAAATACTACTTAAGTATACTTAGTATAGTTATAGTAAAGTAACTATAGTAAAACTAAATAATATAGTATAAGTATATATTAATATATATATATATTTAAATACTATATTTCTTAAGTTTCTTATATTTATTTAAGTACTATAAAAAATTTAGCTTAAGTACTTAAAAGTTAATATAATACTATATATTACTTTCTCTTTAGTATTAAACTTTCTCTAGAAAAATAGTTTAATAAAAGTTATAAAGCTAATTTTATAAAATTAGTACTTATACTTTTTATTATATATAGTAGTAAAGATATTTATAACTAAATTTATAAATTACTAATATTTACTTTAAGTTCTTTTTAAGAAATTAAATTACTTTAGAAAGAATTTAAATTTACTTTTACTTTATTTAAATATACTTTTTTATATAATTCTATTAGTAAACTTTATAAATAGTATATAATAAATATTAAAGGTTATTATATTATTATAAATTCTAAAGAATTAATTAATTAGAATATTTATAGAAAAAGAAGTAGAATTAAATCTACTTAATAAGTTAATTTATAATTTATATATTTTGCTGCTATATTAATCTCTAGTAAGAAAGCTATATCTTTAGTATATATAAGCTTACTAGTTGCTAATTATATTACTAAAGAATTTTATTAATAAAGTAGTAAATTAATTTAATTAGTATTTTTTATATAAATAGTTTTAAAATCTCTTTATATAAAGGCTTTAAGCTTTTTATATATACTCTAGAAATACCTAAAAGCCTTTAAGCTAAAAGCTAGTATTATAATATTTAAAGGCTAATAGTATTTTTATTTTATTTATTAAAAAGCTTATTAACTTAAGATAAAATATCTCTATAAAATATACTATATTAAAGAGATTATTAAATAGTCTCTCTAAGACTTTTAAGCTATTTATATAGTCTTAGTATATTAAAGTAGAAATTAATTTAGAATTAATTTAGAATTAATTTTAAAATAATTTAGAAATAATTTAGAAATAATTTAAAAATAATATAAAACTAGTTTTAATATAAATTTAGAATAATTATAGTATAAAGTTTAATTTATATATTAAGGTAGAAGGAATTTTTTCTATATAACTCTATACTTTTAAAAAATCTAAAAATTAGAAAATCGGAAAATTATAGTAGCAGCGTTTGCAGATGCGAGCTAATGTGCGACCGTATGTATAACGAAAAGGGAAGGCGAAGGCGGCAGCACCCGCGACCCCGCGGGAGCGCGCGCCAAGAAATCTACGACGCGCGTGGCTCCCGTGGGGCCTCCGTGGGGCCGGCTACTGCGGGCGAGCGGGCCTGACCGTTGGGCTATCCGTGCATGTAACCCTAACCCAAGTGCAGCGTCGCGCCTTCCCCCCCCCGAACAGCACAGAGTCCATCCAGCTGTGGTGAGTTTGCCACGAAGCACAGACTTGTTGTCGTCCGGAACTTCCTTGAGTTTGAATGAAATCGTGGGCTGGCAGAAGCCGGTTCCGTGATCTCCTCACCCTGCACTGACTCTGCTGAATTGTCGTCGCCGCTCTTCAAACCTCTATGCCCTCACTCACGACAGCAGAGCTCGACCGGCTGTGGGCTCGCAACGCCAAAGTCCCTGACGCGGTTTGCGTCAGCGTCCACGAGCTGATTGCGCAGCGCGCGTGCTCGCAGCCCGATCAGCCAGCCGTCGCCGCTTGGGACGGCGATTACACCTATGGGCAGCTCGTGCATCTGGTGTGTAGTCTGGCCGACCATCTGGCTCGGAACGTCTGCCCACGCCACGGAAGGGTGCTGCCAATTGTGATGAGCAAGTCGAAATGGATGCCGGTGGCCATGCTCGGGGCCTTGAGCGGAGGCTGGGGGATAGCTGCGCTGGATGTGAACACGCCGACGGGCAGGCTTGCCGAAATCCTGGACATGCTGGATCCGCCGTGCATTCTCACGACTTCCGAGGTCAGGATCACGGTGGATACCGCGGTGCCGGCGCTCGCCGTGGATGAGCTCGGCCTCGGAGACGAGCCGCCCGCGGCCACGGAGCAGCGGGACCAGCCAACGCCCGCAAGAGTCGCAGCCGTCGTGTTCACGTCGGGCAGCACCGGATCGCCAAAGGGGGTCATGCTAGGCCCGGAATGCGTCTCGACCGCGGCCGTGAGCGGGTCGCAAATCCTCCAGCTTGGCCCGGGGTCGCGGCTGTTCCAGTTCTCGTCGCTGGCTTTCGACGTCAGCCTGCATGAGATTTTCATGACGCTGGTCGCCGGCGGATGTCTCTGCGTTCCCTCCGAGACGGAGCGAATGCACGACCCCGTCGCGGCCATGCGGAGAATGCGGGCGAACTACATCTGCACGACGCCGTCCGTCTTCATGTCCGTGCTGGCCGAGGCCGTCGTCTCGACGCCCATCAGGGCCATTGTGCTCACGGGCGAGCCGCTCACGTCCCGAATCGGCCCCTTGTTCGGCACCGGCGCGCGCCTGTTCAGCTGGTACGGCGCATCGGAGTGTCCCGTCGTTGCCCTCGCGCCCCTGGTGGATAGGAAGTGGACGAGGTCGCAAATCAACTCCCGGCACCCGGGGAACTGCTGGGTCGTTGAGCCCGACGACCCAGATGCCCTCTGCGGCTTCGGCGACGTCGGGGAGCTGTTGGTGGAAAGCCCCATGTTGGCACTGGGCTATCTGGGCGCTCCGCAGCAGACGGAGGCGTCTTTTGCAGCTGATCCGGCGTGGCTGGGCCGCGGGCACGGCTGCGTCCCCGGCCGACGCGGCAGGCTGTACAGAACCGGGGACCTTGTGCGGAACAACCCGGACTGGACGCTGGACTACATTGGCCGCAAGGATGCCGTCGTCAAGGTCCGAGGCCAGCGCGTCGACCTGAGCGCCGTCGAGCTCTGCATCTGGAACCACCTTCGGTCGGGGGACGTCGAATCGCCCGCCCCCCGCATCAGGGAGGTCGTCGTCGAGCCCGTCGACTCGGCCACGAACAACGACGGCGTGAGCATCTCGTGCTTCTTACACGTCGACGACGACGCCGCTTGCTTGCCGCGGACGCCCTTGGCCACGTCTACAAGCTTACCGTGCATCCGTGTCTACGCACCCGACGCGTCTCTGGACGGTCTCTGGCCCGGGCTGCGTCGTGCTCTGAGCTCCGTGCTTGCCGAGTACATGGTGCCGTCTCTGTACCTCCAACTGTCAGACGTGCCCTTGACCCAGTCGGGAAAAGTAGACCGGAGGCTGCTGCGCTCTCTGGCATCGCAGATACCCAGTCGCGACTTGCTGGAGTGCCGTGCATTCCCAGGACAGGGCCATAGCCTGCCACGTAATGACGCCGAATCGGCACTCCAGCGACTCTGGGCCGAGGTGCTGGGAGTAGAGGCGGCCGAGGTCTACACAAACAAGAGCTTTCTTCAATGCGGCGGAGACTCTCTAAGTGCCATCCTGCTCTCCAAGGCGTTGAGTCGGGAGTTTGGTCTGGCCACCAAGGTGCCACGGCTCTTACGCCGAGAGACCACGATCCAGCATCTCGCAACGCTGCTGGGACAGCCCGGGAACGGCCACGCAGGCGACGAGGCCCGGACGGACGTGGCGACCGTTCTGAGGGCGTGGGAGGCAAGACTCGGCCTCGTGTCCGTTCGTCCTCGGGCCGCTCCGTCCCCGTCAGGTACAAGTCGGGGCTCCCGCGTGCTACTGACCGGCGCGACGGGGTATCTGGGGACACACATCCTCGGCGAGCTGCTTCAGCGCCAGTGGGTGAACAAGGTCGTGGTGCTGGTGCGAGCAGCAGACGTCGGCCTCGCCGAGGAACGCATCCGCAGGGCCGCAAGCACCGCCGGATGGTGGCAGCCGAGCGCGCTGGCCCGCATCGAGGTCTGGCCCGGCGACTTGACGGAGGCGGGGCTGGGACTGCGGCCGGAGAGATGGGCCGACATGTCGAGCCTCGACGTCATCATCCACAACGGGGCCGTCGTCAACTACAGCGCCGGCTACGACGTCCTGGAGCGCGCAAACGTCATCTCGACCTTCTACCTGCTCGAGGCTGCCCTCGGGTCTGAGCGTCTCCGAGCCTTCATCCTCGTATCTGGCGGCATCAGACGAGCCCAGGGCCAGTCAGACGCAGAGTACCTGCGGGCTCTCGACGAGTCCGAGGGATACAGCCAGACAAAGTACGTGGCGGAGCGGCTGACGCTGGCCGCAGGGCGCCTGTTGCGTCAAAACGCCCGGTCCCGCGCCGGACAAGACGAGCCGAGCCCGAGTCCGGCGAGCGGGAGCCGCACCTTTGCGGTCATCAAGCCCGGCTACATTGTCGGCGACCAGGTCACCGGCCTCTCCAACACGGACGACTTCATCTGGAAGCTGGTCGCGGGCGCGGTCCGCATGGGATCCTTCCCTTCCGACCCCCCGGGCTACTGGGTGGACATGGCAGAAGTCAGCTACGTGGCGAGGCGGATCGCTCACAGGGCACAAGCGTGCGCATCCGACGGTGTGTCTCCCCAGCCCGTCGCTTCGGACTTGGAGGCCCCCGGGCCCGGAGCAGGCTCGGGCGTGGTCCTGGACGAGATGAACCGCGGCTTGCCGGTGCATCTGTTCTGGCAGGCCGTCCAGTCACAAGCGCAGCTCGCTCTACGCCAACTGGACTGGGACTCGTGGATCGCCCACGCCCACGTCGAGCTTGAGCGGGAGCTCGAAGCGCACCCTCTGTGGGGGATCCAGCTCCTCTTGGGACCGAGCCTCGGCAGTCCCGCCAGGATACCGGACGCGGACTCCCGTGCCGTGGACGAGGTTGGCGCGGCCGTGCGACGCTGTGTACAGTATCTCTGCAGTGTCGGGTTCATTGCCCTCCCGCTCAACGGGGCGTGTCCGAGCCCCTCAGACGCCGGTGGCAAGTACCCTGTCGAGGACGCTGACGACGATCATGGAGCAGAGAGAAGGGCGTGGAAGGGTACCCAGGGCGAGCGTCACCCTGCCATCGTCACTCGATCCAAGCTGACGTACTGGAACTGAGACGCAACATGGGGCAAAGGAGTATCCGGTCAAGTCTCAGAACAAACCTCTGCCTGCAAGCAAGATGATTAGAAGCCATGCTTACCGGCGGCATCGAGCGGCGACCAGCATGATGGATCGGAACGGACCCTACACTGCGCAAGGAGACTTTGCATCGCAAAAGAAACAAAATGTATTTCGCCGCACCAGCGCCACCACAGCTGTAGATGAGCAGATAAACACCCGAAAGTCTCCCCTTCTCTCAAGAAAGACCCGCGGGCCACGATGATGTCACAACGCCCAAGATAGTATCGTACAAGAACACGTTGGAGCCCACGCGCGCCATAGCCGGCGTGAAGAACATGAGCTCCCGCCGTAGACGCGCAATCAGGTGCTCTGGTCGCGTCTCCCGCCCGTCTCTTGCCCGCGCGTACTTCACCTCAGCACCTGTTCAGCGTGGTGTAAAGTCGATGCTGCCTCAGCAGCGAGACGCTGACGAGCCCGAGCACCGCACAGCAGAGCAGCATCAGCCACACGCCGCGAAAGGCCTCCATGAATGCCGCCATGACGCCGTCGTGCCACGCGTCCGGCAGGCGTCTCAGCTCGTCCAAGCTATCCCGAACACGATCGATCATGTCCGCAGCATCCTGCCTGTCGCCGAATCTCGCCCACAGCCGTCGCGCAGAGACGTTCTGGTACACGAGGGACGCTACGCTTATCCCAATCGTGGCGCCTATGCTGCGGATGAAGTCTGCAGTGACCAGAGGCGTTAGCGTGCAAGAGCGCAACGGCTGTTTGGGGGGAGGAGAGGGAGGAGAGGCGCTGCTCACAAATGGCCGACGTTATCACCGCCTGCTGCGAGTGGTCGACGGCAGCGATGGACGCAATCTGCGTCGTCGTCAACACGGCGCCGTAGCCGGCTCCCACGAGGAAGAAGGCCAGGCTCGTCAGCCAGGCTGGGCTGCGCTCGCCTTGGAGCACGAACATGACGGTGCCGAGGGTCAGGGCGGACAGGCCGGGGACGCCCAGCCGGATGTACTGACCCGTCTGCTTCATGATGTAGCCCGCACCCAGGGCGCCCAGGCACTCGCCGACGGGGGAAGACAGGATCCTGAGGCCGGCCGTGGTCGTCGACTCGCCGAGCACCTGGAGGTAGAGGGGCACGTAGAAGAGCGCGGCCATGAGGACCAGCTCGCAGAAGAAGTTGGTCAGGCACGCCGAGACGATGGTCCGATCGAGCAAGAGCTTGACGGGGATGATGGGGTGCTTGGCCCTTTGCTCCCACCACACAAAACTCGTCAATGACACCAGCGAAAGGGGGATCGCTGCGAGGGGCAAGGGGTGCGTCCAAGGCACCATGTTCCCGCCCGAGTTGAGGCCCAGGAGCAGCAGCACGATGAATGAAGAGGCCGTGAAGACGCCGGGGAAGTCGATGCGCGAGATGTACGACTGCTGTGACTGCTGGGGGGGCACTTTGACGAGCACCAGGACGGCGACGGCCAAGACCAAGGCCGGCGGCACCTGGATGAGGAAAGCCAGCCTCCAGCCGAGGACGGTGTGGTCGTTCAAGACGCCGCCAAAGACGCCCCCGATCATGGCTCCGGCGCCGTAAAACACGTTCGAAACAGCCTGGACGATGCCTCGGGTGCGCAGCGGGATCAGGTCAGAGCCCAGAAAGTTGGCGATGCTCCTTTGGCCGGCGCTGCCGGCACCAGCTACGAGGCGGCCGACGAGGACGACATGCGGATCCGTGGACAGGCCGCAGATGAGATTCCCGGCACCAAAGAGGACGTTGCTCAAGACCAAGCCGGGACCGCGGCCAAAGATGTCGGTGAGGCGGCCCGTGACGGGAAGACAGGCAGCGCTGGAAAGGAGGTATGCAGTGGCAAGCCAGGGCAGGAGATGCAACGACTGGAAGTCACTTGCGATTGGGCCCGCCAGGGTGGCCATGATGGTCTCGTCCATGGCACCGAGGAAGACGCCGATCCAAGCCGTGGTCATGACGAGGGCCAGCCTTGGGAACGGGATGTCGGGCACGGGGACCCCATCCTCCTGTCCGCGGCCACGATGACTGCAGTTCTTGAAGACACTATTCGCGGCTGGAGCGCCTAGCAACGGTGTGGTCTCGGCCGTGCGGCTCTCCATCATCCTGCTTTCGTTTGGCATCGCGTCAAACCAGTTCTTGTCCAGAGGAATCCGGGGACAGCGCAGGCAAGTTGTCAACCAGAGAGATGGGAAAAGGCACGGGGCGAAAACAGGATTCTTTCAAGGGGGCGCTCTGCGCCGTTTAAGGAATCCTGTTTTCAAGAGACAATGACGGAAACTGTCTCGGGCACATCAGAATATTAGTCAGTGTTGGTCGTACGAATTATTGTGACACCCAAGCAGCGACTGGCGTCTGGCGATGCTCAGCTGCTGTGACGCGATGCACCAGAGATGGCGTAGCCGGAAGCGACTCCTCATGTGCTGTGGCACGCCTCCTATTTGCCGCGTGACAGCTCCCATATGCGTGACTGCCAATTGGCACGTAACCAGTTGAATTTAGGCACTTAAGAGCTCATGCGTTCAGCGTGGCGAAGGGGAGGGTTGCTGATGATTGTCTCCCCTTAGCTCCCAAAACTCCCGCACAAACCCCTCTCGCTCGTGCCAGACAAAGACGTCAATGGCGATGAGGCTTCGTTCGGTTAAACGGCGACAGTTTTTGTCGTCGTTGGCATCGGACCACTCACTTGAGCAACAGGTCGAATGACACATTGCCGGCGTTGTGCTCTACGGCTCTATGCTTTACGCCGAGACTGATTTACCGTGATCAGATCCTTTCAAGGTCCTCCCCGGGACTCTGCTCCGTAGATGTTACTGGAATCGCTGCGAGTGACACAGACATCCTTGAGCGACCAGCGGATCCGAGGTATAGTAGGTAGTAGTTACCTTGTGCACGGCAAATCCGCCAGTCTGCCGAGATGGGGTCTGCTCAATCCGAGGGACGGAACGGGGCATGTGTTTCGGCATACTTTTCGCCCGTCATCCCGATGCTGCTGCTGTAGATTGTCGAAGACGGCCATGTAGGGCTTGAGCTATGTCGGCACGACGAGTCAATGACGGCGGCTGTGCACGCGCGCATACGCTCACCATCGGCACATTCCAAAAGACTGTCCGTATCGTCATCAAAGCCGGCCGAGCCTCGGATCAAATCTAGTGTGTTTAGTTTGATTCATCCGATGAACTTGTACTTTTCAACATGAAAACTACATACACATAACATGGCAAGCAAAGTTGATCAAGTGCAAGGATTCCAAGTCTAGTATTAAAGGAGGATTTTAGCGTTTGTTTTAAGCTGGCTTCTAGTGCGAGAGCTAGAAGAAGCCCTTTGTTCTATAGTTTTTCCAACTCCATCGAGGAGGTACGTACTCGACTATTTAATCGTCGTCTTGGCCAATTAAATTTTAGTGGAGCACCCCCAGGTCAGCCTATGCGTCACCAGACTGACAGCCGGGCTTGAAGCAATCTGAACAACTTCACATGTCTTGCAAAATAATAGCGTGGCCAGAGCACAAGTTACCAGACTGAAGTAACACAACACGCCAAGTTGAGTATTAGAAATCCGGAGAGCAGACGCCGTCGCGCCTGATGCTTTTATATAGTCAGTGGTCCGGTGCCCTTCTCGTGACTACAGCCCTCGCGTCACCAACATCCGTGTAACGCTAGGACCGTCGTCTTTTCCGGGTATGGCAAAGTATCCTCGAGTATCAATAGACAGTTTGATGAAGGCGAAGCAAACTAGGCAATGAAGATCCTGTCTTTGTTGACCTAAGAAGTAGGCGTCTATCTACTGTTGGGTAATAGTTGCCCGATTGCCACGGGAGCAAACGGGCCCCATTTTCTCCTAGAATACTGAATTTCTAAAACTTGGCCCAGCTCAGCCTTGGAGCAATTTCGAAAACCTCCAATACCGTGACCAGCCAGCTGACTTGCCGCTGCCAGAGCCATGCAGATCAGCTACAGCGCAACTATGCGACTGATTAGGCTGACGAGAGAACCAGGCTAGCCCTATTGTGGAGGCGCAACCTGAATGGATCAAGGTTGTACAAGCCCTTCAGGTTGACCAAAACCTCCCGACTGACCTTGACCTCCTGACTGATCGAAACCTAACTGATCGGAACCTCCCGACTGACCTAACCTCCTAACTGATCGG